CATTAGCAAAATAAACTTCACCATTTGCTTCAGTGATACAACTAATAATAGTACCTAAACTTGAATTATAAGCAATAGTTCCATCAGTTAAAATTGAAAATTCTGGAAGAGTTACTCCAGTTCCAGCTTTAAATGTTGCATTTCCATTTGTTTTGTTCAATTCGAATAGCATCATATCATGAGTTGCAAAATAGTTGGTGGAAAGGAATTGAGGAGAAATGTTGAGAGAAGTTGCTAGCGCAGTTTCTTGACCAAGTGGAATACCAGCAAAATTTTTCGTGTTACAATTTCCAGCTAGGATTTTCCTTTCACCTTCTTTCGTATAATTATAAACAACCTTTGTCGATTCAGAAACAATCAAATTATCATACATATCCAATAGAACACTATATGGCTTTACCAAACCAGAAACTAGAACGCTCTTTGTAAAGGTAGTATCAAGACTAATGTTCAAACTAATCACATTTCCACCATTTTGCTCCACAACATAAACCAAATCTCCTTTTCTAAACATATTTCCAGGAAAATTTAAACCTATTTCCTCATGTTTCAATAAAATTGAATTTTCATTTGAAATGTCATATTTAGAAACCTTTCCCGTAGATCCTTGTGAAATTATTAAATATTTTCCAGTGGATAGAATTGAATTTGGTCCTCCAAGAATTATTATTGTTGTTGTAATTCTAGTTTGTAAATTAAATTGTCGTATGGCATTGTTGCTATTGTCAGTAATAAACATTAAATTGTCATCATCTGACAAGGCAACTGACAGAGTTGACGCAAAGAGAACAGAATATGGATCGGTGCTATCATTATATCCAGATGAACCACATTTACCAACAATAGTTGAAATGTTGCCAGTTGTCAAATCAACTCCACGAACACAATTACTAGAACTGACAAAATATAACCAAGTTTCATTCTTATTAAGTACCATTCCTGTTGGTGCATTCAATTTAGCAGATGTAGCAACAATATTGTTTCCATCATCTCCAGATGCATAACTTCCAGCAAAGACAGAGATTACTCCAGTGTTTCCATCAACTTTTCGAATAACATGGTATGTACTATCAGACATGTAGACGGTTCCATCTTTTGCTTGTACAGTATGGGCAATTCTAGCAAGACATGACATGCTTGCTGGAAATCCATCACCAAACTGTCTGGTGTATGCTAATGTAATTGGTGAGGTTACACCAGCAAATATGGACACATCATATTTAACATCAGATGATGACGCACAAATTAGAGTTGTGTGGAAACTCAGCCAAGTGGTGGCCACAAGGAGAAAACTAATTAGAAGAGCGGATAATGACATTTTTTTTTGAAGACTAAGAAAGTAATTGTGTGGCAAAGAATTTAGGAGTGTTTCCACCAATTCCTGGTGGTTCTAACATGAGAACAAACCATAGTAACTGTTTCCATGGATTGATGGAAAAGAACATGTGTGGTACTTGGTTTCTTTTAGAAGTGTCAAAACTAATGTGATTTGGAAAGTATTAATCAAGCCAATAACAATCTTCCAAATTTTATGAAGAGTTTGACAAATTGATTGAATATTAATTTTTGATTAGTTTACTTTATTCTGACTTTCTCTTTGATTTGATTGAGTGTATCAACCCATTCATCACGTTCTTCCTTAGTTTGAGCAGCTAAAAAGTAATCACGAGTTGGAATTTCAATTCTAAATACGAAACGTTTCTTACTTGATCTTTCAGGAATCATTTCAATATTCAAAACCTGTCTCATATCAATACATCCTAATTGCTTATCGAATTTATCTGCTTCATCATTGAAATAATAAACATAAAATCCTTCAATTCTAAAGTAACGCTTCTTATACATGTTTAGTTTAGGACCTTTCTTTTCCAAATAACCATGCTTGTCAGCATTCATTGAAGATGGTTTGACACCAAACTTCTTTTCCAAAATGTTAGGTCTTGGTGAACGAACATAAACTTCTTCCTCTTGTGTAATTACTGATTTTCTATCAACAAATGGTTGAGAAACATCAAAGGTTGAAAGTTGATTGGAAAGTGTTGTCAAATGTTTCTTATTGACAGTTACTGACATACGTTGTGAAAGTTTTTCCTTTTCATGTTGAGAGTTAGATCTAGATGTTTGAGCGTCCATCTTTTTAGGTTGAATAACATCACCTCCTTTTTTAGGTTGTTGGAATGATTCAATCTTTACGCCTGTATACTTTTTGAGGAATTTAATTTCACGTTCCAATGTTTCTACCTTTTCACGTTCTTGTAATAGGAGAATTGTATTCGATTCTTGAGATTGTTGGAGTGTAGAGAGAGTCTTTTTACGATAGGCCTTAATCTTCTTATATTTTTGATAGACTTCATCCTTTTCTTGTTCCAATTTCTTCATTTGTTCCTTCAAGTTTTCTTCAGCATCTTTGAGAGTGGTAATTTCCTTTCTGAGTTGTTCAACTTGTTCCATATCGGTGGATTGCTTCTTGCTAATTTCTTCCTTTAACTTTTTGAGTTCAGTTTCAAGATTTTGAATTTGCTCCTTGTGCATCTTTTCAGTTTCTTGAGCTTTCATCTTGGAAATTTCCATTTCTGTATTCTTTTTACGAGCAGTATTGAGTTTGACAGTTAAATCATCAATAGTTTCTTTGAGTTTTTGACTATTGCCCTTATCTTCGAATGCAGATCTTAGTGAAGCGGTTGTGGAAGAGTTGGCACTTATGGATAATCTGGAAGATTTTTCTACAGCAGTTTGATATTGATTGAACAATTGTTGATATTCGTAAATCTTATCGTCAAGACTCTTCAAAGCAATTTCAGCTGCTTTTTCTCTTGCCTTTAAGTTTTCTCTCTTGGCCAAATTGAGTTGTTCCATCAACAGTTTGTTCTTGCTCTTCATCTTTTCGATTAATTGATGAGATGGATCATCAGAAGAAAGTTGTGAAATTTCCTTAGCATTATGATTATCTTCATCTTCAACAAGTTTCTTTTCAATTTGAGTTAGTTTTTCACTAATCTCTTCGTACATCTTTTTGTAATCTTCGCATTGAATCTTCAACACATTGACAGTTTCAGCATCAATTTCCATCTTTTTCACAGATAAACTAGATTCCAATCCAGAGCTATTAGATTGTGTGACTGAGAAACGTGACGAAAGAACTGAATTGGTTGGCTTGGTGGTAGATGCGGAAGTTTCTAACTTTTTCACAGCTTCTTTCAATTCATTGATTTCCTTAGTCTTTTGAGCAAGCTTTTCATTCAATTCTTCCTTTGTAGAATCAGATTGAATGAGTTTTTCCTTCAATTCTTGAATTTCTGCATGAGTTTTTTGTAAACTCTCATCGTGGCGAATCTTTTCCTGTTCTAAACTTTCCTTCAATTCGGTAACTTGTCTAAACTTCTTTTCCAAATCTTCAAGTGATGTTTCAGCAGTGCTTGCTTGTTTCTTATATTGAACTACAGCTTCGTGTTCCTTCTTTAAATTGGCTTCCAATTCGGTGACTTTAGTTTTCAACGAACTCACTTGTTCATTCAATTCATGTTTCTCAGTGAGGACCTTCTTGAAAAGAGTATCAGAAATTTCTGCCTTTTCTTCATTAACAGGGGATGGTGGAGAAGAAGGTGTCATTGGTGATTCATCAACTGGTGTTGATGGCTCCTTCTTGACTTCGAAAGAAGAGACAGGTGTTGATGGCAGTTGTTGCCTTTGTGGAACAGGTGGTGCTTGTTCAGGTTTTACATTACTACTACTAATTGCTGTTGATGAAGAAGTTGATGGTTGACTTATTGGGGTAATTTCGGCAACACCCTCCAAACTGACATAATTGATAGAAACCTCACTTGACATTTCACACAGTAAATTGCCCAAATTCAAATTTGGAACTGTTTGCCTTTCAACAAGGGCAGGTAATGATGATTGTGACAAGGTAATAAATCCGAAACTTGCTGTATTGATGAAAATTCGCGAGAATAACAGACAACGAAGAGTTGTTTCGAAATAATCAAACTCATCTGATTCACTGTGAATTGCTTCTGTTACTTGTTGGAAAGTTCTGAATCCTGTTGGACGTGTTTGTTTGTGTGGATCAGTTGATGATTCAGCATCAATATCAATAATGGTCAATCGACCTTCTTTGGTGAGTTTAGTATTGGTATCACTTTGAAGAAGTTTAATTTCAAAGAAAAGTGAACTATGTTCTATAATATTTCAATGAATCATTCAAGTTGAAAAGAATAATGAATAGTTTAAATTGTTTTCTAATATAAATTTCCAATAAAAAAACAAACCTTTTGATCTCTTTTCTAAAGATTTTGAAATAAATTGGAATAGTTCAACTTCACTCGTCACAAATTCTTCATGTAATCCAGCAATTTCAACACTATTCGTTTCATCATTGACCAATACTTCCAAATGTGCAGAATTGACATCATTTGCCAAATCATGATCAGCCAGTAAATCAGTCATGAGTGCTTCACCATTATCCAAACCACAAATTTCAAAACTTGTCATGGAAACTGAAAATTCAATTTCAGGTGGCGAATTATTAACAATAAAATCAAAAATTGCTCTCACAACTCTTGAAGCAAAACCTAAATTTGGTGTTGAAGCAACTGCATTTTTACCAAACAGAGTGAATGTTTTACCTGTTTGTTCAGCACCAAATGCAAATATTGTGCAATTAATGCCATCTGTCAATCGTTGCACTATCTCAGTTCCGTATTGTGTTGAATTGTAAACTTCTTCTTGTGTTGCTGTTGCTTTTAAAAATTTATCAAACATGTATTCTGGAGGTTCAGTGGATCCATTCTAATCAATAATATTCGAAAGGTTCAATTTATACGAATGGTTCGTTTTTAGTTTTTGAAAATGCCATAAAAATAAATATGGAAGTTGGTGATCACACCATGACACACGACAATCATTTGATATTGTGTTGTGAATAAAAATTTCGTTACTTTCGAATACTACGTACCTTGATCAGAAAATTCTTTCCGTTCTATTGTTGTTGAAGAAGTTTTTAAATGATGATAAAGTTGTTGTCATGATGATTCCAGTATGTAAAGTTGAAACGTTAGTGTGAGATAGAGTAGTAGTTATTATCGCAGTAATATTTATCAGATATTCCATATAAACGAAACCATTCGAATAATAAAAAATAAACGTACTTTATGAAAGGCTACACAACTTTTTGGTTTATCCTCTCCTGCCATACTTTCTGCATCAGACTTGAGGAAAGGTCTGAAACGAGGACAAACTTTCACTTGAACGTGTTCTGCTTTGGACATTTTTTTTAATGATACTTGAAATGTTTCTTGTCAGTGATCAAAGAGCGTAGCTTCCATTCTGCGTTCACTTTCCAGTTCTGATGATGCAGTAGAGGTAATTACTCAATGCAATGAGGCATTTTGGCGACTCTTACGTTTCGAATAGTTTAGGTGATGAAAGAAGATATTCCTAATACATAAACACAAGAAGTGATTCATTAATTTTGTTCTTTTTGGACAATAACATTTATTAATTGTTGAGGAATAGATTGTTATTATACACCCAGGTTGGGATCCTGTAAACAAATAACCTTCTCTAAAAGTAACCTTTTGGTTTTGCCCTTTCAAAGAGGAAACGGTTTGAAATGCTGTATTTAGCCAACCCAACCATTATTATGATCATACCGGTCACTTCAATTACAGGTTCAATTCATTATAATGACATTTTGATTCGGATTTGGAAGATGTTGAATAGAAAACGCGAAAGTTTTGTTGTAAAATTTACTAAGGATGTGTTAGTGAATGTTGTAAAACCTTCTCAATTTCATTTTTAAGCTTATTGAGCATGATTGGCTTGTAAAGAACGCTGTCAAATCCAAATTCCTTTAGAGTTTCATAAGTTTCCCAAATATTTGCTGTAATACCAATGATTGGAGTTTTGCTATTTTGCCCTTGTCGAATCTGGACACTTGCATCTTTTCCATTCATAATTGGCATTAATAGATCCATAAGAATAACCTCATATTTTGATTGTTTACATTTCTCGACTGAATCCAAGCCATTCTCACAAGAATCCACATTTTCATATCCAATCAATTTCAACAATTTGATAATAACTTTACGATTGATATCATTATCTTCCACAACGAGGGCTTTCTTCTGAGGAGGTTCAATAGATTTCTCTAAAATATTGGTTGGTGTTAAAAAGAGGTTCGAACTACTTGGAGGAATAATATTCGTTTCACAAGGGAATAATTTGATATAGTGTAACAGGACATCTACCAACTCTCTAAATCTAACAGGTGATGAAATATAACGTTTGTCATTAAATTGTCCTCTGGCACTAATTGGAATTGCTAAACATGGTATATTTGAAAAATCTTCAACAGTATTGGCATTATACAATACAATATTATACTTGGTCTTGTCTGCATTCTTACTTATGGCTTCCAAATCAGATTCGAAAACATTTGAATTTGGGAAGAGGAATTGTAAGTAGGGTTTGATTACTGAACCTGTGAGTGTATTGTGTTTGTCAAGGAGATAAAATTCAGGAGTGCAATGATGAATCGACTCGTGCAGTTCCTTTGATAATACTTCAATAGTTCTTTGATTGGATTCAAAGAATTCTGATGAATAATCATCAAAACCTGAATAATCCCCAACTAAATTCTTGAGTGGTATTATTATTGTTACCTTGGTATATTCGTCAACTTTACTCTCAATAAATATTCTACCTCCCATCAAGTCGAGTAAACTCTTTGAAATACTGAGTCCATATCCGTTATTCTCCTTGAAATCTCTTTCCTCATCTTCAATGGCAATATCATTGTTGGTTAAGGACTTTTTGTAGTATTGCTCAAATATTGGATTGGAACTGTTTTGTATGGTTGAATTGAAAGTTTCTTGATCAACCTTGTAAAATGGCTTTTTAAACAAGTCCTTAGTTTTGGCCTCTGAAATACCACAACCTGTATCTTTACAAATAAACTTGACATAGGTGTATTCAGGATCTTTCTTGAGGCCAACACGAAGCAAATCCTTATTTGTGCATTGCTCTGCAGTTAATAGGACGTGTCCCTTGTCAGTATACTTGACTGCATTGCTAAGAATGTTCATTAGTATTTGACAAACTCTCGATTGGTCTCCTAAAAACATGTACTTTGGTAAGGACTTGAAATTATAGAATGATCCTATGGAAATTCTCTTTTCCTCTGCATTTCTAATGAATACTGCAATCATTGATTCCAAAATATCGACTAGGTTAATCTTCATTTCATTAAGTTTGATTTTTCCAAGTTCTAAATTTGTCAGTTGTAGTGAAGTAGAGAAAATGTGCAATAATAAATTAGAATTGTAGTAAATATCATCTAGTGTCTCTCTAAATGATTGACTGTTAAATATTTGACTCTTTTCACTGTTCACAGTCTCATGTTTGAGTAATTGAATGGAACATAAAATGCCCTGAAGAGGATTTCTGGCTTCATGACTCAAGTTACCAATAAATTTAGTTTTGGCTGTGTTGACAATTTGCTGTTTTAACAATTCCAATTGTTTTCTTGCATTATCATCACTTTGTTGTTCCATAATTCGAGAGAACATGTAAGTTCCCACAGTTAGAATGAAATGCAAACCAATAATCTCCAAAATTTTGGTTTTCATTTCTTCAAGAATGTATTCATCCATCTTACCTCTAGCATCATACTCCCAAATGTAGGAAATGTAGATTGAAAGACAACATCCAAAAGTTGCTGTAGCTGTATTAATAAGAGAAAATATTCTCCTATAATAGAAAATATTAACAGATATGATAATTGGGAAAGTTTGCAAAATCCAAAATGGAAAATTAGGTCCATAGTACGTTTGCACTACAATCCTTCCCATGATTGCAATCAGAGTCCTACAAATATTAATAAGTTCTAGTTTTGGTATTGATTTAATAGTTACTGTAGAGCATAAAGTATCAATAGTAATATTGAACGACATTTCCACAACAAAACCCAACCAGAAAACGAAATATCCATGTGTAACTGGATTAATAAAAACTAGTGAAACATAAATAAGTAGGATTGCAATAGCAATCATTAATTTAGGATTTGCTTTTGCTAACTGTTCATGCCTAGATTTGAATTTAATAATTAGAGCTTCATCATCCGATAAACTAAACCTCCTGTCTTGTGGTAGAGGTAGAGAAGAAGATGGTGAAGAATCGGGTGTTGAAACAGTTGAAGTACTATTTTCTTCCACTGATGTTTTTGTGGCTGTATTGATAGATTGTAAATAGGTAGAAACTTCATGATTATTCAATAGAGAGGACATGAAGAATTTCATAAATCCTCCAGTGAGAGTTTTCCAATAATATGATGCTGGGTAAGAATTTTCTTCTTCCATATGTTCCGAAGCTTCATTAGCTTCTTGATTGGTGAGAATTAGACTTTCACATGTTGATGATACATCACTGCTATCTACTTGACTTGAACTGGATGTTCTTTTTAATTGTTGTTGTTGCTGTTGGGGTGGATGTTGTGAATCTCCTAGAGAGCTGATATGACTACCAGAACCAACACCACTCGTTGATTCATATGGTGATGAATTATTGGTAGCACTCGATGTTCTAATCACAATAGGTTCCAAAATACTGTGATCTGTTAATGATTGATCCTGTTCATAGAAGAGTATAAAACTGTCCTTTCTTTTTTGTTTGTTTCCGACAATCACTTGGTCAATATTACTCAATAATTCATGATGAGTTGTTGAAGAACCACTTCCAGAACGTGAGGAAGTATGAAAAGTATAACTATTTGGGAGAAATTGAGTTAGGGATGAGTTAGAATTTGAGGAGGAGATGGAATTGGATGCCTTTCTTGTGGTAGGAAAATGGTGAGGAGAAGATGATGGTGTTGTGTTTTGATATGAAGATGAGGATGATCCAACAACATTCGTTGAAGCATATTGTCCGTGAATACTTGTTGAATAATTATTATTATTATTATTATTTGACTCGTAGGTGTGCTGTTGTTGTTGTTGTTCTGGATTACTTGTCCAACTATTGGCACTATGGCATGATAGGGGTGAAATGCACGGAGATTGATGTTGTGCTTGATGATGGCACTGATGATTATTGTTAGACATGAGGGAAATATTAATACGAGGTATGGAATGTCTTGCTTGTTGTATATGATGTAAATTCAAAACTTCATATTGAGCATCGTTGGAATCACTAATATCATCAGTAAATTCTTCTTGTTGTGATTCCTCACCGTTCCTTAAAGCAACATGTTCATGTTGTTGTTGTTGATGACCAGATGAATATTGGTGCCCAAAACAAAATTCATCCAAACCATGTGTATTCAAAGAACAAGATTGGGCTTCCTTATCTAGTTGATTGGTTGGAATTGTACCACTACCGCTCGGCATGCTACTTTTTTTGTTAACTGTTTCATCTTCCGACATGCTCGCTTGAATAAGATCATTTTGTTGTTCATGTGTGTTGTTGTTGTGTGGAGAGAAGTAAAGCAAAGAAATGGCAGCATCTTGTTGTTGATGAAGAGTACTTTCATGATGAGGGAGCGGAGAAGCATCTCTTGTGGTAGTATTCGCATCTTGTGGTGCTGATTTGGTGTAAATAATACTAAAAGTGTGTTCATCATGTATTGGCGATGATGTTCGACTGGGGTTATCATTGATGTTATCTTTCCGTTCTTCCTTGTTGTTGTGTGTTGTTATTACTGGTTGTTGTGGTGTTGGTTTAGTATCATGATTGTCCTCACCACCTTCACGTCCAACCATTTTTTCTCAATCTTGTTTTTGTTGGGTATGAGAAACAGATGTTAGCAAATAATTATCATTCAATGCTCCATTTCACTTTTGCCACTTGTCAAATCAAATTGACTGTTGGCATTTATGTCTTGTACTATTATGCGAAGTGTTTGGATTCTCTATTAAACCTAACAAAAGACAATGCCTCAACACAATTTATCATAAATACAAGAAGATATTATTACGCACTACAGTTTTCCTCAACACAACTTTGAACAGCCTATTTAACACCTTATTGTAATCCCAATTTCTATTCAATCCAAACAACCGTAATTTTTGCCTTGCTGCAGCATAAGGAAGGAGAATTTGTGTTCCATTGCAGAAATTTTCCTTATCAACGCTGATGGACACGAAAGAAAAAGTTGATCGGACGCCCATGTCTTTCTCATCATCAATTAGATTAGAAAAAAATTTAAAAAACAACAACTCAGAGAGAAATGCATGAAGCACGTCGTCTCTCCATTCTTCTCAACCACTTGAATATCCATGTGGATCAAGAACAACAACAAAATTCCCTATCATCAAATTCATGTTCATCATCTTCATCATCAAAACAACAACAAATAATTTATAATATTCCTTCCAATGCTTCTGATTTGAACTTTAAAGGGGATGATCATCATTTGGAATTACCTGCTGATGAATCCCTGCATAGATATCATTTGATGCTCAAGAGAAAGGATCAACCACTCTACGATCAACTTCCAACCAAATCACTTTCATCATTGAAGGCTTTCCATTCCAAAGATTGTAAATCACTTGCTTCACGTCTTTTACAAACAGCTGAAAAGACTATTTTCGATAAGGGTTACACTGCAGCTCGTGAAGCTGTTTGGAAGATTTTAAATCAAGAAACTTTTACTATTGATAATGAATGGCAAGATCAACAACTCAGACTTCAAATTGTTTCACAATTCCGTGAATTCATCAAGAATAAGCCAATTACAACACAAGTTATGAATGAAAATATCTTCTTCTTTTTGGGAGCACTTGAATCTGCAATTCAATATGATACATCATTCACTGCTGCTCTTGTTGTTAGTATGCAATTATTTGGTACTTGTATTTACAAGCTAGGAACTGGAAGACATCAATACTTGTTGAATGATTTGAATTCTGGTCGTGATATTGGAAGTTTTTGCATGACTGAACTTACTCATGGTTCAAATACTAGAGCCATTGAAACAACAGCTCATTACGATCATGACAAGAAGGAATTCATCATCAACTCACCAAGTGAATCATCTTACAAATATTGGATTGGTAATACTGCCTTCTTTGGAACCAAGACTTGTGTATTTGCTCAATTATATGTCAATAATGAAAATAAGGGTGTACATGTCTTTGTTGTTCCAATCAGAGATCAAGATACACTCGACATGTATCCAGGTATTACCATTAAGGATATTGGATCAAAGAATGGATGGCGTGGTGTTGCTAATGGTTGTCTTCGTTTTGATCATGTAAGAATTCCAGCTAGTGCCCTATTAAACAAGTATGGCGACATTGATACAAGTGGTAATTATACCAGTCAAATTAAGGATGAAAATGTAAGATTCGCCCTAACTTTGGCAGCATTGAGCATGGGAAGATTGCTCTATATTGCTGGTCCAACTTTTGCTTTGAGAGCTGGTTTGACCACAGCCATCAGATATGCTCACCAAAGAAGACAATTTGGTGGAAAGGATGGAAAGGAAAATTTAATTTGGGAATATCCAACTCATTTGAATATGATGTTACCAATGGTTGCCATTTCACATGCTTTCCACTCTGGAATGGTTACTTTGGCTCATGAATGGGCAAGTGTCAACAATTCTAATATGGAAGATTTCCATGCTGTAGTTTCAGGTATTAAGGCCTACGTTTGTGAATATGTCACTCCTGCATTGAGAGAGTTGAGAGTTGCTTGTGGTGGTCACGGATACAGTTCAAACAATAGAATCAACATTCTCATGAATGATATGGATGTTTTCAATACTGCTGAAGGTGATGCCACTGTTTTGTATATTCAAGTTGCTAAATTCCTTCTTGGAAAGGCTTCAAAGAAGGCCAATAATAATCCAGTCCTCAAACTTGTTTTGAGTGCTGAACCAAAGGCTGCTCAAAATGTAAACTTATTGACATTTGAAAATCAAGCAAAGGCATTGGCTTTCAGAGTCAAATCCTTATTGGAAAAGTGTTCCACCTCCATTGCTAAACACATGAAGGATAAGAAGGATGCCCAAACTGCATTCAACTTGGCTCTTGTTGATGTAATTGAACTTGCAAGAAGTTACATTGAATTGGAAATGTTATTCAGACTCGACAAGTCTCTCATTAAGAATGCTGCTGATGAACAAGTTAAGCAAGTTTTCAAGACCTTGTCTGATATTTATGCTCTCACAATCATCAAGCAAAACCTTTCCTATTATTTAGTTTATCAATATTTTGATATTGACACATCCAAGAAGGTTATGGATGACATTCTTCCACATCTTTACCAAACAGTTAATCCAGACATTTTGGAAATTGTTGATTCCTTCAATATTCCAGATTCATTGTTGAGAGCACCATTAGGTTTGAGTAATAACCAAAGCTATGTCAAGAGAACACTCCAAAGCATTGGTTTCAAAGCTCCAACCATTGAATAATAAAATATTTTAGACAATTATAAATCGGCTGTATTCTTCCAAAACAAGATGCACCAATCAAGCCTCAATGATCATTCCCGCCACAAATTTCAGTTCAAACTAGACCAATTAACGTTGACTTTCACTGGTCATCTCTCTGGAACTTAAAGGTTCAACAACACAAAAAAATGGCCAAACAATCAAATCAAAGCACCAATGGCTTTTATTTATCCGTCATGATGATGATCGTGTTTCTATCATTGTGTTGTATGATTGAAAATTCTCTACAACAAAATTTTGTCACCTTCAATTATTATCCAAATGAAGGGAAGCTTTTCTCCTCCGATAGCAAATTCGTCAATGTTCAGGGGAGTATTCAAAGTGGTTATTGTAATGCCCTACTGAGTGATTTTGAGCAGTATGGAGCATCGGCTTTTTGTTTTTCAGACAATGCTGGTCTGACCATTTATTTGGGATATGGATATTCATTGAGTGGGATTAGATCAGGAACGGACAGTGATGGAAGATTTGTGAAAATTGAACCAGCTTCTTCTGTTGATTTCAGTGCTGCACTAGATCAGTTAACTATTAATCCTTCGAGAAATTCATATATGATTGTGAGTGCTGTGGGAAGCTATGTTAATCTGCCAGGAGCTCGATTAAGCTATTCCGTTATTACTAGTGATGCAAAAGTGAATCAATATTTGGCAAAACGTTATCAAACTCAAAATCCAATTATTTTCTTTCCATTAACTGAACTTTCTGGTACCTCATTACAAATACAACTTTCTGCTAATTCGTCTGATTGGAATTTGGCGAGATCAGCTTCTACGATCATTAAAAATGTTTCGTATGATAGGAGGACATCGTACAACTATGGAAAATCATCAACAAAGTGCGTAGACTATAATTGTTTTATAGAGACAATGGTAAACGAGACACTTGTGGATAATCCTTCAGTTAATTATTATTTTAATGGAAATTTAGCATCAAGTTTGAATAACTTTCAAATGGCAAAGTTTACACCAGCAATTTTTAAATTGACATCTAGTTCTACAACTTTGAAAACTGTTTTCACCACAAACGAAACTTTAAACACTGACATAATAACTGATTCATTTTCATTATTAACTGGTTATTATTTGAAGAATGGTGATAAAATTCACTCTCAAAGTCAACCGATCACTATCATTTTGGAATCAAGAGACACAAATGCTTTCCCATTGGAAGCTATTACTTCTCTGAATTGGTATTTGAGTGTTTCAGCAAGTGTTGACCTTTCTCAATATTCCAACAAGAGATATTTGACATTACCTGCCAACATATTCTCTTCCAATCAAGTTTTGGTAAAAGCAGAGGTCAATTTCAACGATGGAACGCAAATAACTCTTTCAACCACTTTATATATTCAGAATATTGGAACTTTAACATTGACTATGGATCCAACAAGCCCATATCTCACATCGGGGGCACAAGTCAATTTGATAACTTATGTAAATGTACCTACAGTTACTATTCAATCCGTTGTGTATGAAGATAGCGCATCGAAATACATTTCTCTTGATTCAATCAAATCAGAGTTTAATACTAGCTCTATAATTTCCGCAACACTTAAGGCAGATACTCCAGGATCGCTTAGTTTTATGCAAACTATCAAGCTCACTTCAGGAATATCTCTCTATAATTATATTTCAACAAAGGTCATGCCTAAATATCCACTTATTTCTGGTTGTTCTGTTTTGCCAAGTTATGGAATCGGTTATGAAGATTTGTTTGGAGTCTCATGTCCAATGGCTCTTGACCAAACCAAGATTTCATCCGTTAGAGTTGAAGTCTATCAAGACACCGAAAAGCTTTTCACCCTTTTCAATACCAAAACTGCAAACTTTGCAACAAGATTGCCTTTAACCTTAGCAACAACTAGTAGTTATGTACAGGTAACAATTACAGATATTTTTGGATATTCACACTCGTCTGTCAAATTTTATTACTCTGCTAGTATGAATCAAAATTATCCTACAACACTGTTGGGCAGGATTGAAAGGATTCAATTCTATTTGAGCCAAACAAAGGCAAGAAACTTCCAAACGGCAACTAATTATGGTATATTGTTAAACTTGTTAACAAATGGCATGCTCACAAGTGCTACCGCAATTGAAATTTCTCAATATTCAGTACAATGGAACTCATTCTTGGATTATTTTGTATCTGAATTGGATATTCTAAGAAGAACCATTTTTCACAGCTCTGTCTACGATAGGGCTGTACCATTATTGGCACCTCTACTTAGAGAAATTGTTGATTTTGCCGATAAGGTTTCGGCATACACAACTTTAATATCAACAAAGAAACAAGTGCTTGTACAAAATGCAGAATTTTTGATTAGTAATGACAAATCAGGATGGCTATCTACGAGGGATCGTGCAGCTATTGTCAGAATTTTGGGATCAGTCACTGCTTCAGATCAAACAACGTTTTGGAATGTTACCTCATTAACAGATATTTCAGATTTCAGCACAGCTTTCAAATCACAACTTTCCAAGTTAGATTCCATGTTTAACAGAGGATTAGATTTATCTCCTTTTGGATTTAATAAGCAAATTAGCAAATTTGATACACTATTCGATTTATCATCAGCCCAGAGAAGCATTTCAGGTTTGACAGTTCAAATGCCAGCATTAACTCTCAATGATTATGGTTATCCAGCCAATAGCTATTCTCTCTTACTTACAAGTTATGATATTTCAACTCAAGTATCCTCAAAGAAATTTAGTCTAAGTACTGGAAACTATTCAAGGTTTTGTGGAAATACACTCTTTTCAATTGATGTTGGAAGGAGTGATGGAAGTATTTTGGGAGTTTCAGGACTCTCATCACCTATTATTCTCACAATGGATTTATCTCTTGATAGTTCTTTAGCCACTTCAATTAGTAGTGTTAATTTTACTTGTAGATATTTGGCTGAAAACAATATGTGGTCTACGAGTGGTGTGGCAACAGAGGTCGTAACAGTTGGTTCAGCATCAGTTAAAGTCAGATGTAAAAGTAACCATCTCAGTACCTTTACAGTTTTTGCAGATGATGTTTATGTCTCCACAACTAATAATTCAACAACCTCAAATACCGATAAGGTAATACAATCAGGATTATCGCAAGGAGAAATTGCTGCTGCTGTGGTAGTGCCTGTCGTTGTTGTTTTAATTATTACTGTAATTATTATTGGAATTGTTATTTTCCTGTTATTGAGAATGAAGAGAAAGAAAAAAGCTAATACAGCAGAACCTAAAAAGATGAAGAAAGAAATCAATGCTTACCAAGCTGATTCAGTTAAATATGACGACCTAAAGATTGAAATGAGCAGTAACATGTTTATCTCTGATTACAAATCGCTCAATTCGAATACTATTCCTTCTGCAACTTCTGTTCAATCAACAGAGACACCAACGAGTTATAATGTTACAACTCCATCCACATCTACGAATGTCATTAACAAGAAATATGAAATTTTGGAAAAGATTGGTGCAGGAGGTTTCGGCGCAGTTTTTAGAGCTAGAAACTTGTTTTTCAATCATGGATCCAAAACTGTCAATGATTTGGAATATTATGCCATTAAGAAGATTCAATTATCTGGTCTGTCCGAGTTGAATGACAAATTCAAGGAAGCTGTCAACATGTTCAAGATTCGTCACGAAAATTTAGTATCCTTGGAAGATGCAGTGGTTGATGAATCAACCAATTCCCTCTATCTAGTAATGAAATTTTATGGAAATGGAGATTTGGATCATTTTGTAAAGAGTAAGAGAATGCTTCCAGAACAAGTACTTAAACAAATCATTGTTCAGGTTTGCAGAGGTTTGAAATATTTGGAAGAAGAAAGAGGTTTAATTCACAGAGATATCAAACCATCCAATGTATTTGTTGAATATTTCGATTCTGAAAGAGATAACATTAAGGTAGTAGTGTCTGACTTTGGTTTAGCCAAAGAGTCGAACATGATGACTTCAGTTTCGTTTGCAGGAACACCATTTTTCATGAGTCCACAAGCATTAATTGGTTCCAAGTACAGTTTCAATGCTGACATATTTTCACTAGGTTGTAGCATCTTTTTAATGATTACACACGACATGTCCTCATCCATTGCTCAATTATACTTCCAAAAAGCAGGAAATCAAGGTCAGGTACATGAATTTATCAGAGACAATATTAAGAAGGCATGCCAGAATAGTAGAACAATTTCATACAGTGATGAATTTATCGATATTTTATTGAAATTAATGGAATTTGATGCAGATACTAGACCTAATGCAGCAAAAGTTTTGGAAATGATTGAAAATTCAGTGGAAATTACAACTGTTTAATGAACATTGTATATTTTCTACAGTTCAAATAAATAGTAGATTTATCAAACTACTATTTGCAAATGTTATTCAAAAGAACAACAACTATGTTTCCAATTCCTAGTCCTTGTTCATTATTTAGAATGCAAGGAATTATCTGTTCTACATCCAGAACTATCAAACTAACCACCATAGACAAGTGATATTTTAAACTCATAGTCGAACAGCAGTTCTCTGAAAACTTCATTGTAATACATTGATTGAAAGGGGCGGTCCAATTTTGTATGTCGTTTCTTCTTTATTTAAACGAAAGCAGTTCAGGCTAACGAATACAACAACAATCAAAAAAAAAATGTCGAAACTCAGAATTATTCTCGCTGTTGTGCTTGTTTGCATGGTAGCAGCATGTTGTATTGCCGAAACCACAGAAAGTGGAGAGTGGAAAGTTAAACTTCGTAATGAAGATTGTAAGAGAGAAATGAAATTCTCCTTGTCAGATTCGAATAAGGTTGCCGAAATTGAATCCACTGGTGGATGTAAATCAAAGGACCCAGAAGGACTTATTCAAGGTTCTATTGCTAATATTGAATTCCAATTTAATGTCAAGAAGGTGCCACTTGTCAGAATGAAAGCTCACACTGCTGTCAAAGTTGATAATGGACCAACCAAAGTTGTTAACATGGGTGGTTTGTTTGGATTCGAAAGATTATTCGAATATATTAACAATGATGGAAAGGATGGTTATCAAGTTAATGGAACAGACACTATCGTTCGTTCAATTGACTTGTCAACTGTTTCTTGGTCTCAAATCACAGTTCAAAAGACAGTTTTGAATGGTTCTTCAAATTCTTTCATTTATGAAGCTTCTTCCCAAGCAACTATTGCCAATTGGTGTACTTTCAAAATGTCAGCTGTCGTTTCTACTAGTGAAGTTCAAGTTACAAGCAATAAGACTCTTTCTCGTTCTGGAGTTATTCAAGTTTTGACTCCTTCCTCACTCAAAGTTAATGTTGAATTGACAAATATTCAATATACTGCTGGTAATTCCTTATTAGGTATTAGTTCTATCACTGCTTATCGTGGAAATTTGAAAGAAAAACCAACTCAAGATAAGCCAGTTGAAGAAAAGCCAGATGATGCTTCTCCTGATCAAGCTGTTAATCAATTTGATGGAGATGTCACTGATCAAACTGGTTCTTCAGCAGTTGTTTTGCCAAAAGCATTCTTCTCATTCCAAACATTTGTTTCTAAATATCCAACTAGCTCACCAACAAGTATTTCTAGATCTACTTTGGGAGTTTCACCATTCGTTGATGCTAACGAAGATTCTGTCAAGCAAATCAGAGATGATTTTGACACTAAGGGAAAGGTAAAGAGATTTTATGTCTCCTTATTGGAAAGAGTTGATAATTTCGTTTGGGATCCGACTGTTGGATCAAGCACATCTGGAAGTAATGGAATTTGGAGAGGATTCAGTGTTGTTTTGATGATTTGTTTTGCTTTCTTCATGTTGTAAAATAAAATTACTTTCTTGTACATTAAAACATTAAATATGTCTTAGAATAAATTATTACAAGAATTATTATAATTTTTGGATAAATTTGGAAAGTGAATTGAGAATGGAAATTGGAGATTGATTCTGCTAACACCTGTTTAAAAATCACCTCCAGAAAAACGCCTAAAATCTTTTTGTCATCATTCATTTAACAAAAAATGATTCGACAACTTCAGGTAGCTTTCGGCTTGTTTATTTGCTGTGCATTTCTTCTGCATGTTGCACTGTGCATTCCACCTGGACAAGTTGTGAACATTAACAATTGGTATCTTACCCTTCCAATAGGAAGCTATAAGAATCCACAAAACATCTACCAGCCGAATCTAAACACATTCGAAAGTGATCCGTATTTTGTTACTGGAAACGATGGAAACAGCATTAGATTTAGAGTTCCAATCCATAAACAAACTGTTACAACATCTGGAAGTAGTTATCCAAGAACTGAGTTGAGAGAAATGGATTCGTCTAATCCTTCCAAGACGAAAGTTGCTTGGACGAATTCAGATAAAGGAGTTCATACCATGATTATTGATCAGGCAATCACTCACCTCCCAATCAAGAGAAATCGACTTGCGGCAGGTCAAATCCACGATGACAATGAATTTGTCATTATTATTCAATTGACAGGAAGTCAACTTTTTGTAAAAACAAATAAGAATGCAAATGCCAAAGTTTTAGATAGTAACTATCAATTAGGCACTAGATTCCTCTTGAAAATCGAAGGATTTGGTGGAATTACCAATATTTATTATAATGACATGACGAAAGCTGCCTATTCCTATGAATATTCGTATAAGAATGCCTATTTCAAAGCAGGATGTTATTCGCAATCAAATTGTGATTATGAACAAGAATTGTGTACAGACACTTCGTTTGTTGAGATTGTTTATGGAAATATTTAATATTACGGTACCAAAAAAGTTCTCCATTCCATTTTCAAACTGTAAAAGGCAAAAAAAACAAAGATAAAAAAATGGCTCAACAAGTCGTCGTCGTTGCTTTTGATTCTCACGCAGGAAACAAACATTTAATGTCCTTTTTCATCTTGATGACAATTCTATTGACAATATTTTGTCCAGCAACAAGTGCGGGATTGATCGGAGAAGTGAATTCACAAGAAGAAAATACAACAAGTGGAATTTCTATATTGACACTTCCTAATACTCAATCAATTGTTGGAAATTCAACAGTTGCCTTTTCAGTGGTTAAATTATCGACCAAGTATACTTTGAGTGAAAATGGATTTGTAAGATTGGACCTTAGTGGACTTTTAAGGGGAGATTCGAATTTTAAGGAAATTTACTTGACAAGCGTTTATCCATTTGAATCAAATTCATTGGAATTTGATTATTCATTCAAGAAGGAAGGTCCTTATTCATCTGCTACTTCAAATATTCCTGCAAGTTCAACAATTATTGCTCAGATTTCAATTCCAGAAAGTTTACAATCATCTGCATTTATTTCACTTTATATGGATATTAAGTGTTTACAAACAAAGTGTGATTTCCAGGTTTCTATTGAGGATGGAGTTTCTGTTGCTATAGGAGCTGTCATTGGCTCCATTCTTGGTGCAATTATTTTGGTAATTATTGGAATTATGGTTTTGGTCATTTGGTTGAGAATTTATTCACCAAAATATAGGACTGATGAGGATAAAGTTAAATTAACATCGACACATGTTTAAGTGTTGGAATTTAAATTATTATCATTTTCAAATATTTTCCAATATTTTGTAATATTTTGTAATTTTGTAAAATTATTAAATAAATTTAAATATTAAAAATGTCGCAACCAATCATTAGATATGCCTTCCTACATGGTTATGCTTCCTCTCCAAGCACTCGGAAGGGTATTCATCTCAAGAAATTCTTCTCAGAACATGGCATTGAATTGGTGGTTCCAGATTTGAATATTCCTTCGTTTGAAGAATTGACAATTTCAGTGTTTTAAATTATTTGGAAACGGAAATATTATTAGATTGTGATAATGATGGCAAAGAGGTACATAATTTTATGATTTTTCTTTTTAAATATTTAAATATTTGATCATCAATTTATTAAAATATTTAAATAATGTTTAAATATTCGGAATTGCTAAATTTCATGATGGAATATTATCATCACTATCAACAGATTAAATGGAGATTAATTGCAAGTTCTCTGGGAGGCATGATTGGAACGAGATTTGCTGAGCTTCACCCAGAAAGAGTTGATTCTCTCATTCTCCTTGCCCCAGCTTTTAATACTGAAAGTAGATGGAGAAGTATTTTGGATATTGAAGAGTGGGAAAGAAATGGAACGAGAGAAATTTATAATTACAAACTTGGATCTGTGAAACATGTGAAATTTGACATTTTTAAAGATTTAGTTAATCATCCAGCATTTCCCATTCCAAATTGTGTATTAAATCAGGAAGGGAAGGGTATTAAATTGTTTATTATACATGGAGAACAAGATGATGTTGTGAAAATTGGCACAACTGATCTGTTTTTGGAAAGATTAGTGGAATTGAACTTTGATTTGGAGAGAAATGTTAAAGTTTTCAGAGTTCCAGATGGACATGAACTTGTGAGTGAGGAAACTTTGAATTTGATTGAAAAGTTGGTGTTGGATAATTTACTATTGTAAATAAGAGTTTTGGAACTTTAGTTTTCAATCATGTTCACAATATAGATTATTATCACAACAACCAAATAATTTACTTTAAAGGTGATAGAGTGGTAAAACATCAATTCCCAAATTTTCATTGCCATGTGATGCAAAGTTTCTGTGAAATTCAGTTTACAATTCTTCATAAACTTTTTCATTGTTAATTCCAATTTTCTTCATCATTTCAATTTCTTCACTTGATTTCCCATATTGAATTAGTCTTAATGAGAAAATAACTGGCGATTCGACAAGCTGAAGGATCATTCCAGTCAATTGAGCACAAATCAAATAGAGAAATCCAAAATTTTCCCAAACGAAACCTTTCAACAATTTCGAATCATCTTGGAAACTGTCCCTACAAAAATACAACACCAAGGCACATGCAAATCCGCTCACCATTTTGCATCTTTCAATTTGATGCAAAATGTTATTGGTTTGCTCGTCACCACTCCAGAGTTGACTAAACATGTAGTTCAGTAAATTGTTTTTTGAGGATTTGACACTTTGAAACACTAAATTGGATCTCAATTTCATGGAATTGAAAAGATTGACATTTGGGGTAACACTGTGAACAAGTAGTGAGCGACTTGTCAAGAGTAAAATTAAACAACAAATGACAAATAGCAGACATCCAATTCCAAATAATAAGGAAAATGCAATTATCAAGATAATGCACAATATTCCCAGAGTTAGAGATACTGGATCCATATTAGTTTCTCTAAAAGTTTCCGATTTCTCATAATAATAAGTTTTTTCAGTTCGAGTAATCGTTTTGGTTGATCTCTTGTCAATTACATCCATAACTTTGGAACAGAATGCAATAATTGGAAAACTAATTGATACAGAAATGACACACAAATCTCTGAGAACAATGATCAAATGATGAACTGTTGTGAAAATTGAAAAAATGGTCAACTCAATTCCTTTGTACAAGAAATTGTTAAAAAATAAATGAAAGGGGGAGAACCATCTTCTAGAATCAAACACCTCCATAAATATTAACTCTGAAATTGTGATATGAACAATATTAGTCATGATTTCCATTAATAGAAAGGTCAGTAATATTTCACTGTAAAGGACGAACTTGTCTGCTTGTGAATTGAAGATTGAAAATACCAATAAAACCAATATTACTTGCATAAACAAGCCAAATATTACTAATCCAATCGATTGCTTTAAAATCTTCCATGAAAATTTGGTGACATCTGCACTGACATTGAAAACTGACGTTTGTTTGAAAGTTCTAATCAAATCTAATACTAATACAACAAATGAATAAATTGCCAACAAGCTGAATAACCATTTAGATTGATCATCTTCCAACTTTCCATTGAAAAACATGTAGAAAGCAAACAAACAAAGAGAAGCTCCAAAAAAGAAACTTCCAATAAAGTGAATTGTCAAGTAAATGATTCTATCTTTGCAATACAGTTCTATAAAGAACAGAGAAGTGAATACTATTCCTATCAGTATTGAAAAACCAATAACAGTTTGCAAAATGTCAACAAACAACGAAGCCACAATCTTGTCAACAAGTGTCACGAGTGAAAAATCAACAATTTTACAAGCCAGCAAGTAAATAACAATAAAAGCCAAAGGACTTGTACAGATCAACCCTTTGAGAATGATTGTTAGTGCATTAGGAAAGTTTCCAGTTGTCATATTTTTTTTCTTATTGAATTTCAAAACGTGAAAACGTGATTAAACACAATCAAACTATTCTCCAATATCCACTCTATCTCATTCCAATCTCAAATCCACTTCCTTCCCTTCAAACTTCATCTCAAAATCATCTCAATTTCCAAAATAGCCGTTACAAAAAAATCAAAAAAAAACATAAATTTCAACTCAAAAAAAAATGAAAAGAACAAAGAGGGACGATCCTGTTGCTCTCGTCATTGATTTGGCATCATCATCATCGGACGAAGAAGAAGAAGAAGAGGAACAGCAAAAGGAACAACAATCAAATAAAATTAGATGCACAAATTGCCGTAAAGGGCACTCCAAATGTTCATCTCTGCAGGACGGAATTTTTCCATGCAAAAGATGTAAGGATAAGAAGAAGGAATGTATTCCAGTGAATTTTAAAAGAGGTATGAAGGAATCCGACTCTAAAACATCATCAAAATCTTCAAAATCTCCATCATCAAAATCATCAGCGAGTGGAAAATCAAACAACAAGAAAAATTCATCAAGTCAAACATCATCTTCATCATCAATAGTACAAACAGTTGTTAAAAAGGAAGAGGAACCAAAGAAGAAACGAAAAGTGGTGAAGGATGAATCCGATGATAGTCCAACAAGTAAGCCACTTCTCACCAATCTGAATGGTCACTCACAACACGATCAAATCGAACCATTCGATGAGACAACTTATAACAATTTTGAAAGATATTCGGAGAGATTATTGGAAGTAACATCTGATGATGGAAGATCGAATACTACTTCCTTCATTAACAATAATAATAATAATAACAATAATAATAGTATGAATATATTTCTTGCTAGGATGCCTAATGGAGATTTAAACTTGATGAGAGCTCCATCACTTCTTCAATCCAAAATAATGTTGGAGAAAATGGTTGCAGAACCTGAAACTGCAATGATTTATCAGTATGATGGTCCTCTGTGTTTTGGATTTTCTCCCACTGTTAGACCTCTAGCATCTGCAGAACAGTACATGATTAATCAAGTCAGTACTTTATCAAAATCTAGGGATACTCTACTTCATCAACATTTTGTGGAAAACTACAAGAAGAATCACATGCTTGATTGTAAATTTAGAGTTTATGATGTGGAATCGAAAACTGAGGTCGATTTGGAATGTCACTCTGCTGTTGTACTTTCCTTTAGTCCTTATCTGAGATCTCTCGTCAAACCAACAGCGACTCAACCAGTATTTAAATTTGGAAACAAATTTCACTATGTAAATAAGAATGCACTGTTAAATATTATCGAATTTCTCTATCTAGGAAAGAAAATTGCTGGGAGTATGGATGAACTGTTTGATATTGTACTTTGCTCAATTTTGATGGACATTGAAGAAGTCAAGTATGCAGCATGTCTCACTATTATTACTAAATTATTCAAGGAAGGTCAAATTGCACCACTCAAACCTAAAAGAGCTGCCAAAATAGTTGGAGTTTTACATTTTGCAGATGAACACTTTTTGCAATTACTCATTCAAGCAATTTTCAATAGGATCGTGAGAGAAGATGTTGGAGAAGAATTGAAACAACATGGATTGAGTAAACATTTATTAGAAAAACTGAGAAGTTGGCAAGAATATCGAGATGGAGTTGTGTGGAATGAAGAAGGACTCACTAAGGATGTCTCTATGAAACTTGACAATAATACCCTCTCAACCAAAACATGGCACAAATTGACCAAAACTGCCTACCCAAACAGACAATACTGTCAATCGAAAGAAGATCTCAAAGAAGTCATCATTTCCGAGCAAATAGAACACGACCTAAAGAAAGCTAAAGAAGCAACAAACTCTCAATCATTAAGCAGCCCTAAAAAATCCATTCACAAACGTGTTGTTTCTAATCAACTTTTGTAAATATTAATGTATTTACAACCATGACGAGCTATAGTATTATTCAACTCATTATCTTACGACATTTCCGATCTCTATTTGTTCTATTCATCCTTGATGATGCACCAAGAATCTCTCTTCTTCGCACATTATTATCAATTTGCTGTACGACAAGTCCTCGTACATTGCATTCATCAACATACATGATGAGAAAGAGGACAAATATTAATAATCAATTAGAAAAAATTCCTTCCACTTGCACAATATAGAGATGAAGTATCAAAGAAACAAGTTACTGTCATTATGTTTATTGGCCATTGTTGGATTAATGTTCATGATAGGAGGATTGAATGGACAGAAGGATTGTCCCTCCTATCGTTCCAAACACTACTTTCCAAGGATGAGATATGAAAATGATGGCACCACCACTCGATCGGAATATTTGACAATGAGGGATGGTGTAAAGATTGCCTGTGATTTATATTTGCCATACAGGGCTGTTAATGAAAATCACAGATTGCCAACATTGTTGCACGTGACCAGATATTACAGATCTTACAAGGTGAATTGGCCATTTAATTATCTTGTTGGAGATAAGATTAGTATTAATGGAATTCCATTCCCAAAATTCTTGGCTCGTGGATATGCCATTGTTAGTTGCGATACTAGGTATGTTTTACATATAATATAACTTATTAACATAGTATCAAAAGAGGTTCTGGTGTTAGTTTCGGAAAGAGATTATACGATTTCCACAGAGATGAAGTTCAAGATTTCAAGGAAGTTCTCGATTGGATTACCAAACAAAAGTTCAGTAATGGAAAGATTGTTTCTACTGGTATTTCGTATGATGGCATGGTCACTGATTTCTTGACCTCTTTGAATCATCCAGCTTTGGTTGCTGTTTCTTCAATTTCAGGACCATTCGATATCTATAGGGATACAATCTATCCTGGTGGTATTTATCAAAAGTCATTTATTGATTATTATTTGAAATTTACACAAACTGTCGAGTCTGGAGAGATGATTACTAGATCTGATTTGTGTGCTGGTTGTGCTCCAGAAACACTCAAGGAAAAGATTATGGACAAGTTGGCTAAACTTCTCCTCGGTGGTGTTAACCCTGTGGATTCCAATGATTTGGAAACTATGAGAAAAGCCATTGAATCACACAAGGACTCTACTGACATGTTGGATGTTGTTCATCATCTTGAAAAAGGTATCAATAAGATTGTTACCACAGACAAGTTCACCTATGAAATGGAAAGAGATGGACCAATGAGAGTCATTGCTGATAATAAGAAGAGAATTCCAATATTAGTATTTGGTGGCTATTATGAAAGTATGGTTTTGAATAGTGTTGTAAAAAGATTCTACTCTTTATATCACAAGGACAGCAGATTGATTATGGGACCTTACAATCACGGTCTCAAGGTAATCAACTCACCTTACTCAGAAACCACCACACCATGTTTTGATGCCTTTGAGGAAATTATGAGATTCTTTGATCATCATTTAGGATTGGAGGAAGATCTTGGACTCGAAAATGAAAAACAAGTTCACTACTATTCTATTGGATCTGAAAAGTGGTTCTCAGTTGACAGTTGGCCACCAAAAGCTGAAGAGAAGGTTTTACATTTGAGTAATGCTGGAGCCCTCGTATCCGAGAAGACTGAATTGAATCATGTTTTAAAGCTTAATATGGAGGAAGAAACACTCATTGACTGTAAGTGGAATATGTTAACTTCACTCTTCCAAAAAGCTACCAAATACTCTGCAACCTTGTCCTCTCCTCAATTCTCCAATGGAAAGCTCAATTATATCTCACAACCATTGAGTGAAGATTTGGAAATTACTGGTTATCCTCACCTCACTGTTGAATTATCTGCCAACAATCGTGATGGATTGATTTTTGCCTATTTGCAAGAAGTTGACACCAAGGGAACTGTTAACTTTGTCATGGATACTCAATTGAGACTCGTCCATCGTAAATTGAATTTACACAGAAATACCAGTGGACTCATTGATGTAGTTCCACATCATACCTTCTACGTGGAGGATCGTCAATATTTAGAACCAAACCAAAAGACCACCATTCAATTATACTTCCCAGCTGTTTCCTACACTGTCAAGAAGGGTCACTCTCTCAAGCTTTCCCTCTTCTCATTCGATAAGATTAACTTTAAGATTTTTGAGAATGAATCTGATCTTTCCAGTGAGCTCTTCCTTCACAGTGCCTCTCTCCATCTTCCAATCGTTCACTCTCGTCCAGAATCTTCTTCTTTACATTCTGATAATTCTAATAAGGATGAGCTCTAAAATAAAACAATTTGTCATCATTCCCTTAGTATTAAATAGTGGATGCATTACAGTTCATCTCTCTCTTCTGAGGGATTCTCACAGACAGTTCAAAAAAAAATGCAGGAACAAACAACAGCAAAAGATCATGTTCTATCTGTTCTTGAAGAACAACAGCAAGATTATGCTACTACTGTTAAATCTTCATCATTTACTGCTGTTAGTCATGATGAAGAAGATTTTCACTTGTTTGAAAGAAAAAAGAAGAAACGAAAAGAAAATTCTGATTTATTAATTCTTCTATCGGAAGAAAGTGATGAATTTGATGGTGGATGGTTGAGATTGAAGGATGAATGGATGATTGTGTTGGAATTTCTTCCGATTGGAAGCATTCTCATGTTGGCCATGACTAGGAAAGCCAATTATGGATGGATTTGTGGATATGTGAGGAGGATGGCAAGATTATTGATTGAGAAGGGATTGGGAGGAAGGTTTTCAATTACTAAAATGTTGAGAATGAAGAAAAAGATGCATGTTGATTCGAATAATTTTAAACAAGTTTATGAAGTGTTTAAAGAGATTAGTTTGAGAAATGGATCATTAACTGAATTGAGTCATGGTTTTTTATTTAATGGTATTCATTTTGAACAGTTATACCATTTATTGGATATTAGAAAGAGTTTGGGACATTTGGATGAATTGACTGTCGAAACTGTTTGTCTTCCAAAGAAGGAAATTCTATCATTTGAAAGAATTTTCCTTAAGAAACAAATTAAGGACATTCCTATAGGTTACGAATTGAAAAATTTGGAATTAATTATTGAATATTCAGAGTATGGAGTTCAAACTCTTTACAAAATTCTTGCAAAATGCAGAAATTTAGAAAGTTGTCAAATTCAAGTTGACGAAAACTCTAAAAAAACCACACATCTCTATTCTGATGATACATTTGATGAAAATTACATTCATGTACCTCTAATGAATAATCTTAAACATTTAGATGTGGATTCATTTGAAGAAGACCCACAATTCATGTTTGACTTGTTGAAATTTTGTCCAAACTTGGAAACATTGCATTATGCATGTGAAGCAACACCAAAAGATGAGTTTTTGAAATTTGTATCTGAAATGTGTCCAAAACTGAGAAGAATGACCATTCAGTCTGAGTATAGTAGAATTACTGATGATGCACTTGTTGATTTTTTAACACGACAAAAAGAAATGGAATACTTAGATATAAGACCAACTCCAATGATTAGTGGAAAGGTATTTAAACACTTGGATCAATTTGAAAAGCTTAAATATTTGAGAATTCGTAGGTGTCTTCATTATGCAAGTATTGCTCCTCAATTGGTCGATGATTTTCAATTAGGATCAAGACCATTGCCCAATCTACATTATTTGGATATTGGAAATAATTATAGATTCTCTACTCATGTGAAATTTGATCGATTTGAAAATAGTTTAAAGCTAGTAGCTCCAAATTTGAAAGACTTTTATGAAATGGACAAAACGTCAATTCTCGAGCTCTATGCGACTACTTTAGAGACAACCATTGGTACTTTGACTAATCTATCTGAATTGCATTTATGCACAAATTTAAAAAGGGTAGTTCTCCAAATTCCTGAAAATAGCAAATTTGATGGCATTCCTGTTTGTCCACATGTGATTGAGTTGAAATTTCATTTTAATTACTATTTGGATAGTACAGTCTTGTTGCAACTTGCCAGAATATTTCCATCTGTGGAGGTGCTTGATATTTCGTTTTGTGGAGATTCATTTGTGGAATTATTGAAAAATTCATCATTTTGGCCGAAACTAGTTTATTTGAAGGTTTCACCAACAAGAAAGGAGAAATTAATCAACATTGACAATGCTAGACCAAGCATCTACATTGAAGGATTTCAATTTCCAATCATTCCTAACACTTTTAATTATTTATGGCTAGAAAGAGATTTAAATGTTAGAAATGAATATTTCTTGACATGATTTTGTAACCAGAATGTTATCCAACTAGCCTCCTACCAATTTCCTAAAGTTTCCGAGCTTTGTTATTTTTCATCCCACAAGTTGTTTCTAACTCAACTGATGGTGTGCAATCAACACTTTTCAACAAATTCATCAAGAAGAAAAATCATGTCTTATTCAAAAAACAGGCATGGAAAGGAATTTACCAATCCATTCTGCATCTCTTATTGGAATGTTGTAATCACAACACAATGTTTTAAAACCGAATTAAATTTGATGACGGAACGTGCCAAGAACACACATTCAATTATCCAATTGATACATCTCTCTATTATTGAATGGAATCAAAGCCAACACAAGAGCCTGTTCGTAATAGGCAGCTCTCGTAACAATCTCTCTCGTCAACAACCCTACAGCACCTGTTTGTTGCTTTGAATTGTGCTTTTTAAAGACAATATCATTAGCTTCTCCCAATTCCTTGCCCTCCTTGATGAGAAGAATAATCTCTGGTGGTAAATAAAAGCTCGATGTTTGTGCCGATGATACATAACCAGTCTTGTTTTCAACAACAACAGTGAAAGCAGAGGAAGCAACTCGAGTCTCACTCTCAAATTCTATTCCTCCCTCGATACCAACAAAATAGATACCATCAGTGTGGGTGGCTACATCAGTAGATGATGTTTCTTGCTCGAGAAAGGCTTTCTGTACATTGAGTGCTCTTGTTGTGGCTCCGTGAAGAGTTTCCTTGTTGGATTTTGGTTGGGCATCAACACCAGATGGAACAGAGAGAGAACGAAATTCTATGGACGTGTTGTCTGGATAGACTTTGATAAAGGCTTCTTTGGTGCAGCCAACTTTAACTGGATTGGTCGAGCCAACAATGACGAGCATGATGTTGTTGGATTTTTTTTAAAGATTTTAATTAAAAGTTTTTTTCAAAATTGTTCTAACGGTTTCATAAATTTTCACTATTTCCAAATCTGTTATTAAGGGATCGTAGACTGATTAACTTTCTAACAAAAAATTAATTTCAGCAAGTTTTGGAAGTATATATCTTTCTCATGAAGCCCACTACATGTGTTAGTTTAAATAAGAACACTATGAAAATACAAAAATACAAACTGAAAAAAAATGGAACGAGAACACCGCCCTCAATACAACACTTTGAGCAGCACCTCGAATATTACTGAGAATATGTTTGCAAATGATGACTCTTTTGGTGATGACGATTTAAATATGATGGGAGTTGATCGTCAATATTCGGGTTCTAGTAATGATAATAGTAATAATGATGAGGAAGAGGCTCGGCAAATTTCATCCTTCCTGAATACAACAGCAGGTTTATCACAAGTAAGGGATAATTCAATTCATTCGGGGACGGTTGATCCATCATTTGATGATAATTTATCTGATTATGGAGATGAATACTTGGGAGAGGATGTTATGATGCAGACAATGAGACCTAACAGAAATAATAAGGAAAACAATGAGGATGAGGATGAAACACTCCTTCAAACAAATTCATATGAATATTCACAGGATAAGGTGGAACAGTTCATCAAAGGAGAAGACTTTGCTGGTCTATCTAAGGAGATTGAAAAGCTTCTCGAGTCAGATAATGCCACACCTCGTCTTGGAAATCAAACAACAACACCATTGGATAATATTGGAGAAGAATATGCATCTCTTTCTAACAATAGTTCTCTTCTTCAACAAGAAGGAGAAGGAACAAATGATATGAGCACCACCAATAAGGAATCTTCATCTTTCATCACTGATGAAGAAGCAGAAGAGAGATTGAAATCACTTCTAATGAAATTGGACAAGTCAAAAATCTCGGAAACCAACACTAACAGAACGGAAAGCCCTAAACAACAATCATCTCAATTCTTTCTTCCTCAACAGGAAAATATCATAACAACCAGAATGCTTCCAGATGCAAATGAATTGTCTATTGAAACAAGATCATCAACCTCCTCACCTGCAACAACACGAGAAAGTACTCCAAGTAAAAAGATTGAGGAAATTATAGAAAAGTATGAATATTTGGATAGTATTTCTCACAATAGCGATACTGTGAAACCTGTTCATTCATCGAGAGAGGATCATCTCTTTGACAAGTATGATGCAAATTATAACAACTTGGATCAAGGGGAAATATCATTGAAAAAGGGTGAATCTAAAAGACCAGAACTCTTAAGTGCACCGTCTACTCCTTCACTCTCCTCTATAATTAATAATAACATGAATCACAATTTAGAGTTCAGAGAGCAAAACATTCTGCCAGAAAAAGAAGTGGAAATTTCAAACATCTCAACTATTTATGAGGAGACCAACGTTAATAATATAATAGAGATGAAACTTGAACCAATTTCTCAATTGTTAAGGTCAAGTGGATATGCTGGCTTTTTAGGGGAAACTGATATTGTAAAGAGTAAGTTCACAACAATCGTGCAACCAAACAATATTTTAATAATATCATTTCAATACGATAGGAATCAAAGAAACATTCCAAATGATGTTAGAAGATATGGAAAGAAAAACTAAAACCATTGAATTACAATCTAAGAATCAACAAGAATTTACCAAAACCATGTTGAAATTAAAGCAACAGGTGGAAAAGGCCAATGAAGTTTGTAATCAATACAAGGTTCAACTGGAAAAGAAGGACAATGAATTGAAAGCATTCAAGGATAACAATCAAGTTAGTAGCAATAAGAATGAGAAGGAAATTTCTCAACTAAAAAAGATGGTTGAAGGAATGACCTCCAAAGTTTCGCAATACGAGTCAAGCATTACAGTCAAAGATGAGGAGATTAATGATTTGAAAAAGAAACTTTACCAAATTGTATCAAAAGAAGAAACTAAGCGAATTAATGCGATGAATATATTCAGTCAAGCCAATAAGAGAAAGCCTACAACTAAAACAGACTTGAAAGAAATTGATATCATTTCAATGTATGAAGAGCAGAGAACACAACTGAAGAGAGAAGTTGCATTCCTTAAAACCGAGATACAGAGACTCAATGAAAGTGAAGTGCAAAATCAAAATGGCTCAGAAATTGTTCATAAGAATGAGGAGCAAATCAAAAAATTAATCGCTCAAACGAGGATGGAACGAGAACGATATTCCAAGTTGGAGGCCGAATTTAATGCCGTTCAACAAAAACTAAGTGCACTATCGAATCAGAACCAAAGAGTGATAGCAAATCTTGAAGAGGAGAATTCCAGACTTTTGAATGAGCTAAAAGGAAGACCTCACGCTGAAGACTTTGAGAATCTCAGACAAAGGAGCGAACTAATTAGAAAGGAGCTTATTATGAAGAACAAGGAACTGACAGAATTGAAAAAAACTACAGACAAGTCTGCAGTCCTTTCTATACCCGGAGGGAAATGGTCTAACACTAAAGAGGAAGCCTCCTCAAAAAAGAAGAAAACCACTGACAATGTCTCTCTCCAAACCTCTTTCGAGAAAGAAGATCAGAAAGATCTCTCTATCTACAAGGATATTATTCAAGAAGTTTGTAAAATTCTAAACATCTCAGACGTGAGTGGACTTGTGGCCTCCCTCCAAAAGATGGTTTCAATTGTGAAGGCTGTACCAAAAATGGAAAAGTTTATTTGCGAGATTTGTGATATTTGTAAAAAGGGAACTGTGGATCTGGGCCACGAAATTGATCTAAAACCAAAGGTGATTGCTCCATTGTTGGGATATTGGATTGAAAAATTGAGGGAAAATCAGGAAATGGAAAAGGAAATTGCTCAACTTTTGAATAATAGACAAGGTAAAGAACCAATAGATTATTCCGATCCTGATTACAAGGAATTGAAGAGACAAATATTGACATCAGTTGCAGAGTTGGTGAGTTACGAGTCCAATCAACAGACTCAATAAATCACCAACAATTAATACTTTCTAGGTCTGCCTCTACTTCTCTTGGGTTTCAGACTATTCATCAATTGCTCTTCCCTGTAGGATTCCATGGTGTGATTCACAAGCTGCAAGTTTCCGTTTAATGTTGAAATATTTTGAGAGTAGGTTGATGAGCTATTTGTCGGTGATTGAATTATAAGGGGAGGTGGAGGGAAAGATGATTTTCTGGCTCTTTTTTGACTTGCGGTCTTGGTTGGTTTGGAAATTAAACTGTCTTTTCTGTACATGGGAACTGGTAATATTATTTCTTGTTTGTTTTCATTAGATGGAGTGGTTTGAACGACATGATTAGTATTTAAACAAGAGGGGAATTGATCTAATGAAAATTGTCCTTGAACTGGATTAATAGATATCGAAGTGATGGGAGAAGGAGAATTGAAATTTGAAACTTCTGAGTGTGGAATGAATTCAGTTTGAGCTACCATTTGTTGATTAGAAGAGGTATGATAGCTTAGAAAAGTTGGAGAGCTACAAACTTGATTGGATATTTCACTTGACGTGTTTTCATCTGATCTGTTAATAAGCGAAATGTAAATCTTCAACAGTGAAAAAAACAATTCACTGTCTGCCTCTTGCTGTTGCATGCAATTGTAATTATTGGACATTTTTTTGTTATGGATTAGGTTTTTAATCGTGTTGATGGTTTTAAGAGTGAGGAGAATGGTTACCATACCAATCAACAAAGAGATATTCCTAATGAAGAGGATAGTTTTACCATTCTATTATATATCTCTAAATCTAGAATATCATCTTCAAATAAGTATACTCGAACATTGACATTTATAATATTCAAACAAATGAAATTGAATATTTAATTCTTCCTGGGTCTTCCTCTTCCACGTTTAGGTCTATTCAAGTTCTTTTTCATTTCCTCCCTGTAAGAATCCATTGTTACAACAGAGAGTTTAATTCCATTTTCGTTTTCATTTAACTTTTGGGTCTGATCTACTATGATTTTTGAACTTGATGTACTAGAACTTGATGAAGATGATGTAGATGATACTGATCGAACTCTGGACATGATGTTTTGATTATTTCTCGATTTGATTTTGGCAGGCTTAATAATTTTTTGTTCATGTGAAAAATTGGTAGATGTTGATGCATGTTGCGAAACATGATGTTTCTGTTAAGGTAAAGAATACATGTACACATGTCGAACTACTTACATGTACATCATGCATGATTTCTTGGGATGTTTCAATAATTTCACATTTCGAAATTCCATTCTTTTCTGAAAGAACTATTCTCATCATGGGTTTTGTCTTGGATGTAGAAGATTCATCAACAGCATGTTGTTGCTGAACTGACGCTTTGGTATTTTCAACACAAATAAGGCCTTCTACATGTTCGTTTGTGCTATTCTGCCTCAGCATCCATTGTTGTTCCTGCTGTTCTTGTTGATATTGTCGATGAGCCAACATTTGTTCCTGTTGTTGCTGTAAAGCATATAATTGAAGCAAGATTTGCATGTTATTTTCACTTGGTTCATCACTGTTGTTGTTTTGAGATATTGATGATGAGGTATTGTTGTTAAACATTTTTTAAGGTTTTTTCTCAACTGAAAGCTTCTCTAGGATTAAAGAAATGGTAGATTCGTTCCTTGTCCACAAAATTTCTAATTAAGGATATCGAATTTTGCTTAAATGCATTATGGGTTGTGCTTTTCACCTTAATAGAACAACATGCACCACCGCGTTTGAACGTACATCGCAGAAATGGCAGATTCGCACCGTGCGTCTTATAACACCGTATTTCAACCCTAATTTGACTTTTTGTGCTGAGTCAAACCCACAAGAAATACGCAGTTGTGAACTCTAAGGTTTTGTTAAGAAACTATTTTTTAAGAACAATTCCAAGAGTCTTTCTTTTCCTTAGTTTTCCTCAAGGAAAAAACTGAAGAGACACATGCTGTGCACAATTATTCAGGGAAATTTGACTTGAATAATTTTGTTCGTCGGCCATTAGTAACCAAGTTCGTCATTTGCTTGTACAAATGCTTGTAGTGATAATGTGGAAGACTCGCTGAAACGAGAACAATCCAAATCAATACACCAAACTCTTTTTCCCCTTTGATTATTTTTGAAAATCAATTAAGGTCAAAGAAATAGTAATATTTTCCCAACAATAACAAATTGATATCACAATTGAAAGGCAAAAAAAAGATTTTCACTGCTGGGTTTCATCGCTGTTGTTGGTTAGAGATATTGATGAGGAGTATCTTTAAACATTTTTTTTCTCACTTTTGAAAGATACTCCACCACAGAACTACAGAATATTAAGAATATTCATTCTCCACCACAGGAATACACAGAATATATTGTGGTGGATTCTCTTTCATGAATAATTCATTTTTGGATTGTGCGTCTCACCTTAATGGATTTAGATCACATATAGAGTGTTGTGAAATGATCGTGGCTTGAATCATCTGTAAATAATCAGAGGTCTTTCTATTTCTGCTTCTGAATCATTTTCTGTGTTTGAGAATTTTTACACTACCTTTTAGCGACGATTATTTGATTGTTCTATGACACTTTTCTTCTCTCTCTGAATAGATTGATCGAGAGGGTATGAATTGTTGGATACTTTTAGATCATTTGAGTGGGACTTCTTAACAGATGACACTGTCATCAACTGAGTCATTCACATATAAAAGTTTCCATTGGATTGGTCGAGTATAACTCTGAAAGTTTCATCAATCCTTAAAATTGTGTATTTTTTTATAGTGATTGTGTGTTTCGTTTTCCTTAAACCGATTCAATATATTGATGGATGAACAAACAAAAGGAAAATGAACCAGGAGGTAAATAAAATTGTATTTAATTCACAATCTGATCTGACGTTAGGTTGAATAACGGCCCCTCTTCTTTGAAGATACCAGAGATGGTGAAAAACCTTCAGCACATGTCAAAAATCTCTCTCAGCAAGTTTCCCTCAACTCAAACAGTTAAATTAATTTAAAAAAAATGAAAACATTCCTCTCTAAACATTCCTTGCTGCCATCAAAATCAACGACAGGTGGCAGCACTGGTAAATCAAATCAAGACATGGCAAATTCAAAAACCGAATTAGAAGAAGCAACTATCGAAAGTGCACTTCATGATCCGAAATTACTAACTGTTGGTTCCGAACCTTCCATGAGTAAACAAATTTCCAAATCTCAAGGTCAATTCGATGATGGAATTTTGAAACGAGCCGAAAAGAGTTTTGGAGGTTTTTTCAAAGCATTGAGGAATGAGAAGGATGACAATCAGAAAAAGAAGAAACCAAACAAATTTTCCAACTCTCTGCATAATATAAACAAGATGACTGATGACGTGACTAGTCCAAAAACAAGTCAACCTAATTTACAAAAGAATGGTACTGGTTCATTTCTCACTCTTCCCAATTTAAAAGCACCAGATGATCAGAGATTAAGTATTACATCTTATGACAGTAGTTGTCATTCAATGAGTCAGGGAAATTTAGAAGAATTGTCTCCATCACCAAATGCTCAATATTTTCATAAGAGAAGAGAAGGGGAGAAATCATTGGATGATTTGTCGCCAGATGTATTGGGGTATATCATTAGCTTTTTGCCATCTAACTTGGAAATTGTTAAGGAATATTATAGAGATTCGTATAGTCAATTATTAGAAATTAGAAAGAGAGCTAAACTTTCAATGAATGGAAAGAATAAGATTGAAGCGATTAATAGCAAACAAAAGAAGGCTCTCAAAAAGTTGCTCTATTCTAAAAAGGAAGCAACTCGATCTTTTGGTGTATTTTCACTTTGTTTTACGAAACGATATTTCTATGAAGAGTTATTCGAAAGGGTTTCATTCTGGCAAAGTTTATGTGAGGTTTGTAACAGGATTGACTTGAGAAGTTGGGATTCTTTCTGTCAAAAAGTTGATCAATCACATGATGATAAGGAACAAATTGACATGTGGCAGAATATTTACAGATATTACAATGAATTTTCTGCCAGATGGGAAATTCATCCAGATTTTGTGCATTCAGTATTCAAGATTTCTCAAAATGATTTGAAAATTAAGAGAAGTTCCAAAAAGTCAAAACTCAACTCAAGTCATCTTGGACACTTGATTGAATATAAGGATGAATTCAAGAGCTTGTTGAATACAGGTTCCAAAAAAGATTCATTATGTGCCATTTCATCCAATTCATTCACTCCTGGTAACTTGTACTATATAGAATGTGAATGCAAGTTTAGTTCAATTTCTTCAAGATTAGCCATAGGTATCATGCCAGATACAGATTGTTTCTTTAAGGAGCATCAAGATCCAACAGCTCACAATATGGACTATTCCTTCACCAGCTTTGATGACACAACCTCTCCATTGAAGAACATTTGCAGAAACTCTCTCAATATGGCTCAAAACATTTCACTCAACTTGTCCAATGTTCATTCACCATTCAATCCAAAAGAATACACCTCTCCTGATATGCTCTGTCTCTCCATGCTTGAGAATATGGAAGATTCCCAACTCTTCCTCTCAGGAGACAAGATTAGTATCATTATCGACTATGCCCACACTGAAAAGAATGTTCTCAAATTGTACTATTGTAACAATTGGGATAGCTCAAAAGAAAGGACTACCTTTGCAAAATCCATCGAGAGAATTAAACTTTACGATAGGACAAGAGCTGAAGGTCAATTCGCTAATTATCTTCCTCAAAATTTAGCTCTCCAAGATGATAAGGTGTTGAATTACTTGATTAAGGATGAAATTTCACAAATTCAAAAGGAATGTAAAAAGAATTCTTCAACAACAACAACCACAGAAGACAATGTCAATCAATCATTTGAAGATAGAATTAGTGAACCATTCAAAAAGTACAGTTCCAGACATGTTTATTTCCTTTCCAAATATAGAAATTCCACAGAACAAAATTATCAATATCCGAAAGGATATAAATCACATGCAAGACGTGAAATTATTTCATTTTTCAAAGTTGATGAAAAGAATGAAAGTTCACATCCAATCAAATCTTTGAGTTCTGCATTTGATCCGACTAGGGAACGTCCAACTATTTGTACAGCTGACTTGTACTTGCCAAATATCAAACTTTGCATGTCAAGTCAAGAAGTTGGAGATTCTGTCAAGATTGTGAAACCTTCACTTCCTTATCCACCTTTCTTTTATCATTTATTATCACAAAAAGAATAAGAAACCTAACTAATCTAACCATGTTGAACTCACTAACTTTATAACTCAAATAACAAACTCACCACAACTTAATAAAAACCTCAATCTAACCCTTCAAATATTCAGTCTCTTTATATCATAATCTAACCGAAATAACCAACAAAAACAATCAAAAAACAAAACAAAAGAAATGCCACAACTTGAAGTTCACGTAATTAAGGGCGTAAATTTACCCAAGATGGATGTTGGAATTGGCGCCAAAAGTGATCCCTACGTTGTGATGAAGATTGGCAAGTGCAAACATCAAACCACCATTAAGAAGAATACTTTAGATCCGATCTATAATGAAACCTTCCTCTTTACCTTTGAAAATAAGGGAGAGGCTACCACCTCCGCTACCAAATTAAAATTACAAATGTTTGATTATGATAAGTTAACAAAGGATGATAAGATGGGAAAGGCTAGTATTGTTCTGAGTGGATTAAAGAAGGGAGAAGTAACCAAGCATACTATCAAGATTGGTCCGAAGGGAAATTTACTTATTGAATTGAGAGCCTTAGATTTTGGTTTGAGTGCTGATGATGATGATATTGAACAAGATATTAAGAAGGCTTGTTATTATTACTTTAAAACACCAGTTGATGAGCAGGGAAATAACAATGAAATGGAATCAGAGGCCATTCAAAGTGCAGCTTTTGATGAGAAATTAATTGCTAATTATTTAGAGTGGCAAATTCAAACGCCCGATGATGAAATCACAACCTTTGTCAGATCTTCATTGGTGAATGGTGGTTGGTTCAGAGTGATGAAAGGCCAAATAGATGACAATTACTACTATTACAAGTATGCTGGAATTAATGATGAAGGTTTTGAGGAGTATGATCAAGCCACTGAAGAGGAATTGACAGATTTGGATAATGATATGAAACAGTGGAAGTTAGAGATGGAATATCAAGTCGATGAAAGTGAAAGGAAACAATTGTATTTTGTGACTGAATATTTGGATAGTGCCACTGGAGAATATTATGCTGTCTATTCTGATAAGCAACATCTATAAATTGTTATCAAATTAAATTGTTGAAGTTGACTTTGTTGGTGTCACGTTAAGAACTTAAAAGTGACCAATCTACAGATAATAGCTTAATAGATGGGTATTATACAACAGCGAACTGTACAGTAATAGTTCAATGATTAGTTGTGAAAAGAATCACGGATAAAGATGATTCTCGACGAAAGCTTGCCATCTTTTTAACACAATGGCAAGTCAATCTACCAATTCCACACTGAAATATAACATTGTTATCGGTTCGAATAGATTAGGAAGGTATATGTCAGATGCAAAAGTTACTTTCCAAATAAATAAGAAATGCAAGTTCTATAATGAGCTACTAGTTGACTTAGATGAATTCGAAATTAGCCACCCATTTGTTTTTGGACCCACAGTATTTGATGTTGGATCTTTCTTTCTCGAGCCTTTATTGTTCTCCTTCTCAATTTTTACAGGTTTCTAATAAATATATCATCTCTTTCGAATAGGTTTTAGAGACATTTCTACCTCATCTCCATGAATGTATCTTTGAATAAAAGCCCATTTTTATGTTTCTCTGATTCAGGGTGATGTGTTTCTTGATTTTATTTTCATAAAGTTATGTCAGTTTGCAAACGCCAAATAAAATCACCTTGATCCTAATTTGGAATACTGACAAGTGACTGGGCATGAAAATGCATGACTTAGTTGGCTGACCAGCATCAAAAGCAATCACTTAGTTTCCTTTTGAAATGTTTTAAAGTCTCCAACAATACACAATACAAAAAAACAACATTACATTTATTCGAAACAATAGTTTATTAGAAAGTATGCATCACAATAGATCAGAAAGTGAACCAACAAGAATACAATCTATCCGATTGCCTACTCATGATCGAAGAGGTCAATCTATGGGAAATTCTCCACAATCACCTTTAAACATACTTTCGTCTAGTACTCCAAGATATTCTAAACGAAAGGAAGAACGAACAGTCAATCTAGACCAATATTCCTTCAAAACACAAACTAATCCAACACTTTCCCAACTCTTACTCAAGCTTGGTCATGAAATATTCGAAAATTGGGACGAATTCTGTGGAAACTTGGCACTTCAAGCCAGAACCTTCAAATCTTCATCAAAATCCGATCAGGAAACTAAACCATTCTCTTCCCAACCATGTACTCTACTCAATAGAATGTTCTCCTACGAGAATGTCTTTTCAAAACTAACCATAGAACAGCAAATCCATTTAATCACCAATTTCATCACAAACTATTCCTGTTATGAGGTGAATGGTTCGATAAATATGAGAATTCCAACACATCTGTACAAGTATGTGTTAGATGAGGAGGAGCACATTACGAGATCACGTTCTCCATCTTCACCTACTCATCATGTTTCCAATTTTTCACATCATTCGAATAATGATAGATTTTCCAATATTAAAGGAAGAGCTCCAATGAGCAGGAGAATAGTTCCACAACAGGTATCAGTCCTTTCAGAAATGTATTTCCAATACGATGAGGAGAATGACAGATGCGATTCAATGATGGTTTTGGCCTTTTTATTGGATGTGGTTTTGAGAGGTTGTGTCCAGAAGGAGTTGACCACAACTTGCATGGACATGAGAAGTGTGGAAACAATTCTTTCTGAGAAATCTGAGCATCATGGAGATGATTCACCTTGTTTAGGAAGGGATCAAGATGAGGAGGTCAATAGTTATCATTGGAGAGAGTATGTTTGTGATGTTTTGAGGCAATTGGTGGTTGGAAGAGAATCGAATAGAGATTCGTTTGATGAGACAGATCATGGAAATGATGTAGATATGGAAATGTCTGCATTTTCAAATGACATGTCAGTTTGGGATGCTTTAATAATGAGAATTTTCAAGAATTTTCTTGATTTTAATCAAAATGACAAGCTGTCACGTGTTGAAACAGTTAAGGAACAATGTAAGCGATTGAAAAAACATTTCAAGAATAGTGCCAAGAATGTTTATCAAGTTCTGCAACACGACATGTGTCGTTTGGCATTCGTCTGTCAAAATGCCACACTATTCCAACCAAATTTCAGAACTACTGCCGAAAAATATATCGACTCTCTCAGAAAGGAAGATAAAATGAAAGATCTTCCATTGAGTTTGGAAATGAGTGGCGAGCTACCTTTCATTACCATTTGTTATTGGCATACCTTGATGTGTAGAGGAGTACATGCTTATTTATCACCTCTGGAAAGAGTGAAAGCATTCCACAGAGTGGTGGAGAAGGCAATCTTTCCAATCAAACATATTTCACCAAAGAATCCAACAGAACCTTCTCATGTTTCATTAATCTTGTCAAAATCTGTACAATCATTCTTGGAATTATTCAAATAAAAATAATAATAAATAATTGAGAGCGTTTTATTTACAATCATATATTTTTCAATAGTATGATAATGAAGATTTCGAACATCTTGAATTAGTCCTTAATTACATGTTCATAATCTTTGGTGTGTTCAAATTCATAATCTAAATGTACATAACATCTTTCAACATCTGGTAATGATTCAATCTTCTTTTGCAATGATTCACCAACATCGTGAGAGTCCAAGAGTGGAGTTTCCTTTGGAAGGACAACATCAATCTCAACAATCATGTTAGCTCCAGAGTAGTAGGCCATTACTGAATCAACTTGTGTAATTAAAGGACTATGATTCAAGGCCATAAATGTTAATTTTTGAATATATTCCTTGTCTGCAGTCAAGCCAACCAGTTTTGTAATGTGTTCCAATGATTCCTGAATCCAACTCTTAATAATATAAGTACTCAAAAGAACTGCACCAATAGAATCTAACCACCACAAGTAAGTACTCAAGAATAATGAAACAAGTAACAAGCTGTTCGATAAGACATCATTTCTATGATCGAATGCGTAGGCAATTACAGATGGTGAATGTTTGACTCTTCTGCAAACCAAATGGAGAGCCAATTTGATGAGAATAGTTGCCAACAAGACACCAATACCATACCAATAGAAAATTGAGGAGAGATATTTTGGAATCATAATTCCAAACATCCATTCAACCTCAGCATTGGAATCAGCAGAGCTATTATTATTGTAAACATCGCCAGTAATGAGACCTGTTACAATTTGAGATATACCTTCCTTGATAATTTGTAAACTTGCTGTACACATGCAAGTTGCAAAGATAACAAATCCAATTGGTTCCAATCTGTTTCTTCCAATTGGGTATTGTTCTTTCTTCTTCTGTACAATGAAGTAATATAAATAATCAAACCAGACAATAAATCGAGAGCTGAATCAATTGTAGACGTAATAACTGAAAGGGAAACTGACAAGACACTCGCAGAACATTTCAACACAAATAAGCAAACATTAGTCCAAAATGACAAGTGAATGCACCAATATTCCAATCGTTTCATTGCAGGTGAAACTTGTTCTTCCTGTTTGAATGCATCTTCATTCATAACAACAGATCTTCCTGTTAAATCACCTTCACTGGTTGTTTCATCTGCATGTTCCAATTTTGACTTGTATAGTTTTGCATACTCATCAACCATTTCATTTTGCTTTTCGTAAAACTCAACTACCTTCTTCTTTTCAATATTGGATGTATCAATCAGTGGAAATTGCTTAAAATTTGATTGCCAATCCCTTGTAGCATGTTCCACATACGACACATTTACCTTGGGAACTGAAATTGGATTAAAATTTGGACTGGAACCAATTCTATGCGTCATCATTTGTTCAGATGAATTTCCTCCTTCACCATTAGCAGCAGTAGCAACAATTGGTTTATCATTATTCATGTCCACAACTTCAATCATTTCTTCATCATCTGTTGCAGCAAGTTTGGTCTTTTTCTTTTTCGCATAGTGGCCATGATTAATTCCCTCCTCTAATATTCCTTCCGACATTTTTAAAGCTACTGTAATGAACGCACAAGTATATTTTTGTTATGAAAGTGTTGCGGCTTTGTTTTTGCACAAATTCTTATTGCGCAATTATTTCGTAAGTGTTGGAGTTCTGGAGCGATAATGATGAATAAAAGGCAAATAATCAAATAAATGGGTAATAGCAACACTAACATTGTTGACTAATATGTGAAGTGCAGATATGAATGCTCGTTTTCAACAAGGTTTTTGAATAAGATTCCAATCACTATTAATCATTTCCTTTCGAGCAATGTGTTCTAGAACGTTTTGTAGATGCATTGCTTTCCAGAACCAATTATCATTCATACCACTATAAAGATTGTTGCAAGTTGGTGGCAATTTTGTTGAAATTGCACTGAGAAATAGTTTTTAAATTCATGGATAATTAAATTCCAAAACAGAACTATTCCAATTAAAAAATTCAACGTAAAATCCAAGATTTTTCATATCTTGCACATAATCCTTCACCAGAGAATGACTCTTATAATCAATAGAAAGAAACTCCTCACTTTTAAACCATTCCAATTGTTTAGGTAGTTTCATACCTTCTGCCAAAGATGCTTGGACCTCTTCATCATCTGAAACATCTTGAACCTTGTTTGATTTTCTATTGCTATTTTTTAAAGTAAGATTATCCACTTCATCTTTCCACCAAAATTGATAACCCAAATATCTAAACTTTGGAATAATTTCTGTAGCAAAAACTCCTTGATTATTATTCAAATAGTACCAACTTCCAATATATGCATTAAACCCTTCATTCATTAATGCATTTTCCTCAGTTGCCCAGAATGGATTATCCTCATTGAGTGTAGTATGTATTAAGTGTTTCAATTGTTTTTCAAAATTTTCATTATTCGAACAATCTGATAATGGATCCAATAATTTCATTAATTTCCTATTCTTTTGATTGTAAGGCATTGCCTCTTCCATTTCAATCCACTTTTCAATGATGGCATTTGTGGCACTATAGACGAATATTCCAACTGGACACAATAGAATATCAAATAGTAATTTTCCTTGACAATTTGATAGATATCCCACATTATCGATGTGATCTTGTACAACTCCGATCATATCCTCACTATAATTGTAATATCAAAATTAATATTAAATAATTATTTAAATTAATTACCTTGATATTAAATTGGCCATATTAATAGGAAGTTTAGTCTTTCTATCAATTTCAATCGGATGACAATGAAAAGTATACGGAACATCATCATGAACCTCACATAGTGTATAATCTAATTGTCTTCTTCCCTTCCTAATTGATGAAGATGCTTGTTCTTCATCTAATTGCTTTTGTATCGTTAGAATTATTACTTCATCTATTTCCGAAAGAGTTTCATCATTATGATCATTAATTTTCTTTTTTTTACAAGTTTTTTCTTCTTTCCTAATTTTTTTTTTTTTTTTTTTGGTGATTTTCATAATCAAAATAATAATATAATACCAGCTTGAGTACCCAAAGTATTCAAAACAGTATCAACATCACCAGAATAAACAAGAATTCTAATTTGAGGAAGCAACTTGGTATAGAATGGCAACATGGTAGTATAGATGGTGGTGTAATTAATGAAGGTTGAACAAACTTGCCATCCATTTGGATTACCAATATGAGTAGCACCAATGGCTGATCTAACAGCTGGAGTATTGAAATAGGAAATGACAGAGTGATCTGGAACACAAGGTGAATCACTTTCGTCACCAACAATAGAGAAACTAGATCTTCTTGATGTAGCTCTGTGAGTGTGAAGTTGGAAGAGTGGATGATTCTTAGAGTTGATAGAACGCTTTGGCATGTTTAAACCGTTATCACCCAACCATGTGCAGCTAAATATTTTGTTGACCAAAAGATGAGAAAATTCCAATAATAAATTCCAATAATAATTCCAACAATTCAATTTTCATGAATTTTCAAACATTTTCAATAACATTGTTCACGTTAATATTGATATCAAATTACTTGGATAACTTACGAGTCATAAATGTAATATGGATTCAAATGGGTCAAGGAAGCATAAACTTTTGACAAGAATGCAGAACAATCAGCACTGTTTTGATTAGCATAAAAATTACCCTTGCAACTAACAAAACCAGCATTGTAATCTTCAATGGTAATCAAACTGTGTTCCTTATAGAAGAGAGGAACAGAGTTGGCATCTTCTTCACCATCAGTAACACCATTACCAACCAAAATACCTGCATGAAATTATATTAGTATAAATTGAAATCAGAAACATACCTTGCAAGTTAATCTTTGGTAATTCACCTTGTTGATTTCCTTGTAAAATTCTGTAAGCAGCAGATGGAACATAAACTCCACCATATGATTCTCCAGAAATAAAGAATGGATTCTTGACATATTGTGGGAATCTAGAGAAGAAATCTCTCATGGCTCCATTCATATCATTGGCAGCAGTAATATCGGTGATAGACATATAATCAGCAGTATTGTCACTATAACTATAACCCTATTTAGTTGTTTAAATCATGAACAAACTCTCTATGTAACAAAAACTTACAACACCAATTGGTTGTTCCAAATAAATAATGTTAACTCTCTTATTCCAAGCAAATGGATTGCTAACAACAGTTTTACCATCAGCTAACACAACAAAAGGTCCATGTTCCGATACCATTCCGTCTATTGTTGAAATAGTCATTAGATGACATTGTTAAAACTTTAAATTTTCACAATTTTCACAAAATACTAACCAATTGAAGAGCAACCTGGGCCACCATTTGTCCACAAAACCCTATTCATTGTCAAAAGGATGATAATACTGAAACAACTTACACTGGTGCTGTAGCTGGATTTTCTTGACATTCCATGAACCAATAAAACAAATGGTGTTGAGTAGAATTTCCATTCAAATAGCCAGTGTAACTCTTGAATGTTATTGGTTGATTATAACCAGGCAAGGAAGTAACAAGATGATCCCTCGAGGTTTGTCCCATAACAACCTGAGCATGCAAGAACATCAACAGAGCAAGGCTTCCGAAGACGAGTAACAAAGTTCTGGAAACGTTTTTGCATTTTTTTTAAATTCAAGTAGCCGGCTATTGGTTGGCGGGTGATTTTTTCAGTGCTTTTTGAGGCAGGCAAAATATCTCAAGAATTTCCAATGTTACGGCTTTCATGTTGGGAGATGCTTTTTTGAAACTCCGGAGATGGAAAACAAAATTGTTAGTAATGACCCTTGAGTATCTTGTTCGTTATCTTCAAATAATATTGAAATACATCTATGATTCCGTTTTCCAAACATCTTAATTACAGATATTTTTTTCATTGTAGGGTGATATTTAAGAGGTCACAGCAATCACAATAGCAACGCTTTTCTCTTGTGTATGGGACAATCATTTGGTTGTCGAGTTGCTTATCGTTATCCTTAGAAGATTGAAGAAGCATCAGAATTTGTTTAATCCATTCTTCTTGTTTCCTATCTCTTTCTTCTTGTTTTCTATCACGTTCATCTTGCTTTCTATCCCTTTCTTCTTGTTTCTTTTCAAGCTTATTAACTTTCAATAATCTTATTTAAAACCGAAAGGATTAGGGAATTATTAAGTTTTAACATGTCGAGTGAATTCATTTTTTTCTATTATAGATTTAGTTTATTTAATATGGGTAAGTTGTAGGGACTTTCACTGTACAATATTTGAAATGTGGGGGATTATTGGGTCTTTTCAAGAACTCTTTTGATTTCTTCGACTGTTTATCACGAAAATTGGGAATGTGTCAAATCAAGAAATATACAAGTAAAGAAGCATTTCAAAAGTTATGAGTAGAGCACAAATTTACAACTTGATTCAATACAGAGATCTTTTAAGTCATGTTTCAGATTTAGCTTTTCATGATGTTGCTTGACATTCGAAATAATCTTATTTATGCCTGTATGAAGTGAAAAGAACTATTTGGTTTCAGTCCTGTTTTATAAAAGAGAGCAATACCAATTTTTAATCTCCTCTTCATTTGCATCCTTTTCGAAAAAACTATTGAAGGTAAATTGTAATTGAATGAACCACACTGGTACATAAATATGTTTGAAATTCTTACAGTCAATCTCCACAAATACTGAGCGTCTATATTCATACGCTTTCTGTACAGCATCTTTCAAGCATACTGGTTTTCTTTCGTAGTGAGAATAATTCTTTTCTGAATGTAATCCTAAAACTATTCCTGTATCAGTATTATTAGATTGTAAACCCGCTAAGAACCATTCATCTAATTTGTTGAATGTCGATTCATGATCCATTGAAAATGCAAATAAACATTTCACATCATATTCTTGATGCCATTTATCTTCAATCATTTCACTCTTGGAGTAGAATCTTTCAACTCCATTTGTCTCCCAAATCTGATGCTTACAACGATTCTCCTCATTGGGAATTGTACATATTTTTGAAAAGTAATAAGGCCCAATACCAACATTTTCCCTAAATTTTCCATGTTGAATAAAAGTTCCCAAAGTTGATTTTCCAATACCACTATCTCCTAAAATCATATAATTAATTGTTTGATCTTTGTGAGCTATTTCAAAATTAGGAAAAAATAATCGATAGAAATTCAACAATTCCAACTCGTTAGGATTGAGAATTTGTGAAATTTCTTCTGTATTTCTTTCCGGATCATGATTTCCCAATTTAAAAGCCAATTTTAACAAGTGTAATCGTATGAAATATTTTGCATTTCCAATTAATTTTACATGATCACTATTCGAATTTTCCGCGTTTTGATAAATTGAAATATTTAAATCTGATTTCTCGCCATTACAAAATTTACAAATATCATCACTAATAACAATGCAGGAATTTCTAATCAAGTTGTGAATATTCCGATTAACAGTGAGGAGAGAAGTTAAAACATCAATCGGTTCTAAAAATTGAATAATCTCCAACCAAGCAAGATCTTGCGCCATTTTTTTTGTAATGAATTAACACACCAACACTCACAGTCAACCACAATAAAATCTAATGAAATATCTTTCTCAATAAAATCCAAATTCCAATTATAGTTTGTCTGAACCACCTCTCAATGCTAATTCTACTACTCCATCTCAATAGCACAAACCAATATTCCACATTCCACAATTCTCCACATCAAGTACAACTCCAACTTCGGATCACCTCTCTACAAAATCAAAAACTTCCAACACCCACTTTCCAAGTGAACCAAAAATCAATCCTCCATAAAAAACAATAGGATTACATAATATTCAATATACAGTACACTGAAGCAAGCACACTTCATCATAATCGCGCATTATTATTTCACGAATATACTGAATATACTGCCGTGTCATTTCATGAGTGGACAATTCATGCATAACTCCTTTTTACATTGCTAACAACCCATCATATCAAAAAAAGACCCAATACAACAATCAACAGCCAGTTAGTTGCCTTCATCCTCAACACACAACAAGCCTTTGATTTTTCGCGCTTTTTTTCTCTTGTTTTAATTTCCCTCCACAAAGCTCCTGTAAATAATTCAATATTTCATCAAAGAGCACACTCAATCTTTTTGCGTGAGTGAAGAAAGAAGAAATTAGTGTACAATAGTGGTTTTCCCGACATATTGAAAGTATGAAACGGGTTGGAATTTCCCAGAGGAAGATCCATCATTTGATTTTAATTTTGATTTTCCTTGTCTTGTTTGTGATTAATAATTATGAATTATTAATTAATAATCATAATGCTGATTTGGGATCATCACCAGAGGCAGTGTTCATGGGAGGTCTTGTTAATGGTGCTTCTTATCGATTTTTAGGTGAATTAACCAATTCAACCAAAACAAATGTTTCTGCAGTCTATGTAGATGCACAATCAGGTCAATCATTCACTAATTATACTGTATCGACTTCAACTTCAACGATTGGTTTTGGATCATTTTCATATACCTATGAAAGTGATGAATTTTCATGGCAAATTGTGATGGACAATGAATTGCCTTCATTTACCAATACGAGTAGTAGTATTTCATTGAGATATTATCGATTGGTACATAAGAATATATTGCTGACTGATTTATCAAAGAATTTATTTATTAGTGTGGAGAATATTTCGACAGTGTTGACTCCTCTCAATCTGTTGAATGGATCTAATGGATTGGATATTAGTGTGAATGGAATGCTTATTAGATTGAATGGAACAACTAAGGGAAAGTACTCCAATTCATCAAAATTGGTGGATATTCCTGAATTGTTTACATCTTCCTATTCATTACAATTGTTTTCAATTCAATTGAATACATCAAAATTACAAGATAATAGTACCTATCCTGCAGTGGTAGATCCATCGAAAATTTTGGTCAATTACACTCAACTCAAAGGAAAGAATCCAACATATTCCTACCAGGTTCTCGAATCAGTGAAGGAATATATCAAGGTTCTTTCAGTAACCACTGTTTCATTGAAGAATTTGTGCAGTTCTTCCTCTCCTATTGTGGCCTTTACGTGGGGCTCTTGGAAATTGTGGTTCGTTTTGGCCATTGTCATTCTAATGTTGCTCATGCTTGTGGCTTCATGGTGGAGGCCATACTTTATTGTTTTCATGACTTTGGTCATTTTGAATCTTTCAGGAATAATTAACCTTACACAAACTCTGAGTGGTTTCTCTAATGATGGTATGCTGACAGTCTTGCTGCTCTTCCCTATTGTCCAACCATTATCGGAGAATTCATTAGTATTGAGAGGATCCAAGTTAGTATTTGGTACAGCCAAGTATGGTTTATGGTTGTGTATGCTTAGATTATGTTTGGTTATTTCAGTAATTAGTCCTTTCATTAATAATACTCCAATTGTCGTTACAGCCCTTCCAATTATTGTAAGTTTATTATGAATATTTCTCTTATTTTGTTTCTTCTATAATATTTTAATATTTATTTCATTAAAATAGAAAGATTGGGCCAGAGAAAATAACATTGCTGCCTCCAAATTCTTAATGGCCATGTGTTATATTACAACAGCTGCAGGCTTAATGACCTTGATTGGTACCAGTACAAACATTGTGACCAATGGTCTATTTACTGCCTACGGTTATGAGGCTTTCACATTCTACGAATTTTTCTACATTGGATCAATTTTGACATTTATTACAATCATTTATTTGTGTACATATGGATTGTGGGTCTCTCCAAATAGAAAAGGTGGTATGTTTAGATTGGCCAGAGAAAGAGGTGAACAATTCTTGACAAAACTTGCAGTCGAAAGAAGGAATTCACCTTTAATTGGTAAGAACAAGACCAAAGTTATTACTTATTTGGGATTGGACAAGTTGGAAGTTGTTGAAATTATCAGAAAAAAGACCAAACAAGCACCAGCCGCCACACCATCCAATGACCGATCGAATACTGATTCACCAACTAGGGTGGAGGTGACCACAATTATGAGTTCAAACGATGATGACAATTTGGAACATATTGTGCCAGTTCCTGACGATTTGACCATTCAACTCTATGATACCATCATTTTCAAAGGTCATCCAACCAATATTTTAAAACTCCACTCCATGGTTGGTGTTTCACAAAATATTGAACAAGATCCAAAGGAAGAATCCAACATTTTGCACACCATGTTGGGAACTGAAAATTTACAAATCGATACCAATGTAAATAATGCAAACAATACAGAAAAGAAGAGTCCACTTTCTCCAAGAAAGCCATCAACTGCTGAAGAGAATGATCAAGAAGTTGTTGTGGAAATTAGTGATAGTGAGGCTGCTTCTACCAATGATTTGATTATTGGTGAGACAAATTCTACAGAGGATCAATTTTCCTCTGCACCACCAATTCCAAAAACCTCATTGAAAAATAAGATTAAGGAACAAAATCTTCATGAAATGGTTCTCAAAAAGTCAGTTGAAGAAGAAGAAAAGAGAAAGTCTTCTGTTGAAGAAGAGACTGAAATGGAGGAAATACAAATTCCAAATGATGTGGAAATTCCATCAAACCCTACTGATTCAGAAAAAAGAATAGACACAATTGACAATACAGAAAATAAGACAGTCGACACTACAACTGAAAGTAAAAAGAAGGAGGATGCCTCTGAAGCAGAATCTGAGAATGAACCAGAATTTTTCGAAGTGGTCATTAGTACCTTCAACCCATGCATGGGTGAATTATACTCTGATTTTGAAAAGAGATATGGAGTTGTCATTCTTGCAGTTCGTCACAATAAGGGTCTCGAAACTAAAACAGATATCACTGATTTCAAGACTACAAAGGTTAAAGCAGGAGATACTTTATTACTTATTGGAAAGGCTGATTTCTATTCCAAGTGGCATGAACTAAGGATTTCTATGTCATTTCCAGATGTAATGTTTCACCAAAGGAGAAGAGCAAACATCAAAAATTTATTGTCAAGATTCCATTCACAAAGAAATCAGTCAACTTGTGGTGGTGGGAACACTTGATTTTCCCATTCTTTATTGCAATGATTGCTGTTGCCATTGCTGGATATTCAATGCTTCAATGTGCTATGGTTACTTTGTGTGTTGTAATTATTTTCAGATTAATCAATCCAATTAAGGCAATTGAATCTATCGAGTGGCCACTTATTGCCTTGATCGGTTCTAGTTTTGGTATTGGTACTGCAATTACTCAATCAGGTATGGGTGAGGCTCTTGCAGAATTATTAAGATTGATGAATGTTCCAGTTATTCTACTTCCAGCATTTGTCGTTTTCATTACTCTAGTAGTGACTGCTGTCATTACCAATAATGCTGCTGTGGCTGTTTGTTTCCCATTGGCTATGGCTATTGCTAGATCGTACGGTTTAAATCCTCGATGCTTTGCCATGTGTGTCTGTATTGCTGCCTCCTCTGTATTTGCCACTCCAATTGGCTACCAATGCAATATGATGATTATGGGACCTGGTGGTTATTCCTTTATCGATTATGTGAAAATTGGTTTACCATTGACAATTATTTACTTTTTCGCCGTTAGTACATTTGTTCCACTCATTTGGGGATTGGAAGTTCCAAACTTTTAAAATATTTGAAAATATTACAATATTAGAAATAATTATTTATTTTGAAATATATATCACTTTTGGATAATATACAAATAGTTCAAACTTCTTTCCTTTTACAGAAAATCAAACAGCTCCAAATAAATACTGTTAATACAATTGCCAAACAACACAATACAATACAAGCAATTCCTCCTCCTTTGAGACTTGTTTGAAGTGCCAACAATCTGTCCACTTCATCCAAATTTATAATTGGTTTCACAGAGAGTGTCACATTAGAACTCAACACTCCACTAATCAAAGTAGAATTATTCGAAAATTGATTATTCAAGTTATTGAGATACCACTCTGTTTCATTCATGTAGCAGATTCCTTTTCCCAAATTAATGCTTGTCAATTCAATAGTCGAAAATAATCGATTAGTTTCAAGAGTGGTATTTAATTGTGGGAAACGATCATCCTCAATTCGAATCAAACTTGCACATTTTTTCACTTTACAAACATTCGTATAATAAGTCGTCGATCCACAATAATAAAAACTATCCACACATTTTGCAGTAACATTCAACACTGTACAATTCATAACAAATTGATCCCTCACCATACTTTCTCTTTCAATTGAAACCACAACTTTCGAATTGGGTGAACAACATTCGAATAACAATCCAGCACTCGCACCCAACAATCCAAGTACCAAGGCAGGTAAAACAAGCACTCCAACCACCAATAAGAACGTCCAATGCTTCCTCCCGAATGCATTCTCCAACGAGTGAGGAATACTTGTCGGTCTAGTGCCCAAATTAACAACGACCGTAGTGGATTGTGCAATTTGTGCGTTTTGACCTGCAGAGGCCTCCCGTGGTGGGATGGCTGCTGGATTGGAATGCGAGGTGGAGGGAATGTGGGCTGGTAGAGTAGACAATTTTTTTAAAGTTGTTTTTTGATGAATTTACAAAAATACTTTACAATAAATTTCTATAATTGATCTACTAGTAGATCAGTATTGATTTATCGTTGATGAGGGAGGACTATTAAACATGATTAACACTTGAATAGTAATAAACCACTGCTTCAGTTTGTTGCGCAGCATTCGAAGTATTTCTATCCGAATCTTGTTCATAATTCTCCATTGCAGTAGAAGAATACTCAACTGTTGAAGCTTCTGTATATCTACGTGAATTCTCACCTCTATCTCCCACATTATCAGCATTTTCATTTTCCAATTGATCACTACTTGCATTACTTGTTGAACGATATGGATTCTTTCCATTCAAAACATCCAAAACCTTAAAACAACAATTAGAACTCCAATCTCCTTCTGAAATTGTCTTGTGAATTCCAAATGCACAAATTGGTAAGACACAAAATACTAAAATGAGACCAACAGGGACCAAAATGAATGGAAGAATGCAATTGACATCACATTGGTTGACTGCAGTGGTTGATTGAGTGGAATTGGAATTGGTTTCAGTTAGGACATTCAGAAATTGTGTTGAAATTTCGTTAGCTGAAACTATTAGAATCGAATGAGTTGACGAATGAATGAGCATGAATAGTATAAAGGAGAGAATTAAATATTGTTTCCATTTCAATAACTGAAACTTTTTCTGCAACAATTGTGATTTCATATAATTTCTTCTTGTTTTTTGAATTTTCCCTTTTTCATATTCATCACATTTGTATTGTTGTAATTTCTTCAACTTATTATTGGTAATAATATTAATAATCCTATTCCTTCTTGTAGTGTCATCTTGATCATCGGAATTACAAGTTATAGTAGAATTAATACTACTGTCATATTGTGGTTGTTGCTGAGAGGATTCTCTTCCATGAATTGTCACACTTGATGAATTCTCCATCACAGTTGTGGCCCTATCATGACATTGTTGGTGGTGTATGAACATTTTTTGTTTGTTGTTCATGAAATAGAAGAGACTATTGTGACACAAACAACAACTTGCATTAATAACGGCATTGGGTGGAGTTGAAGTTCGATATTGTGCGGCCTCTAATTGTCAAAAATAGTTTTGTTTTATTATTTCATGATCCTCACAAAAACGATAACAAGTTATTTGGAGTTCGATAACAATTAGTGAGTTTCAGTTGTTGTGGTGGTAGCTTCTGTTTGTTGAGATTGTTCGTTTGTTGTTTGATTAGTGGCAGCACCAATACGTTGTTGAATCATATTAACGACAAAGGCTGGATCAATAACGTGTTCGAAAATTAAACCAGATCTTTCCATACCCTTAGAATTGACAGTCTTCAAGTAAATTCTATTGTCTTCAGCCCAAACACTCTTAATCTTTTCATAATTGACACTGACCAAGTTCATTCTCAAACGAAGTGGCAATTCAATAACTCTAACAATACGTTCAGAGGTGATCAAATAGTGAACACTTCTTCTCTTGAAGAGAGCAAACCAAGTAATGAGGGCAATAACACCCAAAGTAAAGTACAAATGCAAGAATCCACTGAAAATCTTGAGTTTGAAAATAGAGATACCAGCATGGAGAGTACCATAGGCAATCAAACCAATAACGAATAAAATAAGGGCAACCTTGGCAATGACACACAAGATACGTCCAAACTTTCTCTTACCATTACAAGCACCATGTTTCTTACCGTGACATGAAATATTCTTCTTGGCTGGCTTTTCATACAATAAGAGAGTTTCAGTTGCCTTGGTAGCAGTTGATCTCATAAGTTTCCAGAACTTGGACAATCTCTTTTGCAATACTCTTTCTTGACGTGGAGTATTTTCCATCTGTAAAGTGGAAGAAGAGAGAAGAGTTCTAGACTTTGGTTCTTTTGGATCTTGAATAATAACAGCTGAAGAGGAAACTTCATCGAGTTTGTAAACTTCTCCAGTACCTTCAAATGGATTGGCAAAGTATTGTCTAATGAATCTATCACAAGAACGTCTACTCTTACCATCCAAAACCTTAAAACCAATAATTACAAAGATTACAGTAATAACTACTGAAAGAATCAAGAAACCTGGAATAGCACAACGAAGACTACGACGGAATCTACGAGCAACAGTTTCACGAGTGGCAATAACATCTTCATGGTTCTCATCTCCACGACGATCCTTTTGTGGTTGTCTATTGTCAGCAGGAGCAATTGATGAGGATGGTTGTTGTCCTTGTTTACCAGAGTCAGGTTTAGCTTGATCGTTTGGTTGACCAGATTGTGGTGGTGCTTGCTGATTATCATTAGATGGTGGTGCTTGTGGCTTTGAGCTTTCTAGGATTCTCTTTTCACCACGACCAGATTGTGGTGGTTGATGTTTGGAGTATCCTCCATGACCCTTTCCTGGCTTTTCCATATCAAAGAACATGTCCATAACTTCCATCATTCTCATTCTGTCTTCATCAATATAGCAAGAAATTTCACCAAGTTTAATAACACGATCTCTGCAATCTAAAGTTTGTTGTTGTAATGGATATGAACAAACTCTTGACATGATGAAGGATTTCTTGGCAATCTTTGGTGGTTTAGTGTAAGAGTCTGGTCTTGATCTCATTACATGTCTAATTTCTCTAGTGTGTCTGGCATGATTAGCAATTGAATGATGACCAGGATGGAATTCATCATGACCTGGACCACCAGGACCCAAGTTTCTGTGTGCAACTGAAACATTCAATTCGAGATAGTACACTCCACGATCATAGTCAAAGTGTACAACAGAGTTATCTTGGTCAGTATTGACCTGGCAAACGCTCTTTCTATAATTTAAATGATTGTCAGCACTCTTACCAATAGTTAAGAAGAATGCAATGGAGAGGAAAATAAATAAGAGTGAGAATACCCCAACAGCTCTTGGAATTCTTGTCCAAGTCTTACCCTTTAACGATTTCAAAAATCTTTTTTGTTGGGCATGTTTACAATTTCTCCACTTCCAGAGCCATGATCTACGAGGAGCTTGTTCTCTTTGTGGCAATGGAATGGTAGTATCTTGATTATTGGTAGTAGTAGTGGATGATGGAATTAAATTTTGGTTCATTGGAACTTCTTGTAATTCAACATCATTATGTACAATTGAAGATGGAATTGATGATGAAGGAGGAACGTAATTGAATGGAATTGGATTCATACCACTCCATGGATACATGGTTGGGAGGTTATTTGTAGTAGTTTGATTAGCTGTTGATGGAGTTGTGGAATTTGGTTGTTGTTGATGAACCGTATAATAGGGAACATATTGAAGATCTTCGGAAGCCCCATTCAATGATGGATATTGGGAAGTTGGTTGTTGTTGTTGATTATTCATCTTCACTACTAACAATATTTATCTCAACGTGATGACGATGATAATACAATTATTATTAACAAAGGAGATTTTGCCGTTGATGATAGTTCGCTATTTAAAAAATGTCGATACAAAAATGCGCGCTAACTGGGTAATGAGTTGGTTTTTTTAATGTTGTTTTTGCTGTTTTGAAAGCAGGAATTAGAAGGTAATAAAAATGCGACGATTAATACGCCTTAATACAGAGTTCCGTTCCACTAGTACTGTTTACGTTCGCTGATGGTTGACTTGTGAAGGACAATATTGCAGGGTTTGGAACAACAAAGTAGAAGATGCTATTGTCCTGTTCAGTGATGAAGAACTTTAAATTTTAGAAACTTACTGTTCTGCTCAATAACTATGCAATATTACTTTATCTGATCTAATATTGGGTTAGTACTTTATTCCTCGTTATTCGAATGATGTAGAATAGTTGAACAACATGGTTATTGCATGGTTGTATATTAAATGACACTTCATCTCAACAATTTATTCGCCAAAATATCCTATTCATCCATTCCATTCTCAAAAAGAAATTTCGCCTCCATCCTCATTACAATTAATATTTATGCGTTCATTCCAAATCGTCATTTCATAAAAGAGTCGAATTTACAATCTTTCCAAAATCATTGAATGTTTAATGCTTGTCACTGGATTTTACCGAAAGTACAGAAGGACGGGTTGAAGATTTGACAGAGAGTGGAGAGTTTCTGGTATTATTTACATTGTTTGAACTGTTTGTGACTGAGAGCTGTTGTTGGGATTGTTTGATAGGAGTTGTGTTGACCTGTCTTCCAGTTGTTGTTGATGAGCTTGAACCAGTTGCTGTTGTATTGGATGTGCTTGGAGTACTGGAATACTTTTGAGAGGTAGTCACAACTTTTCCACTATTAACATTTGTATTGACCTTATTCGTTGCTGTTGGTTGATTAGCAGTTGTAGAACTTGTTGTTGTGGACGTAAGCTTTGGAACTGTATTGGTTGCAGTTGATTTGTTGGCAGTCTGAGTTGTTGGTTTGACTTCGACTGGTGTGGAGGTAAGTTTTGGAACTGTATTGGTTGCAGTTGGTTTGTTGGCAGTCTGAGTTGTTGGTTTTACCTCCACTGGTAGTGGTAAAATTTCATTATCTTTCAGAACTGTCTTGGCAGAGGTTGAGGTGAGAATTTGAGGTTCTTCTCTATTACCACACAATCTATTCTTTCTGCATTTTCCTTTGGCATTGGCACTGATTTCGATACCCCTCTTCTCACTGGTGAAAAGTTTGTTGAGCATGACGAGAGGGTCCGCATCCGATCCAATATATACATTCGATCCGCTATTGCTAAAAACCTTATTATTTACAATATTTCCGAGTCCTTCCTTTCCAATCTTGATACCTTCAGCCATGCTATTGTGAATTTGATTATTTTCAATTGTTGGATTTCCACCATCCTTTATAAAAATGTTTGCTTCCAAACTTCCAAAAATGTCATTATCAGCAATAGTGCCATGAGCACCTGAATGTATTTGAATTCCAACATGAGGAGAGTCACGAATAGTATTACCAGTAATGGTTGGATCTGCCTTTTCACAAATTTCCAAAGAAACTCCCTTAAAGGTACACTTTTCGATGGATGCATCACATTTTGATCCCTTCAATTTAACAGTACAATGTGGGAGTTTTCCAGTTGTTTTGGTATTTGGTTTGTACTCTGAATTGTAAACTATCAAATTTCTAATTTTCGAATATCTGACATTGTCAAAGAGAATGACATCCTCAACATCTTTTGGTTTGTAAAGAATGGCATGTGATTTTCCTTCCGAAATTCCCTTCAAAAAGACACTTCTGTCAATGAGAATTTGTTCCTTATAAACTCCAGGTCGAATATTAATAATTGGTGTTGTGAGTGGTCTGGTTGGTTTGATGATTTTTCTTCCGTCTGATGGCCTCACAATGAAAGGCAAGTTGAATTTTTGCATTAAAAGTCTCTGCTTATCAACAAGTGAAATGTCAAGATTGGAGAGTGGATTACTCTTGACTGGATTGTTTGTTCCCAACATGACTCCTCCACTCGATCCACAATCTTCATACTCTCCAATATCTCCCAAATTACCAGTTCTAAAACTACTGGCCTTCTTTAGCGAGCCCGAGTCTGAGAAGGCATTCTTCATGGAACTGGCTGAAAAGGTTTTTGTCAATGAATGAGATGGTAGTGGCCTCTTTGGTATAATTTTCGTAATATCCATTGGAAGAGCATTGATAGCTGTTTGAATGGATGTATAGTCTCCCTTTCCATTAATATCTACTGTATATTCGAGTGAGTTTTGGAGAGGAATACTTCTCAATTCGGTCAATATTTGAGAGAAGGTTGGACGTTCGTCTGGATCCTGTAAACAACAAGTCGAAACCAATCTAACAAAGCAATCAATAATTGGTGATTCTTGTGCCAATTTTTCAGCATTTTCAATCTTTGGTCTTTGTCCCATAATTACCTGTGAAGCTACAGTGAATGGATTTTGAACATCGTGAAATGGAATTAAGTGAGTAATCAACTCGTACATGACCATTCCGAAACTGTAAACGTCAGCTTTTTCTCCTGAAGATGCTGCAGAACTGAACATTTCCTGTTTTTCAAGTTTCGAATATAATAAGTAAAGTAGTAATATTTGATAATAATTTGTTGCATAATTTGAATAATAAATTGATATTAAAAGTCAATGCAAAAATACTTACTGGAGCCATCCATCCAGATGTACCTTTCATACCAGATACTCCTGAATTTCTATTTCTCACAGAAGACAATCCAAAATCTGAAATTTTCGAAATCAAATTCTTATCCAACAACACGTTATGACTCTTCAAATCTCTGTGAATGATTGGTTTTGGTCTCGAGTGCAAATGATGCATTCCTTCGGCAATATCAATGGCAATTTGTAATTTCATTTCATTGCTGAGAATTGGTTGTGATTGGAGGAATTTCTTGTACTTGTCTGCTTGTTCATCCTCATCATCCATTGGAGATTCGACAATGGTGAGTCCAGTTCCGAGAAGTTTCTTTGTGGTTGGTGTGATCACTTGTCTATTGTTTTGTTGATTTGAAGGAGGTTTTAATTTGCCATTCTGTGATGATTCATTGGTTGGTGAGAGTTGAGAAGAGTTTTGTTTCTTGGATTTCATCAGAGGTTCATAGTCATACTCTGGAAAGGTTGTTTCTAATACTTTATGAAGAGAGAAGGGCAGAAATTCCTATTTTTCAATATTACATTATATATTAATTATATATTAGAATATTAATATGATGTTGTGTGTTGTTGTTATTAATATTATTCCGAATGATGTTTTCCAATTAATTAAATTAAACATTATAATAACAATTAAATTGTTGGAAGAAGTTAAACACAAATATAATGGAGAGAAGAGTCATAAGAAGAAGAAGAAATTACACTTAGAAAAGAGAGAAATAATTAAACAACTCACCATAACAATATAAACACACTGACTATCATCGGACCAACCAAAAACATTCAAAATATTGGAATGTTGTACTCGTAACATGATGGCAATTTCATTCAAAGTCTCCTTCCACAATTCATCATCATCACTATAGCTAGCAAGTCCAATCTTATTTCTTGGTGTTCGACAATTCTCGGGTATGAACAATTGTTTAATAGCACAAACTTCACCATCATAGGTTCCCTTACTATTATCATCATCATCATTCGTTATTATTAATTGTTATTATTAATTCATATAATTCAAATATAATGGTTTAAATTCCAAATCAAAATATTACAGCAATATTTGGATAGATTACATTGTATATAATGGCAATCAGGATGATTTTAATTTTTCATAATTTGTAATTGTATCCGTTATGAAGATATGAAATTAATTGGCAAAGGAAAAGATTTGATAATTAAAAACATTAACAAAGGAAATGATAGAACGATCATTGAATCAACTACTGAACAGACAAATTAAACAACAACATACTTTACAAAGCCTTTAAATAATATATATTAAAAAAACGAGGGAAAATATATTGAAAACATACCAAAACCTCCTTTACCAATCTTTTCTCCAAATTCTAAATCCTCCTTATCAATTCGAAATTCTTTAATTTCGTCTTCCAAATCTCCGATATTATTCATCTTCTTTGGATTGTAAAACTAAAGGTTGTTGCAACGACTGTAAATATTTCGTTTTTTATATATATTTGATTATTGTATTGGGTATCGTGTTGTTTTGTTCACTTTCTTGATGGACTTTGAAAAAAGGTCAATGTCCACTGATGTCTATTGTTTTTTTTTAACTTGACGAGTGACAATCGGGCTCATTCTTGGGTCATCCAGAAAACAACATTGATTTTGTCGTTCAAGCAAAAAGCAATTCTCTATCTTTTACCTTGCATTTTACCAACAGCAAACAAAGTAAACGCCAAAAATAGAAGAAATGGCTGGTTTCATGGTTCACCGAGTTGTAAATTATTTTGGCGCACTCTAAGAAAATGCACAACATTTACCAAGTTTGTTAGGATGAGATTTTACCTGCAACGATTCAAAGAACGTTGAGAGTAATCACTTGTTTATTGAATTGGTAGAAGGGTAGAAGAAAAGAAGGCTTCCCTAGAAAATGAAGATGATTGAAAAATCTCCAAATCAGAATCAGAAATGAATTAAGAGAACAAGGAACATATTCAAACCTGCAGTGAAAGATAATCTTGAAGTTAAGATTCTCTATCATTAAAGCAGTTTCTCTTCAATGGTAATAACAATAAGTTTTAGATTCAGAAAAGATTCGTCAATAATTGAAATCTAATCTTGTATCTACTCTTTGATTAATTTGAATGGAGTCCAACATTATGAACAATTCACCTCAAAGAAGGTTCAAGTTCGTGACATTTCTTCAGCTAAGGAAATTCTACTTGAAAATGCTCATTATGCCTTAACTATGGATATGGCTCAATAATAGATCCAAACAATTCGATTTGAGTTACGATTGGTCTCAGATATCATAGTTAAGTATTATTAGAATGTTTTTACTTCCCCCTATCTAGAGGTAAGTGATATTTCAATCAGGCTCCAAGCTGATTTATGTAACATTCTGGATTATTCAACATTTTATTGATCGATGCTCGACAGAGGAGGAAATCCTGACATTCTAATTGAAGGCGTAGCTGCTTAGCATTGAAAGATAAATCGGTCTGCAGTAGAGTTTCATCAATTATTATTAATGAAATTTCTCTCGAAAGTTAGATGGGGAATCCAATTAAGCATCGCATCTTTGATTAATTAGAGAAGAGGTTAAGGAACTAACCTTATGGTAATCTAATTGAGGATTCATTCATCTCCCAAACTTTCCGTAGATTCGTCACAGTGCGCAAGTTTGTAATCTAAAAAATATTTTGACAGAGAAAAAACCTCAAATCTAATAGAAATCAGTAAGTAGAAAGTTAACATTTGTTACTTATTCTTCAGCAGGGGTCGGTCATGTTAAATTCTATCATTAAGGAACAACTTGATAGTCTCAGTATCACTGGTGTAGATAATAACGAACTTTCGTATATGGTAGAGAATGGAGCTAAATTCACCACTTCCATCGTTACTGCCATGAAAAGAGGAAATGAGGCACAAATTCAGAAGGAGGTTAATGATTTTTTGGCCACCACAGACAAAGCAATTGTAGAGATTTTCCTTTCCTTATCCTGTCGGTATCAACTTGAGAAAGATGAGCTTGAAAAAGACTTATTCACCAATATCACCCCTCAAGAGTTTAGCAGAAATATTAAAGCAATTCCTAAACCTCAAATCTTAAAGAGATATTCAGCTTTAATAAGGCTCCATTCCTAAATGTAATGAGAAAATTAATAGAAACTCATCGAATTGCATCGGAGAAGCAAGAGTTGGAAGCAAAGGAAGTAAGAAAGTTACTTTTCGCGGAGCAGGGTGTTCAACAAAAAACTGCAAAAAAATCAATGATTTATCCAACAATACACCAATAAATTCGGAAATTATGAGCTTTATTCTACTACACGCACGTAATAGATTATTTTCAACACTGAACAACCACAAAACCAATTTCTACTAATCTATTACCCTTGAAATACTAGCAAACCGAATAATGGTTGACAAGATGAAAAACTTGAAAATTAATTTTCAAGAAAATCTTGCCTAATTGTAATAGAATCAATTCCATTACAATTACCTCGTCCAATACTACAACCATTATTCAAACACCCACAGAGTCTTTGACACTCCAAAAAATCCCCTCACCAACCCTAGAACCCAATTCTATGTTGGCCTATTGAGCGCAGATTTTTAAGCACCACAAAGTCCTTGATAACACACCACTAATAAAATAACAATAAAGACGTATCAAAAGAATTAATATACTCACCGAGTGTTGGGGTGGGTGGTGGGGAATCAAAGTATTAAGCTTGCTCAATGTTGAAAATTTTTTAGACAAATTTTCCTATTTCTTGGTGTATTGTTTACAATAAACTTTAGTGAGTTGAATACTCACTCCAATTTATCCAACAATACACCAATAAATTCGGAAATTATGAGCCCATACTAGCAACCTAATTCTTTTGATACGTGATTGGCTAAAACTTAATCACAAACTCAACTATCTAGATAAACCATACAAGCTAATTCTTCCATATAAATGGAGAATGTGCCTTAAAGGAGCCTGAATCAATGCATTAGCTTAAATCAAAACATCACCTCTCTGGAGAACATCAAGCCAATGATTACTAATCGTGATGAATAAATAGGTTTCGCTGTGAATGGATCATTAAGGGTATTCAATTTTGGAGGTCAACAGGAATATTAATAACATGTGGAAGTGGAGGTGTGTGTTCAAGATTATATGCTTGGCTGATAATATTCTCAAATTTAAAACATCTAGCCCATAACCCATTATGTCCAATATATTCGGAAGGATTGATTGAAGCCCTGAATCCTTTGTTAGCAATCAAGTTACTGTTATTAGGTGAGATGGAGACTTGCTGGTTCATCAGTCTTAAGGTTCATGAATTTCATAAAAGACTAGAGAACCTAAGGTGGAAGTGATGAGTCGTCTCCACTTATTCCGAAGTAAGTATTCTTGGGAAATAATCTTATCTACTTGCGTATGGTTGAACTCTATCCTTTAGCGTTCACTTTTGCAACCATCAAGAAAAAGGATACTTGTTGTTGTGTATCACCTTGACTATATGAGCTTTCCGAAGAAGAACAACCGTTTTGAAAGTGTTAATGTGTTCTGTTGACTTAACAATTATTATAAACAGTGTCCGAATGTTGAAGATGAAGGAACCGGATGTCTGGTCGGAAGAGAATTGGTGCTAGGTTTATCGTGCTGTTTCTTGCTCTGGTTGAAAAAAATTACTCTCCTTGAATCAAAGTATTAAGCTTGCTCAATGTTGAAAATTTTTTAGACAAATTTTCCTATTTCTTGGTGTATTGTTTACAATAAACTTTAGTGAGTTGAATACTCACTCCAAAGAACAAAAAAAGGGCTGCTAAAAAGGAGAAGAAGAAAGAAAGTGTTCTGAATGCAACGATAATTCTTCAAAATGTAAAGTCTCAAGATAAGGAAGAAGGTTTGAATGAAACAACTTCCACATCTCCTCGCTCGCCTATTGAAAACATCAGTCCCGATATAACAAACGATGCTCAGTACAATGCTATTGTTAATGCTAAAGATCTAAGGGAAAGTATTAAAATATTAACTTTTACGATGATTGAGATGAAAACAGACGTGCAAAGAGATATGAAAAGTATGAAGAAAGATATTGCAGAAATCAAAGTGGAAATTACAGAAATCAAAAAAGATATGTATAGCTTGAATAGAAATGTGGGCTGCCTTTACGAAGGCCAAGTGAAAGCAGAATTTGAGAAGAATTTTCAAGTTGAGTCTCCAAAGATTTTAGAATATGACAAGTTTTCAACTAGATTTGCTGAAGTGTATTCCCAAAATGGTTACCTTAATGAATTGGTGAAGAAATTGATAATAGGAAATGTTTTGAGCAAGGAAGAAAAAAGAAAGTTGACCTTGAAAACCTTCAAAGTTGAGCTTAATTTTGTTCTAACCGACAACTCAAACTCCACAAAAGTCCAAATCATTGAAGCAACCATGTCCTCATTCTCAAATCCTAACAAGTTAATATGTAAATTAGTACAATTGGAACGTCAAGTATTGTTTTATAAAGCTTGTTACCCATCTCATACAGTCACTAAAATTGGATTAGTTTCACCATCCGATTTGGATTCAGATATGGTAAAGGATGCACTTGATAAATACCCAGGATTGGTAGTTGTTAAATCATTTTTAGATGAGGGTAATTTTGAAACTATTAGATTGGGTAATAAGCCAGAGATTTTTTAATTTGAAATCCCATGATGTCCAAAAACAAGTAGTTCACTCTGATTGTTTCGTATTGTTATATTTATCAAGTTAGAATTGAAATAAATCAACTCTTCAAATTGGTATATGTGCAAATGATTGAGTAGGGTGGAATTATTCCCTCATTAACTTTTTAATATTTAAGTATTATTTGAAAAGCCATTAAAAAGGAATTGGATTTGTGACAGTTATTAAGGAGTTGATCATTAATATTCAATTCCCAAAACAAATGAACTAGATTGGAAATATATGCAAACCAATAAATTTATTTGTAGTGATAATTCATTTCAAATAATGGAGTTTATTTCTTCAGTCTTGACGATTGCTCCCACATGATACTTATTGTCCAATAAATAAGTCTGAAGAATTCCCTTTCCTTTTACTGCGATACTACGCTCCTCAAATGTGAATTCTAAATCAAAAACTCTTTCATATGTTTTTCTTGACAGTTGAATTCTTCCAGGTAAACTAGTGCTTTCCATCCTACTTGCTGTAGTTATGGAAAGAAAATAAGAAAATCATTAAATAATTATTACCACACTTCAAACTTACCTGTGTTGATATTGTCTCCCCAAAGATCGTATGCAAACTTCTTCTTTCCAATCACTCCAGCTGTTACACTTCCTGTGTGTATACCTATTCTAATATTTATCTGTTTTTCAACAGGCTTTCTTGAAGTAATGTTGTAGTTACGAATAACATTGAAACAATCAATGGAAAATCTAAGAATTCTCTCTGGATGATTAATGTCAACATTGTTTAACCCTGCACAACAAAAGTAAGAATCACCAATGGTTTTGATTTTTTCCACATTATATTTGTCAGTCAAACCATCAAATCCATCAACCACACAATTCAGTAATTGCACTAACTCTGTATGTGTTAATTGTGAGGTCAATGCAGTGAATTCAACCATATCACTAAAGAAACAGGTGACATCTGGGTGTTTCTCCGCAATAAGAGATGCTCCAGCCAAAAGTTGACGAGCTACAGAGCTAGGTAGAATATTAAGAAGCATATTTTCCGATTTCTTCTTTTCTTCGTTTAGTAATAAAATTGCCTTCTTCTCTAAGGTGGATTCTTTGATGAAAAATAATGTAATGTGTTTGTTTTCAAAGAATGTTACATAGATATTGACTGTTGCAGGGAAAGTCTTTTGATTTTTTCTGACACACTCAAGTTCAAAAGTTTCTCCTTTAGGGCAGGTTTTTGTTACTTGTTTTTTGATGGATTCGACTTCGTTCTTAACCAAAGTTTGGTGTTCTCTTGTGAATATTTTAATAGGTTTACCAATAACATCTTCGAGTTGATAACCAAACATTCTTTGAGCTGAAGGATTGAAAATATCCACTAGCATTGTATCATTACATGTAATTACACCATCAACAAATGTGTTAAGAATTGTCACTAGTTTTGCATCTCGCTCTGACGTGACACCATTGTTGGTAAATAATTTGGATGGGTTTTCATTAGGTAGTGTTTTAAATAATGCAAAGTTTTTAAGTTTCTCGTTGAACACCAAAGTATCTATCGATAGGTAATCGAACATGATTCTCATTTGTTGTTCTGCATTAGCATATTCACGGAAAATGTAATACATCGAACAAATCGAGCAAGTGACAAGTACAAAGCCAATTACAAAACTCGCTATCACATAATTAATATTTGGTACAGAGGCATCAACAGCGAAAATATTTGCAAAATCAATCAATTTCATCGATGACAAGTTAAAAAGAAATAAAATCTTAAGTAAGGAAGTAATATGTTCCTTGATAGTCACTGGTTGAAATAAAATTGTCTGGGCCAATAAATTTTGTTTCAACAATATTTGTGTTGATAATAATATATGTGTTAGCATTGTATCTATTCCAATGCCACAAGTGCTGTTAAAATGAGTGTCAGTTTCTGGAATGGTACAATTTGGATCGCCCTTAATCAAGTGGTCTGTACCGGGAAACATGCCTGCAACTACTGATTCAAAGGGTTTTGTAGTTGATCCGAATAAACACCAATCCCAATTCCTTTGAAGATTTGCTGCCTCTTGATAATATTGAAGAGTCATATTTAAAGCTTCATCCTCTGTTATCAATGGTATATCGTCAACATTTCTATAATAAGCATATAGTTCAGTACTGTAAAATGCTACATTTTGCAGATGCTTGGTAGTTTCAAATACGTCTTGTACATTTACAAAGGATTCAACCGAATAATGGGTATTGTCAAACAAGCCACATACGAATACTGCCGTACACACTCCAACTGTTAAAAATATTACTATTATCAAAATGGGGAAACATATCTTATGTTTGAGAGGATCTACTTTTCCTGCATGAGTAATCACTTCTTGTGGTTGTTGTTCGCATAATGTGTGGTATATTTCACCAACTTCTGGTTTAGAGACACACTCTTTCAGTAGCTTGACATGATTTTTCAATCTAGAGAAAGTGAATCTTGAATATATCAAATATAATACACACACTATTAACAAGCAAGGTAACACGGCTGCTGTGTAAATGATTAAAACATTCCTCGAATTCAATGCCTCATCTATATGAACTTGTGTGTAAGAATGACAAAATAAAGAATATGCCTGTGTAAGGGTATTTTGATTTCTATAAAGAAACATGAACATAAAGGATGTGTAGGTTTGTAGTAAAGCTTCACTTGTTTCTGACAAGAAGCGATTTGCCAATAGTTTTAAAATCTTATTGATTTGAGAGAGTGGGTACTTGTTTGACTCAGTCAGGTTATATAAACCTCCTCCTGGTATTACAGTTGGAATTACTAATGAATAGTGGAAATCAGTAAATTGAGAGTAGATTTGAGGTGAAAACTTTGAGGCAAAAGCAACGTTTTCTAAATTGACTATCGATTGTGTGAAATATTCGACATGCTGTTTGTATTTATCCATGTCAAAATAAATATCATTCGTCCAATTATGTTCGATGGTGATATTTGATTGCATCCAGTGGTCAATAATCTGATACCCTCTTCCTGAAAGTAATAAGTTAGTGACACAGGGTATTGTGGCACATGCCTCCTTAGAATGTAGCAAATTGCTTGTTGCTTGATTGGAATAAATCAGTGACAGCAAGAATGGAGTGATGAGAGCAACCAAGAACAGTATGCAAAAGCCAACAAATAGTATGATAAAAACAGTTCGGCGTGTTGGAGTTGCAAGAGCATTGCTATAAATCATCTTTCTTGTTTGTGGATCCAGTGTTTCAAATTCTTCTAACGTTTGCTCCTCATTTTCTCTCCCATCAGTGGTAATTTCAGACACAGAAGATTCACCTTCAGCTTTTTTAGTGGATCTGTTGCATTCATTTTCTTCGAGTAAGTTTGCTTTGTTAAAATTCTCATTTGATAATTCTGGATTTGCTTTAAATGATACCAAATATTGTGCATATATTCTTAGTGCTGTTTTGTCTTGACTATAAAAAGGAACAAGGTTGTTAAATATACAGTCACACTCGGCAACTAGCTTGGAGCTTCTAAAAATGACTCTTTCAATTTTTTCCATAATAATACTTTCTTTCAGAAACTCTTTCCAAAAATCCTTATGAAGAGCATAAAGTTCTTCGGTTTTTCTCCGAATTTTAGACAGTATTAATACCAGTTCTGACTTGGAATCATCTTCACAAAGATACGCCTCAATTTCCTTCTTCTTTTGGCACAATGAATACGAAGAAACAAAATTTGCATACTTTGGTGTCATATTTTTTGTTAAAATTGAAAAAGCCAATGTACGTTCACCCTTCGTTTGATATGCCATTATTGATGCTGATACTAAGGGCAACCTCATACTGCTGTTTAAATCTTGTAAGGTTGCCTTGATAAATGCTATTATCCCTGAATGATACTTGCTTCGTTTAGGTCCTTTCATCATTTCAAACTTTAAAAAAAGACCCAATAGGTAAACAATTCTATCATCTTGGAGATTTAAGTTTTTTGAGACTGTATATGTTCCAGTGTCTGGTTCTTCTTTAAAAAACTTGTTCTTAAATTTATACATATTGTATCTTGTATAACATTCCATTGTCACACATCCAATTAAAGCCATCAATAGCATCAACCCCAGAGTAGCTGAAAACAATATTATTCCAAGAGTGTTATCGTTGGTCACATTGACAAAATATGTCACAAGACCAGATACACTTGTGGCCAGTCTACAGAAAATGATACCACTAATAACAGTATTTTCAAATCTTCTTAGCATTGGTATTGTTTGAAAAACAAGTATTATCAATAGTAGAGTCGAAATTATGTGTACAATAGATCTTAAATATGCCGTGTACGGAGGAATTAGATGATGAATGACAATCCCAACAACATTGCACAACGGAATAGTGGCCTGAAAGATAATATTGTCATTTAGCATTGGGGAGTTGCTTAATGGATGAGAATTTGGTAGAATCAATATTGATAGACCAAGTACAATTATAAAAACAACTATTGAAAGCAATGATAATATCATCAGAGGAATGTTGATAGAATCGAAACAAGGGGAACCTGGGAATCGATTCAACACCATTCCATTAGGTGCCCGACTAAATGGAATAACTACAGCAAGTGGTTCAGGTTGCGTCAAGCCATAACTGCAGTCTACAAAGGAAGTTAACACGTATGTGACAGGTGCCGAGATCAATAAACAAGTGTAACATAGAATATGTACCACTTTTTTCAGGAGCTTCCTCCTGCTACTTACTCTTTTCACAGCAGTATTAGCCAAAATAAAACAGCACACAATTGCCACAATAGTGATCATAAAAAATACAGCAAGACCAAGGTTAGCATAATATGGAAATGTCCATGATGCAAGAGTTATTGGAAAGTTCAAAACTTTGATGATCCAACTAGCCCATACTCCAAATCTGAAAGACACTGGATTTAGTAACGGTATCCATACAAAACACCAAAACAATACAAGCTGTACGATGAGTTGCTTAAGAAACTCAATGGTTCCTTTTCTAATTTTGTTTGCCTGCATTGCAAACAAGAAGATAAAAAACTCATTCGCTATGGCAGACCCAAACTCTGATGATAGAGTAGAGCTCTGGCAAGTAATAGATGTAGAAAATCCGTTTTGTTTTTTTTCATCCTTGTTTGTGTCCTTAGTTTTGTTTGGTTTCTCAATACTGATGGCTCCATTATGCTGAAGTCTTATATAGCCTTGCATTTCGATTTCAAACTTTGCATTGTCTAATTCAACTTCTTGTCTCAAATCATTTGGTATGAGATTATTATCCACATTGTTAATATTCAACTTTGGGTCTCTTCTGCTGTACATGAGCATGTAAGCATTTGTGGAATCGCCAATAATCTCATCATTTCCATACATGGATTCTATTTGAGATTTATCAATTTCATCAATATAATTATCATTAAATTTAAACCATTTCCCTGAATGGAACGATCTTATTAACACAAAGTAATGCTTTAAAAAAGGTCACTAAAAAGCTAGCTATTTTACATACCCCTGTAAGTGCATCTCCAGAATGAATGATAACACTATAAAGATCAAATAAATGTTGCTGATCATCTACATATTTTGACATGTCCAACACAAAGGGAAAGGTAACTTTGTTTCCAAGCTAATACTACAATTACATTAATATGAACAAGTTCATACTTACCTTGACAGGAGTATTTGTTTGATAATCAACCCTCTTGAGTTGAAGTGTTAAAATGTAGGGAAGATGAGCCAATTTTAAATTCTTGACCGCATCTATTTTCTTATTTCCAAGCTCCTCACAACACCATTGATTATCTCCCTTCATTTCCTCAGATTTTAAAAAACTTTCAATGGCCTCCTCGACACTGGACACATCCCGAATAGCCAATTGCAAATCCATAAAACTGTCCACTTTGGTGGTTTGATATACTTCACCACTTTGTTTCTTCTCATCCACAGACTCGATATGATCTATTACAGTGCCACAAAACAGGTCGCTGAAGGATACATTGCTATCGTTATTGTAATTTTTTTGTGGTGGTGATGAATCAGTTTCTTTAGAATGGGATCCGTCAGTCAGCACGTCGAACAAGATCCTAAACACTTCATGAATATCGTGTTGAACTTTTAAATCTGATGCTTGCCAGCCTAAGCATAGAAAAATTTTCGCACACGAATCAATCATATTATGTGTTGATAATGAAATCTAAGGACAATCGAAAACTTACCAAATGAATTTGTTAACTGTGTGGTGTCCACTGAGTTTCTCTTTGATAAAGTCAAATAGGCAAACAAGCGTTGCAATTGATAAGGGACGCAATGGTCCTGGTCAGGATCATGCTCAGGATCGTACCTCCATTTGAAAACCAACTCACGAAATTTTGGTGTGTGATGCAGAGATTGTAGTAGAGAATTTAAATAACATGTGGTTCCATTATTGGTGAGGCCAACAAAATGCTCTTCCTCTTGTGCACTACAAGATTGACGCCAGTTGGTGTTGGATGGTCCACTTGATGTTTCGTGGTTGTACTGCATGGTGATGTAAATTGTACTTTGTTTAAGTGGCGTTCCTCCTATTTTAATTGAAATTGAGACTTTAGTGTGACAAATTTATTATCTAATCTATTTTGGTAAAATTGTAAAAATAGTAATTAGACTTCCGTAAAAAGTTGCGTCTTTTTGAAGGTACAAAATACTTTCACGGTAAACACTGCTTGGAACACAAAATCTGAGCAACACTCAAACTGTTTTCAAACAATTCTTCCAAGGTAAACTGCAAACAAACCAACTGCCGCTTAGTGCAAACTCTTAAATTGATTAAATCTCTGGTTCCAAAAACCAAATGTTTTCCATTGAGTAGGGTGGAAATCATTCCCTCGTTTAATTGTTAATTATTTGAAAGGGCATTAAAAAGGAATTGGATTTGTGACAGTTATTAAGGAGTTGATCATTAATATTAAATTCCAAAAAAAATGAAACGACAACAAACCTGCGCTAATCCAGAAGAAAAAAGCGAAAAACGCTCCAAACACAACGATCAAGCGAAAATTGTAACCTTGCAGATGGATGAGGCTTTGGCGGGAAAAAATTCTAGCCTCTTATTCAGTAAGAAGACGAAGAATATTGAAATGACAATTCATTTGAACGGAATGGAGTGTCATGAAGGGATACTTTCCACCATATTTGATTTTCTGGATGTGAAAGATTTGCAATTTATTAAATCAGTATCATGGAAATGTTATGAATTGGTGCTTGCTGATAATTCAAGATATGCACAGAGAATGAGGGAGGAGTTTCCAATATATTGTAAAAGATTGGAGTATTTGAATGAGTTTGCTGAAGGTTTGATGATAAAGTGGCTGAAGAGGAGATTTGTGAAAAGACATGGCGAGAGATTATTATGGTAGATTGTGGAGAAATCAAACGGGAATCATGAGAAGGTTGTTGAAATTATTGTGAATTATGGATTGTTTGATCTTATTGAAATATTATCTGATGAGTTTCTAAATGCTAGACTTGCATTATATGAATGTGGAAAGAAGATAGATGAGTTTGAAAGTCTCTTTGAAGGTAAGCTATTTAATTGTGTTTGCCATCCCTAAAATGTGTACAGATGATTATGGCCTGTTTGCAATAAGTGAAATCATTTCACAGGGGGAGGAGTTCTATAAAAAGGTTATTGCTAAACCTGAGCTTGGTAAATCAGCACTTCGATACGGATATGAGGAATACATGTATTGTTTCCATTCTCTCTATTACATTCCAACTCAAAACTATATTGCAGAAAACGAAATTCAGTACGAAAGAAGAAAACAAAAAACCATCAAAGCACTTATTGAAGGGTATGATGTTTTTAAGAATTTCAATCCTATCTATTGTTAGGTGGTTTCCAATAACAGGTTGTTTCTTTAATATTATTCCATTGTACAACAACTTGATTTCCAAGAGTTTAACCAAAAAGAACAAAACCTCAACAACAAATTCCTAAAATACTCATTAAGAAATGTTTCATCATCTTTGATGGTTGCAAACTTTCTGTAGTCTGAAACCAATCAATTAAAGGATTTTTATTAGAATTGAAACAATTACAAGTGAGAGGAAAGTATCGAATGAGGATTTTAGATATTCTCCAGAAAGAATCTAAAAAACGGAGCAAGACAATCCGTTCCAGACTATTTTTACAATCGGAACGGAAAAGTATCTCGGAGACGGAGTCATTTTTCACTTCAATTAAACAGTGGACAACCAACACAATCACTTGCCGTATACACACTGGTTTCCCTCTTTCAACCTATAAATACCCCTCCATTCTTCATCCTTTCCGATAACTATCAAAAAAAAACAATTCAAACACTTCAATATGAACAAGTTAATCTTGGTCGTTTTACTTGTTGCCTCCTTCATCTTAGCTATTGAGGCAGCCAAGGGACCTTTCAATGCTCTCCCAGAATCTGAAATGCAACAACTTTTCACTCAATTCCGTAGAAAACATGTTAAATTATATGGTACTAAACAAGTCCAAGATAGAAGATATCAAATTTTCAAGCAAAATGTCGAAAGAGCAAGATTTGAGAATTACTTGACTGAAAGAGACAATATGGGTGTTACCAGATTCTCTGATTTGACCCCTGATGAATTTAAGAGCATGTTCTTGATGAAGAGTTATACTCCAAAGCAAGCAAGAGAACTTTTGAGTGGAATGAGACAATATCCAGCCAATGCCAAGTTGACCATGAAGCAAGTTAGTGATGCTCCAAAGGAATTCGATTGGAGAGAACACAATGCTGTTACACCAGTTAAAGACCAAGGTAACTGTGGATCTTGTTGGACTTTTAGGTAGGTTATTTGAATATTATTATTTAACGGTTCATTAATTTTTCTAGTACTACTGGTAATGTTGAAGGAATGTATGCTGCCAAAACTGGAAAGCTCATTAGCTTGTCTGAACAACAACTTGTTGATTGTGACCATAATTGTGTTGTTTGGGAAGGTGAAAAGACCTGTAATGCTGGATGCAATGGTGGTTTGATGTGGAGCAGTTTCGAACATATCATCAAGACTGGTGGTTTGGTTACTGAAGAATCTTATCCTTATGAAGCTGTTGATAATAGATGTAGATTCAATGTTTCTAATGCTGTTGTCAAGATTTCCAATTGGACTTTTGTTTCTTCCAATGAAGACGAAATGGCTGCTTGGTTGGCTAACAATGGACCAATTGCTATTGCCATCAATGCTGATTATCTTCAATATTATAGAAAGGGAATTCTCAATCCTTCAAGATGTGATCCAGAAGAATTGAACCATGGTGTTTTGATTGTTGGTTATGGAGAAGAAAAGGCAGCCAATGGTAAAGTTGAAAAGTATTGGATTGTTAAGAATTCATGGAGCGCATCATGGGGTGAGAAGGGATACGTACGTGTCTTGAGAGGTAAGGGCGTTTGTGGATTGAATGCAGTTCCATCTTCTGCTCTTATTTAAATTTCACACCTGTGTATTGAAATAAATTTTGTAAATATATTTTAAAAAACTCAAAGCTAATTAATATTGTAAACACAAATTCAATCGTATTTTGCCCATCTCTCTAAAAAGCCGATTCCTTGAACCAAGAATCCAATTTTGCCTCCTCAATTTATATAAGGCACTGTAATATTTCATTTTTCTTCTTCTAACATTTTGTAATGATGCCAATTAATTTCGCCGCCTGCTATTCCACCTCTTGACTTGGCCAAGGTTTGCACCGACAACACACATTTTTCAAGTTCACCTTTAAATAGCATTTGGCAAACATCACAAGATTTCAAAAAAAAAATATCAACACCCTCACTTGTAGTACATACTTTTAGTATAATTTTAAAACAAAGATGATCTTTAGACAATTATTCTCTGCTGATACTTGCACAATGACTTTTATTTTGGGATGCGAACAAACTGGACAAGCTGCCATTGTTGATCCTGTCATTGAAGAATGCGAAAGAGATGCCAAGTTGGCTAAGGAATTGGGATTGACTATTACACATATTTTGGATACTCACGTTCATGCTGACCATATTACTGGTGGTATTGCCTTGAAGAAACACTTCCCACAAGCTACTCATGTTTATAGTATGCATTCCGGAGTTACTTTCACTACAGGATTGACTTTGGCCAAGGAAGGTGATGTTATTCAAGTTGGTTCTCTCAAGATTCACGTTTTGGAAACTCCAGGACACACCAATGGTTGTTTGACCTATTATACCGATGATAAGAAGATGGTTTTCACTGGTGATGCCTTGTTCATCAGAGGATGCGGAAGATGTGATTTCCAACAAGGATCTGCCTCCAAATTGTATGATTCCATCATGAAGATTTATTCTACATTGCCTGATGATTGTTTGGTCTATCCTGGTCACGACTATAAGGGCATGATGTTCTCCAGCATTGGTGATGAAAAGAAGAATAATCCAAGAATTTTCGCAACTCAAACTCGTGAAGGATTCTGTGAAATTATGAATAACTTAAAGTTGCCAAATCCTAGATATCTTGATGTTGCTTTGCCAGCTAACTTGTTGGGTGGTGTCAAGACTAATTAATTATTTCCGTCATCATCAAATAATTATTATCTATATTTTAAATAATTGTGATGAGAATATATTTTGATTGTCCGACTTGCTAAAAACAATATGTACATAGAGAAAATAAATTTTGAATTTAAAAATCTTTTTAATTTACAAAATAATAATACAATTTGATAAATTCCAAATCTTTCAAAATATTTACATATATAATATTTCAATAATAATTATATTAAAATTTTCCATTACTTCATCATAAAATTATTACTGTCTTTTAACAACAGTTTTTGGTCTTTTACTACCTCCCATCAAGGCAGAATTCGACACTGATACCAAATCTTCCCTCTTCCTAAACGAATCAAATCGTTCTCGTTGTTCCTGTTGATTTTTCCTCTTCAAAAAAGCCTTCACCAAATTACGTTGTCTCGTCAGCTGTTCTGCTTGTTCCGTCAGCAAATCTGCAGCATCGGAGGCTGAAGCAGAATTGGCGCCATCTCCGCCACCACCACGTCTCTTCTTCTTATTATTGAGCGAAAATTCCAACATATCGATACGACGATTTCGCGCCTCAATATCCATCTCGAGTTGTTGAATGTACATGAGCATGTGATGGAATCGTTGTTGGAGTATCGAGTTGTGTGAGGAGAGTGAATCGTCCCATTTTTCAAATTTCATATTGGAGAGAGGATGCGATTCGAGGGCGGCAACTTTTTGTTTTAGAGTTTCACATTCGATTTCTTTCAGCATGAGACGAATGTGGAGAGGTGAGGTGAGGTCCAAGGGCAGTATTGAAGACATTTTTTTTTGATGAATTATTTGAATGACATGTTTGACATGATCTGTTCTTTTTGTTTTGAGGATTCGTATTTGAAAGGTTTAGAATAGCAGTTCTATAGAAATATTTTCAAAGTAATTTCATTATCTGTTATATTCAATGTATTGTAATATAAAGATTTAATGTATTGAAAGCAAAGAAATATTTTATTCTAATTGTTTCGAATAGGAATACATCTATTTTCACATCAAATTTCCATTAAAAAAAAATTCAAAAGTTTGCACGGACTTGTCCAAGCAACATGTCCTCATCGAATAACAATAGCAAAACAATACGTTTCTTTTCGGATACCAATTCGAATACACTTATCAGAAACTCACCATCCAACAATACAAACTTAAAGGACAACTCTAATCCCATCCTCTCCATCACCACCACCACAACTCCCAACAACAACAAATCCACCACTCAATCTCCTCACCATTTAGACTTTCAACTTTCTCCAAGTACTTTACAAAACACTCGCAAATTCTCCCTCAACAAGGATATATTAATTTCCATGATCAATAATTCATCTACATCTGCTACATCTCCATCCTCTTCATCTATAAATTCTCCTTCATCATCTTCATCATCATCACAACAATTAAATAATAATTTTTCATCATCAAATAATTTATTCAATTCCGTTGATCCGGATTCGAGGAGGCGGAGTAGTGGCGGAGAAAATATTAATATCGGTAGTGGTAATGGTAGTGGTAATAATAATGCGAGTGTTAATAGTTTGGGAGGTGCAGGGAATAATTCAGTTCTCTTTTTGAATTTGGACGAAAGATTGGCCATGCAAACACAGAATGAATTGAATTCTTCGAGACCGATCAATCATCAGAGGAATAGACATAAGGGATCTGGTGGTATTTCTGAATATTCATTTACGGTGGATGATTTGATATTGCCAAATAGTGATATATCATCACCTAGATTGGCAATTTCAAGTAATTTAAATTCGAATATTGTTTCTTCTAATGTTTCGAATGCGAAGAGTCCAACTCCTCATTCAAAATCAAATTCAACGACTACAGCTACCTTTGTACCATATATTTCTCCTTTAAATACTTCGAATAGTTTGGAAAGTAATGAATTGGGAACTACAGAATTTGTCAATTTGGATCTCACTTCAATTTTACCTCATGGAAAATTATTGAGATTCTTCCTTGTGAATAATCAGGACTATTTCACAGACACTGTCCAATTGAGAAAACACAGCCCCGTCATTGCTCAGGAAATTGATTTCCAGCAACGATTGAATGAATTTGAAAATCAAAACACTGGATTCTTTTCAGATATTTCCATTAGATTTGTACCGAGTGGAAGAGAGATTCGTGCCCATAAATTCATTCTCTCCATGTATAGTCCCGTGTTGGCTACACTGTTTAGTTCGAGATGGAAGGAAACTCATGATAATGTCATTGAGGTTTTGACTGAAGTTAGTAATCAGAGTGGTGGTGGTGTAAATTTTGAGGAGGTTGACGATGAGCAATTATTTGTGGAAATGATTCTCTGCATGTATAGTGGTCAGATTTATCAAGTGGAGCAACATTTAATTGTTCCATTGTTGGAGTTATCTGACAAGTATCAATTTACAGAATTGTCGAGAGCTTGTGAGGAGTATTTGAGAGTTCACTTGAATGAACACAATTGCATTTCATTGCTCTATCTTGCCAATGGAATTTCCATTGAGAATACTCTTCAATCCTCTGCAAATACGAGACTTTCCATTTCATCAACAACTGGAAGCAAGTATTCAAAGGGAAAGTTTGATCGATTGAAAGAGAGAGCACTCGCCTACATTGATACACATTTCGAGTTGGTTTCCAAGACCAAGGCATTCCTCTTTTTAGATGTTAACATGTTGATTTTCCTCCTTAATCGTGGTGAGCTCAGAGTTGATTCTGAGGATGTCATTCTCAGTGCCATTTTAAATTGGTGTGATGGTGATCTGTGCAATAGGAGAGAACTCTTATTCTCAACTCTATTGGAACATGTTCGATTGTACCACCTCTCTCCCAATCGATTGGCTCATTTGGGTGAAGTATTGGAAAGGTACACTGGAACATTGGAGAATTCCTCTCTCATGATGCCATGGATGAATAGAATCATGCAAGCCATGTCCTATCAAATGTCTCACACTCTCGGTTTCCAACTCTCTCAGAGTATGCAACAGAAAATTGCACTCGAATGTCCTCCAAGAAAGAGAGCTACTCAAGATATTACAAGAATTTCAAATTTATTATCACAGGAGCAATTTTTACAAATTGCAGAGTGGATTAATGAGCAAGGAAAGCAAGGATTGATGAAGGATGTTTCTGAAAGGTTTGTTTCCATTTTCCCACTCTAATTGATTAATTTTCTAATAATTTTTTGTAAATATATACTTCACACATTTTACAAATATTTCACACAAATACAATCTCAAACTAATCAGAGAATGGCTACTTCTCTACAGAGGAACAAGGGATGGTTTTCAAGGTAAAGCTTTCCATGCCAAATGTGATGGAAAAGGTCCAACTTTTTGTGTCATTAAAACAGATAAGGGATTTCTATTTGGAGGATTCACATCCAAGAGTTGGCACAGTAACAACACTGATGAGAGTGACGAATGTGCATTTTTATATTCTCTCTACAATCCCTATCTGAACAACAAAATGACAAGATTTAAAATCAAACCTGGAATGTCAGCTGCCATTGGATGTTATGCAAACTTTGGAGTAATTTTTGGTGGAGGAAGAGATTTAATTCTCTATTCTGAAAGTAATATTAACAATTCGAGTCATTGTGAATTCTTTGGCCACACTTATCAATTACCAAATTTAGCAGGAGTTTGCTATGGATCTCTGAAGAGTAAAACCTTCTTCAATGGAACTGAACAGTTTAGAGTGAATGATTGTGAAGTTTTTGGATTAGTTCCATCCTCAAATAAATTCCTTACCAAGTAATACTTGTCCTATTTCACATTGAGAATCTTTTTGCATTTCACACACAAGTCAATCGACAGTTAGCTCCATAACAATAACATTTAAATGAGCACACTAACTTGTTTATAATATTTTGGGTTAAACGATTTCACAACAGGTTTTTCTTTCAAATTCTAACAATTCCAATTTTACTTGTTGCAATTCGTCTAAATCTTCCGAATCTTGAACAGTTTCCACAAAATGTCTATCAATAGATAACAAGACATTCTTCACCTCTTGAAACTTATCGGAGTAATATTGAATTTGATCTTGTTGTTCTCTTGTTGGATTTTCAACTTTGATTAACATTAGTTTTTCTAGACGAAAGTCAATTAAAGCAATTTTCTTTTCCGTAATTTCTTGATTAGAATACTTGGTTGGTTGTTGATAGTGATGAGCTGGTTCCTGCAGACCGGTATCTTCGAAAAAGCTTGGAGGACCATAAGGAACAAGTTGTCTGTAGAAAGATGGCATTTTTTTGAGTTTAGAATAGTTCGTTTCGTGTTCATGATCATTTTTTGTTAGGTGGCCCAAAGGTAATGTGAGAAAAACTTTTTACCATGTGAGAATAAAAGTTAATGAGAAAGCTGTTCAAAGATCTTTCAATTTTTATGTTTAGCAACCTAACAAAAAATGATCTGACGTCATTAATGATAAATTCAAAATTTATTTACAAGATTATTTACAAATATTTCATCACAAAAGAAGGTTTCTACTAATGAGATTACTTTTTCATATCCAAAAGGACAAATTCAGTCATTGAATTCACTCCCTCAATGAATAATTCCTCTTCAGTGGATGAATCTGAATGAATGAAACAACCATCTCCTTCTTTCAATGTTACAATTTCTTGATTGTTTCCATGAGAAAGTTTGATTGAAATTGGGTTTTCTAAATTTGGTGATTTGAATAGTTTCATTTTCAGATAATTGGAAATGAAAGGGTTAGCTTTACGAAGTAAAGAAGAAAACAAACCATTTAGTTTAGAATCTTCAACTGAAGATGATCCAATTCTACTCATAATTGGAACGTGAATATAAATTTGACGACCAGGTTGCAAAGTATGATTGACTTTCTTTCCAGATTCCAATAAACTTGAAAGTACATAAATATCTTGATCAATTCCAATAAATTCTTCACTCAATTTGGCACTTTCGTTTGGAACAATCATTAAACGCAATTGATTCAGTTTTTGTTCTGGTGTGAAATCTTTCGTTTGATAATTTGGTTTCGAATTGAAATTTCGAGGTTTCACCCAAATTTGTAAGAATTTGACATGCTCATTCTTATCCCTATTAAACTCACTGTGATAAACTCCACTTCCAGCTGAAGTAAACTGAACTGAACCCTTCTTACAAACTTCTGTATTTCCCATAGAATCTGAATGAGTCAAATTTCCAGACAAGATATACGAAAATATTTCATAATTCTGATGAGGATGCATTGGAAATCCGCTTGATGGCTCCACTGTATCTTCATTCAATACTCTCAATGGTCCGAATTGAGTAAACTTTTGATTTCGATAGCTTGAAAAGGAAAATGTGTGGTAGGTATCAAGCCAGCCTTCATCATAGTGTCCTCTTTCTTCTGATGGTCTAATTTCAAATTTCATTTTTCTTGTTATTTGGCGCGTGTGTTGTTGTTTGTTTTTTTTTGATTTGAAAAATTGAAAAGTTTGTTGGCGGGAAAGATAAAGAAAATTGTGAGCGCAAGAACTTGCTGGTTAGTGCGCACGGTTTTTGTTGTGCCAATTCCGTTGGTTTTTTATGGGCAAATTGCTGCACTTTACAACCTTGTTCACGGAAAAGGGAGTTTTAGTACCAGTTACGGATTCGAAGTACTTGAATGTTGCAAACATGTTGGTTACAAAAAATGGTCCTTAGATTGTACTTATGAATGCCTTAATGGATCACTCACATTTTGGAAACAACAATCCTAAAAATCTGGTGGCTATTAATTTTTTTAAATGGTTTTCTATTTTTCTTTTTTGAATTACTTTTTTTTAAGGATATGGATATGGAGATTGATCAATTAATAGGAGCACTAAGCTTACTTTCCTTGAGTTTAACACTTTTTATGGGGTAAGAAAGTGCAGGGGTTCGCAATCTGAAGTCAAATTTCTAAAATATCTTGTATTCATCGATAAAGAGGCAAACCCTTATTTCTCAAAAACCCACATTACTTTTCTCTCAAAGAAAAAACAAATTATCGAGTTTCACATTGGATATTTAAGGTAAATCACCGAGGACTGCCTGTGATTCTCTGCCTTAATTAGAGGTTAAAATTTCCAAATAGAGGCACTGGAATGACTCTCCTTAATGAGATACACAACATGAATCACTAACAAACTTTGCTTTAACAACCCTCAAAAAACATAAGCAACTCTTCATCATCAACCACAACAACAAATTTTGAACTGTTTAAAATTTCTAACCAACATTAATATTAAGGAACATCAAAATCTACAACAGCCATTTAAAAGAACAGTAGATTTATATAAAACACAAGAAAATGCAAGCCTCATCTAGTGGACAATTTGAATCCGATGGAGAGGGTTCTGATTTTTTGACAAATAACAATAATATTAATGGTGGAGGTGGAGGAACCAATGGTGCTCCCTTAGCAAATCCACAACAAGCAATGAGTAATGTCGGAACGAGTAGTGTTGGTTCGACAGTTTCAACTAATACCGATTCTAATCTTTCAAAGAATGTTGTGTCCATGTTTAGAGATCAATTCATTGGATTTATGATATCATTCAATGCAAAAGTATCGAGAATTTCCAAGCTAAAGTATGGTATCCTTAATATTTTGATATATGTGTACTTGTGGTACGTTACAATGGTACTCTCCTCTTGTCCTTCAAGAATTGATGAAGAAACATCTGCATCTGCATCATCATCTTCAACAACATCTTCCTCACATCACTACTTGTGGGGAGAAATACCAGGTTGGATTCATAGAGCCTTATTCTATCCCATAAATTTTGGCGTAGAACATTACCCTTACGAGCTAACATTGACAATATCTGCGCTATATCTGCTTGCTGAGGTTATTTGCATTGGACTCTTAGTTCTCTTTCAAGTGGCCAAGAATAAGGGAAGCAAATGGAGTGAAAAGATTAATTCAATTGCTTCCAAACTGATACTTTTCCTTATTGTGACTTCACATTTTGCATTGTGGATTCATACAGTACCTATGGCACCACTCGAATCAATACCACTAGGACACGGTTCATCAACAATAACGAGTAGTTCATCATCATCAAAAACATCTTCTTCAGCAGAGGAGGACACTTATCTTTACTATTATCCTTCTCTTTCAATTAGTTCAACAGTGAATATTATTTTCATAGTGATTGGTGCACTTGGTGTGGTTTGCAATGTTGGAGTGACACTGTTGGGATTCATTCTCACTGCAGAAACTGTTCCACCAATGAAGAAATATTCCTTATTTTCAATTGATAGAGTGGAGCCAACAGCTGTTCTTCTTTTCACAAATCAATTGAGTGTAATTGTTACTGTTATTGTAACTTCTCATTTGGCAGTCGTGTCGAGTGCATTCAAGATTGTAATCTCTGGAATATGCTTGATTTTCTTCATGAACAAAATACCCCACTACAGAAAGTGGGAGAATTCTTTAATGGTGGGAGTAATGTTTGGAAAGACTTTGGGAAGTATTGGACCTCTTGTTTCTGATCTAATAGTCTCGGGCGAAACAAATGCAACTACTCTTGGAGGAGCACTAACTGGTGTCACTATTGGATTGCAAGTAATTGGATTCATTATAGGATTCATTGGATTTTACATTTATCTAAGCATGATAACTAGGTCTGTTCGTAAATTCTTATTATCAGAATTTGAGGATAAGAAGAAGGATAAAATAGGAGCACAACAAGCATTTGCCTATTTTGAAGAGAATAAGAATATGAAGAAGCTGTCACTCTATATCAAATTATCAATGGGAGAAAATGGTTCTGCAAACTTTAATGTGGCCACTCGATTTGTGAGGAATATTGGTGTTTCCAGAAGTATGACCAATGTGGATTTCCTCATTACAGCAGCCATATTCTCTGCATTCCATCCGGATGTAGATGACCAATTTACATGCATTGCCAATGCCATTCATTTACTTCAGAGAGCTCAAAAACAACATCCATCACTCTCGTTCAAGTACATGATCATGTTAAGGCATAAGGAAATTGAGGAGAATATGAATACCATATCTGCTATTAATATTGAATTGAGACAAATGTTACAGACATTGGATAAGAAACAACACTTGTTACAATATTTCCATAGAGAATTTTACAAGGAACTTTTGAATGAACATCCTTCATTGTCCAAGATGGAAAATATCAATAGAACTATATCCATTATAGTTCAGGATTGTGATCTCAAGTTTAGAAATTTACTAGTCTCCCATCCTAATGATAAAACCCTATTGAGATCGTACGCCTGTTACTTGGAAACTTGTAGGTGGGAGAAGGAGCTAGCAGCTGAATACTATGATGATGCCAATCAAATTGAGGAAGAAGAGGCAAGAAAACACCATCATAAGAAGGCAAAGAATAACTTTATGAGTAGTGACTTTTCAAAGAGAAGAGCCATTCCAACAGCATCAAACAAAGTCGTACCAATATCCAATATGGCTGCTAATTTCGATCGTAAAATTAATGCCTCACTGGATTTTGATGTTGTGGAGAAATCGTTAGATCATAAACATGATGAAGAAAATTGGGAATCAGTATCAAATGCAGAGGAGTTATCTAAGAAGGAAGACTTGTTCAGAATTGCAATCAACACTGAGGATGACCATACTTTTACCAAAATTTGGTTTTCCATATTCACCATGTTCTCTATCATTGTCATTTCTGTAATTATTGGTTTTGGAATGGGCCAGCTCAAGATTACAACAGACAGAGTTTCACTGCAAGAGAAGGTTTGCTCACTGAGTGGAATTCCTTACCTCATTGTTTCACAATTAAGATCAGTGCAGTCCATCTATAGATTCTCTTCCTCTTCGTGGGAGCAAACTCTCAAGGTACCACTGGTTGCAAATATAGCAAAGAATCAATTAAGCATGTTGATGGAGAAGGTACAACATGTCAAAGATGCCTCAAACAATGGTGAATTTGTTCCCGAAGTTGTTGAAATGTACAATGAAGTTCGTTGGACGAATATCATTCCTATTAAACAACAAACAGAGGAAACAAGCATTCCATTGTACCATAAAGTGAACGGATCGATTGCAGAGTTTGTCGAATCCATGTTGACACAAGCTCATGAACTTGAGAAACAGTTTGATAATTTACATGTATTGAATGTTACCATGTCAAATTATAACTTTTTATACTAGTAAGTTTTATATCCTTCATTGAATTCTCTATAACGTGAAATAGTTATTTGGGAAGAACTGAAATGACAGAAGCTTTTGACTATTTTTGTTCTACCTTCATCAAGAGTTCAGAAAGCACAGAAATAGAAGGTCAAAAAGAGTTTTACATTCTCTGTGGTGTTTTGATGGGTACCTATGCTCTACTTGCTTTGATTTATGTAATTGTTTTGAGAACTCAGCTTTTACAAACATTGAGAATTATTAGATGTATATTCAAGAAGATTCCAAAAGAAGAAAGTGGCAAAATTTTTCATCGTTTTGATAAGAAACTCTATGATGAAATACATAAGGAAAATAGAACAGTGTTGACACCTAAGAATCTCTTCCTTGTCACTACCATTTTGATTATTTTGATAACATTCCTTGTGTGTATATTGATCATTATTGATTTCGAACAGGGATCACAAGAAATTATGTCCACAATGGTGACAGTCTCATCGCTAAATGATGTTATTACCATTTCTTCAAAGGTTACCTTTACGTTGAATGAGTTAATCACAAAAAGTATAATCATGAATGAAAACTGGATTGATTTGAGAGATAGAAACTTGGAAGATTTGAAACAAGCTGCCATAGCATGGAGAGACATTACCATTGGTGGCAGTGAAAATAATTTCAAGCCAACAGTGTTTGGTATTTTACCTGAAATTGATGACTTGTTGGATGGAACCTGCAGCAATAAGACATTCCAGGTGTCTGAACCTCTCAATTACACAACAGTCATGTCAGAATTGAGTTGCAGAGGAATGGATCAATTGTTGAATATATTTATGGATAGATCCTATGAATTGAGTCAAGATTTTTATTCTAATTACTATGATAAGGAAAGTGCTATGGAGTTGTACTTTACTTACATTTATTTCCTCTCTGTAACTTTCTCAGACAAGTTATTGGACTTGATAAGTGTGTATGTGAATTTCGCAAAGCATCCAGAAGTTGCCTTAGCAGCGGCATCGACTTCTGTTGGTTTGATATTAATTATCATGTTGAGCTACTTTGCCTATTCAAATATTTCATCCTATTGGATGGAAAAGCAAAATTTAAGAAGTTTGTTAAATTATATTAATTGGGAATTGATTGAACAAATAGACGATTTGAAGCAGTATGCAGTTTCACATAGAATTAAGGAAAATACCTATCAAAGTTTGGAAAAGGTTTCTAGCAAAATTTCCAAGTTCAATGTTTTCAAATTTGAAGATGGTGACGATGAAGAATCCAACGATCCATTGGCCATGACCAAATCTATTCTATTGGCTGCAGCTGATGGCAGTATCGTTTGTAGTTCAAATGGCTCTATTACAATTTTTAATCCAGCAGCTGAAGACATGTTTGGTTTGAAAGGAAGCGAAGTCATGGGAACACACATCACTGATCTATTCTCCATTCAAGATCAACCTAAAATTGCAAATTTGCTCAAATCCATGAATAGTTCACTAAGTGCCTTCTCTGAAACATTCGAAGCAACAGCTATCCGAAAGAACAAGACAATCTTCTCTGTGAAACTCTCAATGAGTGTTTGTATCTTTATGAAGAAGGCCATTGTTTCATGTTTCGTCAAGGATATTACCCCAGAGAAGAAACAAAATGCTCTCATTGCTGAAGAAAAGAAGAAGAGTGAAGATTTATTATTGAATATTTTACCACTTCCAGTCGCAAATCGATTAAAACAAGGTGAAACATTCATTGCTGAAAAGTTTACAGATGTCACTGTATTCTTTTCTGATATGGTTGGATTTACCAAAATGTCATCAGGAATGGAACCAGATCAATTGGTTAAAATGTTGAATACCATCGTTAATGAATTTGACAAGCTGACAGAAAAGTATTCCATTGACAAGATTAAAACTATTGGAGACGCCTATTTTAGTGTAGGTGGTTTGCATGCTTCCAAATCAAGTGATCACCCAGAAAGAATGTTAAGAGTAAGTTGTAATAAGTTTACAAAAAAACGCAATATTCACACAAAACATAGTTCTCAATTGATATCTTTTTCTTTTTGAACAAATTCAACACAGAGACCAACAACAAGATTAACCTAAGAGTTGGCCTTCATACTGGTGGTTGTGTGGGTGGTGTAATTGGCAGTAAAAAGTTTGCCTATGATTTGTGGGGTGATACCATTAATACTGCCTCGAGAATGGAATCTACATCCATTGCTGGAAGAATTCAATTATCCAGATCTACCTATGAGGTAAGTTTCTTTCTAAAAAGATTACAAGATTATTTCTAATACTATTTTCACCTCAATGTTTAGAGAGTTTTTGATTTGGATTTCCAATTTGAAGAAAGAGATGGAATTGAAGTAAAAGGAAAAGGATTAATGAAAACCTATCTAGTCCATCAAAAACACCATCCAATTGCTTTTGAAGAAGAACACGAAATGACTCCAATTATTATTGAACCACAAACTTGTCATCCTCCATTATTGGAATCAAACAACATGTCAACACCACTTCTTGAGGAACATTTGGAAAACAATGATGAAACCCTAGAGTATACCATTGTCCAACACTAAGAAAAACCCACAATAAAATTCCATTCCTCAAACCATAGGGATGGAGTCATGTCATTATTCACCCATCAAAAAAAATGTATCATCATCACAACAGTAGTAGCAGTGGATATGATAATGATAAATCCACAACACCCATTCCCATTGGAGGTGGCAACAACAGCAAATCTCCATCATCGTCATCATTAAAATCCTCACCACCAACCTTTTCCTCCTCTCCCAATACTTCAACTTTTCATTCCATAAGTAAAAATCAAGCATCAGCAGTTCCTTCAACATTGGTTTTTACTAGAAATTCATCGACAGTATCACCTTCTAGTCCTATTAGTGCTAGTTATAGTGGTGCAAGTGGACAGGTTCATTTTCAATCATCAAATTTAACATCAAATGTGACAAGTGAAAGGAAGACTACCATGTTTCATTTTGGAAGAAAGAAATCAGTATTGAAGGCTACTCCGATTATATCACCTCTTTTGTTACCAACTCCTGATCAATCTAATAATTCGTTTAGTTTAGGTTCGAATAATGCCTTGACAAGTACAAGTAGTGGAATGTCTTCACAAGGATCTACTGGAAATTTGGAAAGTGTTGGGCAATCATTATTGGAAAATTCTACAATGGCTACTTTTGCTTCATGGGAAGAAGTTAATGGATCCATGCTCAATTCATTCGATTCATTTTCTTCAGTTTCGTCCAATTCAGGAAGTTTCGATTCAAATTACGAAGAAAGTTCGGAACCTTCTAAAAGATCAAGTGTTGGGAAATCTAGAAAATTCACAACATTTATTTCGAAAATATTTGGAAAGAATCAAGAAAATGCAATTCAATCAACCTCTCCAAAATCGAATAGAAGCAAAGCCAAGTTTCTCAATTCTCTATCCGAAACTGATGATTTTTTCAGGGATAGTGCAATGGGAATTGAACCAAGTCCTTCACCATCAACCAGTTCAGGAAGTTTGAAAGGCCACCATGCAGCATCCAATTCACTAGAGCAACAAGATAGATCATTTACAGATTTGGACACCAAACAAAAATCAATGTTTAATGGATGGTTCCAAGAGAAGGCCTCCATTTTGGAAGATTTATTCGACAAGGAGGGCTGCGTGTATTTTTACAAGAATCAAATCAAACCAGGTCAGAATAAGAAGAGATCTTCCACCACTCTTAATCTCAGTTCGAATAGTTCAAGTAGTAATGAAGGAAATGACGATGATGGAAATGGTGATCTCTCCAGGGAGGAAGATGTTTTTGTTGAGAGATTTTTTAGTTGTAAGAATTCGGCCATTACAATTTTCGAGAAGGGAACTAAGGATTCTCCTGTCAAGCATTCATTCTCATGGAATCAGAATGTTACATTTAGTTTGGTTCCTACTGAAAAATCATTTGATACAGTTGTTGCCAAGTCGATTAAGAAAGCCACACGATACAACAGGTCACAATATTTCCTATTTGAAATTAGAGTGGAACAGGGTGATAATTTCTATGTGATGGATCCACTCATTCTTGTTGGATTAGTCAGAACTAAAGAGGAACGTGATGATTGGGCTGATTTATTCGAAATTTACTCAATTTACTCATCACTCAATGTGTTAACAGAGGACGATTTCACACTCTCATCAACCATGACAAGAGAGGAAACTCTTCGTGATTATTTCATTCAGGAATATGAACTTTTCGATGAATATCAAAATGAAGTGAGAGAACAAGGTGAAAATCAACAAAATTTCAATAACAGAGGAGAAACTGTAATGGACCCTCGATTGTCAACTATTGAAAATCCATTCGAAGAGACAAATGCATTCCAGAGAGAAATGGAAAAGTCATATACTTTTTTGATTCAATCATTTGATCCATATCTAGCAATTAATTCTCAGTCTCAATAAATGTGTACAATAAATTTAATTTACAAGAGTATGAGTGATATTGAATTACATTGAAAAATAATTGTTTAATTGGCTGATTTCAAATCAAATAGTTCAATAATATCTTCCATTTTGGATCCCTTATTGGCAACCAAAACGTCAGTGACAGAGACGAGTACCTTAATTGGTACTGATTCACCATACTGATCACAAATTGCATCCATGAACAGATCGAGATCTTGTTTGCTAGTGAAAATAGGTTCGCCAGCAATACTTTCAATGACATCCTTAATGTTATCAACTCCTTTAACATTTGGTACTCTCAATACTCTGTCAAATTGCTCAACCAAATCCAAATCTTGCAAAGAGCTACTCATTGAACTGGTACCAATGATCAATAATTTACGTCCCTTTGGTGGAGGTGTTCTGATACAGGTCATTAAAGTTTGAAGTACGAGATTAGAAAATCTTGGGCCAATTCTTACCAATTGAATTAATCTTTCCACATTATCCAAAATAATGACACTCTTATCTGAACGGTAAGAATCTTGGAAAGCATCTGAAATGTATTGACATTGCTCATATTCTGAAATCATTTTGATCATTTTGCTTGGTGAGACAACCTTGACAAATGGGAATTTAGTTTCCAATGCCAAACTTGCAGCAAGGGCAGTCAAACCACTTTTTCTAGAACCAGTCAATAAAACACTGGAGAGGAATGTATTTTCACCCTTATCAATTTGCTTCATAATGAGTGAACATTTTTCTTTCAGTTTTTCAAATTCTAATCCATGAGTAATAATTCCCTTTCCAACAAATGACTTCAAGTCATCCTCGTCAACACTAAACGATGGTTTTGATTCAAGGAGAGCTCTATTAAAATCTTCCATTGTAACTTTGAGCAATTCAGAAAATTCCTTGATATTCTTAGTTTCGACTTTCTGATTTTTAACGTCGATTCCTCTCGACATGGCAAATGATCTGGCACTTGCAACAAGACCCATAATATCAGAACCTGTATAATTCTTTGTTCTCTCAACAATACTTGCAAAGTCTACATCACTCGACAGGAACTTGTTCTCTTGCAATTTTTGGGTGTGAATTTTCAAGATTTGCATTCTTCCTTCTTCGTTTGGAAGTCCAATTTCAATCTGTACATCAAATCTTCCCTTACGAAGAAGAGCTGGATCAATCAAATCCAAACGATTGGTCATGCCAATAATTAAAAAATTGTTTGGAGTATCAACACCATCAATCATAGAAAGCAATTGATTGACCACATTATCTCTGACACCAGTATTGTCTCCAGCATTACCTCTTTTTTTACAAATTGCATCAATTTCATCCATGATAATCAAGTGCAAACATTGAGTTTTTCCATTACTATCTTTCCAATCTTGAATTGCTTCAGCAAATAATTGTCTGATTTTCTTCTCAGATCCACCAACAAAAGAATCGAAAATTTCTGGACCATTGACAACTTCCTTCGTTTTACAATTCAATACTTGGCCAATTTTCTTTGCAATCAAGGTTTTACCAGTTCCAGGTGGACCATAGAGAAGAACACCCTTAGTGTGCATTGCTCCCATTTTCTCAGCAACTTCTGGTGGATAAGCTCTCGAGGCAAATGCTCTTCTGAAGAGAACATTTAATTGTTTTTCTAAACCACCAATTCCCAAAGTGTTGAATGTGAAATCTGCATTGAATAGATCAGGTTGTTCCTCCTTCATTTCTTCTTCACTCAAATTGAGATTTCCAATTCTAATATCATCATTCAATTGAGTTGGAAGAGCATTAATATCATATGGTACATTAGAGAATTTCATAATATTCTTTCCTGAAGACAATTTGAAATAAATAGTTGTCAAATCATCAATCTTGACTCTCTGTTTCGAGGTACAAACTGCCTTTGCTTGTACAAATTCTCCATTCATAACAAACAGTATCGATTGACCATAGGTCAATATATGAGCATTAAATGCCTTCTTTACAATACTAATCATTTCAACAATATCTACAACTTTTCTATCGACAATTCTTTCATCCACAAACTTGATCTCAAAAACCACATGTCTCTCCTCCTCACAATTAATCACCGATAAATCATCAAATACTTTAAATTCATGCTTTTCTCCCAATTCAACACCTGCCTGACTTCTCATAAACTTATTCAATCCAATTTCACCTTTTTGTATGGTCGGATAGGTTGAAACTCTCGTAACCAAATTACCACAAATTAAATAGGATTGATGACCAATATCATCGGGGTGAAGATAGGCCAAATTGGAAAATTGTAAGTGTTTCACTGGTGTACTAGCAATAGTAAACTTCATCTTGAATTATTATCGCTCTCTATTTCAATTAATAATAAAACAATTGATCGTTGTTCTCTCCTTTTTTTTATGTTGAAAATATGAACTTTTTTGAGTGTTCTTTAAATAGGTTTTAAAGTTATCTAAAAACAAATTGATGACGCAAATTCAAACACTCTCAACGGATACCATGACGTACTTGCCACTTCAATAGTAAAAACAGATTTAACCTATTCCATTCAAATGATTTGTTTTTGAATAAGGTTGTTTTTTGGAGGAGGTTTTATGAATTGGAATTTTTTTTGTAATACTTATAAAAAATGCATCAAGATGTTTGGAGGGAAGTTTTTCAATTTTTGGAACCGATTGATTTGGTGAGTTCAATGTTGGCTATTGTAGAAGAATCAATTGTTACGTTTGAGAGTATTGCTTTGGGAGATTGTAGAGTTTCATTCCGATATATTGATCACAATGATGATTGGTCAGAAAATCAATTAAATTCTGAATATTGTTTGGATTATGTTAGAATATTGGGAAATGTAAATTATATTGTTAATTTATATTTATTAAAATTGGGAATTAAATTGGGAAATTTTGATAGTCAATCGAATGTTGAATCGATACTTGATAGTTATCAATTTAGTTTATTGGAATTTTATAGAAAAAGTTTACTTCAAGTTGAATTTCCACCATTTGAACCAACTACACCAGATAAAGCATATGTATTGAAATATGTTACAATTGGAGATAGGTCAATTGGAAAGAAAACTTTACAAATGTATTTGAGGGATGGAAAATTTGATCCTCACCCACCAATTGGAGTTGATTTCTGTATCAAGAGGTGTGCTCTAAAAGGAGGACCAAATATTAAACATCAAATATGGAATGCTTCAGATATGAGACAAGAATCAAAGCCAGAACTTATTCAAAAACTTAGTCGATATGGATTTTCATTCCTCTTTTGCTTCTCAATGGAAAATGAGGAAACCTTCAAAGTGATGGAACAGTGGATTGAACCTCTTAGGAACCTTGATATTTCAAAAAGATTGGGTTTAATCATTGGCTTTCATCCATTCATTAAGAACGAAACAAAACAACACTTGACTCGATTGGAAGCTGTGAAAAAATCTTGGCAATTTGAAAAATCATTATTTCTCGAAATTGACACTGCCAAGAACCAGAATATATATGCTCTTGTTTGGTTCCTTCAGATAAAGTATACATACTTTAAACCTCCTTCGACAATGTATTATGTAGCACCTGAAAATATTACAAAGCAACAAGAAGAAGAGCCTGTTAAAAAGTCATTCTGTATTATACAATAAGGAAAATTTAATGATACTATTTGGATATCAATTGGATATTTTCAAAGATAATTTCATTTTCACTGTAGTTGTCAATTTGTGAAAAATTGTAAACTCTGTCTTTGTGCACCTTTACAAAACATTAAATGGATTACACTTTAAAATCAATATAACTGGATTGTATGAAGGAAATGCCATTGATTTTAAAGTGTAATCCATTCGCATCCATCATCACTTTCCAAATCCGTTTATTCCATCCACAAATTCTCATTCCTTATTCGTCAACTCTTTACCGTAGTGTTTTTAAAAGAAAATAAATTTGGGCGCGCTTTTTGAAAAATCTTTTTTTTTCAAATCCAAAAAAAATGGCAAAACAATCGCATCATCACGAAGAGGTGGATTATGGCTCGGCGTTGGATAGAACAACTTCGCCGCTTGAGGAGGAGAAGAATCACAATAATAATACTATGAATGATGAAGAAGAAAAACACTTGTCGAGTAATGCATCGGCGTTGATTAATATTATTAAAGCAAATATTGGATCGGGTATTTTGGGTATGCCCTATGCATTTCGTTGTGCTGGATATTGGCTTGGAACATTTAGTATTGTGATTATCATGTTGATTGTTGTGCATTGTACGATTTTATTGGTCGATAGTAAGAGGTATTTGAATAAGATTATAAAGAAGAAACGAAGGAATGGTGATGATTCGGAAAAGGAATTGGCCACATTTAATGATTTGGGTTATGCTGCTTTTGGAAGATTTGCTACAGTGATTATTACCTTCTTTTTATTTGTAACACAATTGGGATTTTGTTGTGCTGTAGGTTGACTAATTTCACACATTTTCACACTGAAAAGTACTTAACGTTTGTTTCATCAAATCTGATGAACATTTTTGGAACACCAACAACACTAGGTTGGAAGGCTTTATTTATTTTCTTGACAGGTTTGGCTGTATTTCCATTCTCTTGCATTCGTAATTTGAAATACTTGTCACCTGTGAGTATCATTTCTGAAATTTTGATTACACTCGGTGTGGGTATTGTTCTCTATTTTGCAATTTTCAAATTGGCTACTGAGCCATTCCCTGGCTTGTATAGAAATTTACAACCATACAATATTGAACAATTCCCAACATTTTTTGGTATTTGTTTATTTGCTTTTGAAGGAGTGTATGTATTTTCATTAGTTATTTCATTATATTTATTCCATTTTGTTTGATTATTTATTGAATTAAATTTCGAAATTACTGAAATACATTTAAAAATATATAGAGGACTTGTCTTACCAATTGAAACAAACATGAGAAATAAGAAGGCATATCCAATGTTATTATTCGTTGGTATGATTATCATTTGTGCTGCCATGACATTGCTTGGTATTGTTGGTTATTTGAGTTATGGTATGGGAGTTAACAGTTTAATTACATTCAATTTGCCAACAACTGGTGCTCTTCCTCTTGTCATCAAAATTTTCCTCATGATTTCTCTCGTTTTCACGTATCCAATTCAATTGTTCCCTCTCTCACAAATGTTAGACAATGCTTTGCAAGGAGTAATCAAGAAAATTAAGGAGAGAAGAAATCCAGAAGAAAACGAAACACTCGTTTCTCACGATTTAAATCAAGAAGAAAACTCTATCAATCACAACAAATCTCACAATGAAAATGTTATGCAAAAAAAGGAAACTAATATCTTTAAATTATTGATCAAGTCCTGCCTCTCACCAACATTCCATGCTGAAAATGTTATCAGATTTACAATGGTTATGGCTACTGTTGCCTTCTCTGCATTCATTCCTTCATTTGGTGACTTTTTGGGTTTGATTGGTGGTTTTGGTGGTACTACATTGGCCCTTGTATTGCCATGTTGCATTCATATGAAGGTAATGTGGAAACATTTGAGTTGGAGTGTCAAGGCAAAGGACATTATTCTCATTGTTTTTGGTTTGTTTGCAACGGTTTTTCCACATATATTTCATTTAGAGATCTTGTTACCCATTTAGAAAATGGTGAATAAATTTTGTCTCCTTATTTTCTTTCAATTATTACAATTCAAAATATTTAATTCCTAGCAATCTAGTTTTATTCTTCTCTAGTACTCTGGTTTAGTCTTCCTGAAAAGCATGATATATTTCACCTTCTTCATTAAAATATACTCAACTTCCAATTCTTCTGGCAATCCAGATTCAGAAAAATTGTAAGGCACCTTCAATGCCACACATTGAACTCCATCTTCGAGTAAAAGTTGTTTGGAGAATGTCTTGACACTGATTGGTGTGAGGTTCTCTTGAATCATGTACAAGTCATCAATAAAATCGTGCAATGAATAATCTTGATTTCCCCAAGGAGGATCAAAAAAGACAAATGTTTCAGGCATCTTGTCTCCCAAGTTTCCTCTCTCCTTTTGCCACCAATCAATAAAATTACCTGAAATTACATTACAAGTGACACAGTCTCTATCATACTTTTTCTCCTCATTTTCAAACAAGTTAATATTGTATCGTGCATCGTTGCATCTTCTTTCATCTAGTTCAATCATGGTTACTGTTTTTCTGTGGAGACGTTTGGACCAGAAATATCTTAAAAATCCAATAATATTTCCTCCCAAGCCACCAGTTCCATCAACCAAGTGATTTGGATAGAAACCAGTTTTCTGTTTTATCATTTCATTCATGAGGGAGGCAATTTCAAAGGCATCATTAAAAGGAGTAAGATAGGAAAGTGCCAACTCTGAATCAAATCTCACCTTATTGACCAAATGTTTAGGGAAGAAACCATACATGTTTTCTGAATATTTTCTAAACTTGTAGTGATTTTCCAATGTTCTTGGTAGTTCAGGATTTGATTTTGGTTTTGAGGTAGATTTTGCTTCCTTTTCTTCTTCTGTTTGCTTCTTTTTTACAATGTTTAGTGATTTTTTCACGTGTCTAATAGTTTCCTCCAAAGTTTGATTTGCAACAATGTAGTGAGTATCCTTTGAACTCATTGTGGATAATTTTTGTTTTTCCAATTCAAGGACTTTGAGTGCTGCCTTTAACTGTATTTGTAAATTCTTAATTTCATTCATTAGAGTGGCAGAAGAGGCAGTAGTGAGAGTTGGTGATTCAATTGATTCTTCCTGTTTTTTTCTAGTGTTAGTATTTACAAGAATGCTTGTCAATGGATTATTATCATTTTGTACTGTTGATGATTGATTAGGATAATTTACATGAACAGGAGTGGAAGTGGTGGTATTGATATCATTATTTAACATGGAATTTTGTGGGAAAAGTTGGGAGAGGAAGTGTGATTGTTGTGGTTGTTCTACACTAGCAGTAGTATTCACCATGGTATTCGATTGTTCGGTTGGCTCGTTGAAAAAGCTCTTTTCAATATCATCAACAGAACACATGCCCATCATTGGTGGATAGCCCATCATCATGCCATGAGGAGGCCACATACCCGATGATGGATTATTCATCATCCATTGATGATGATAAAATTGATTTTCCTGTTGTTGTTGTTGTGGTTGTTGATTAGAGGCTTCATGTTGTTGTTGTTAGGAAACCACGAAGATGACGAATTATTTCCACTATTAATTGCTACATCACCATGATGAGCCAATTCACCTCCATTATTATTAACATTTCCAAAATTATTAAACATCATCATTAAATTAGAATTATTAAATTGTTGTTGTTGTGGAGGTGGAGGCGGTTGATGATTCCACCACATGTTATTATTATTATTCGGAGGAGGAGGAGCCATCATCATCATCATTGAATTATTATTATTCATTGATCCTTGATATAATCTAGGTGATAGATTGGTCGTTGTATTATTGTTGTTGCTAATATTATTCATCATTAATAATTTACTTCCTTGTTGATTATTATTATTCTGGGATGATGAAGTGGTAGTCTTTAATAGATGAGTGGTGGTGAGATCGGCACCAGAGGGTGTCAACATTGATTGTTGTTGTTGCTGAAGCTGCTGATGGGGAGGAAACATTTTTAATATTAGATTTTCTTGATCATCAAAATTTTAATTTATTAAAAACAATAAAATGTAACGGAAATCTCATTTTTGGCAATTCCTTAAGATAATAAAAAAAACAGAGTTTCATCTTTTTTATTATCAATTGCTTGATAGGAATTTGAGAAAGATGGGAAATACAGTTTCAACGGATGAACAATTGATAGCTGTTTCAAAGGAATCCTTACAGTCGGTTGCTAATGTAAAATCAGAGGAAGTCTTCAAGGTTCCTGGCTTTTTTACTTCGGAGCCTGAAGAAGGTTTTCCAAACATTGATGGTTTCAGGCCGACCATGTATTACTTGTTGGATGAGGAGAGTGGTTACAAGCATTGTATTTTGGAGAAATATCATCAGAAGAGGATGAGGAAAATAGATATTATTATATTGTTAGATTATTTACGGAGAGGAAGATGGATCAACATGTGAGAGAAAGACTTGAAGAGGAAGAGAAGGCAGCAAAGGAATTTCCATCATTGATGCAGAAAGTGGAGATTCATAATGCTACTTTGAAATTGTATGTAAATTAGTAATTATTTAATATTGAATAATTTTCAATTTAAATATAATTGATGATGCAATTCTCGATAATAGTGGAGAAGAAAAGAAGGCAGCCCTTTTTAAGGTTGGAAGTGATGAGGGAAATTCATTCATGTCTCTTTTTGGTTTGAATGGATCTAATTTGAATTATTATATGAGGGTTAGATTGGTCAGTTCTGCAATTTTGAATGTTGTCAAGTTGTTTGAATTGAGTGAGAGAAAGTATTGCTTCCATCCTATCGATATTTCACACGTTGCTATTCAGGAGAATTTGAATATGAGATTTTTCGATTGTCTTCATGTTATTGCTTATCAGAATGATAGAGGTAGGTGTTTGATTGTTGGATATTAATTTTCACACATTTTCAGAATCAATTTTCAACCTAGGATTGAGGACTGTTTGTAAAATAGGAGTTTGTATATTGACATTTAATGAAGCTCTTTATAATAAGGACATATTCTTTGAGGAATGGCTTTCCAATCCAAATACTGTAAGTTATTTGATTTGGATTCGTTGCAATAACATTACTGTTATCAATTGACCTACCATCAATCAAGACAATTCCTGTATTTTCAACCCTATTTAAAAAAGTATTATTGGATAATAATTTCAAATTGGATGATATTAAAAGCGAGTTGAGCATATTGGAAATATTAAGCAAACGAACAATTGATCCATCAGTTGTTAATTCTGAAAATTTCAAAGATTTAATAACAATGTATGGAAGCTTATTGTCTCATCGTCAGTCAGATCCTTTCCATGACACATTAATGCAATATCTCACTCAATTAATTTCTATAACAGCCCAAAATCATAAGGAAGATCTGTTACAATGTAACGAAAATTCATTCTTGTGTACATTATTATTGAATTCAATCTTTAAGAGAGATCTCACAAATAATGCCACCAATGTTTCTGATCAAATCAAAGCACTTTCAAACATTTTCAGAGGTGTTTATTCAGAAAAGCCAGAACTCATTGAAATGATTTCTACTGCATTGAAAAATTCCAAAAAGACTATCAGTAATGATCTCGGAGTGTCAAGAATAATTCTCGATGCTAAACTGTTTATAGAGCTATTATTTTCATCAAATGGGCATGCTATTTCAGAGGAAGAAGTGGACAGTATATCTAAATGGATGTTTGCTTAATGATGAAAATTGTTTTCAACGTTTTAACTGCATTCACCAAATAGAAAACCTTTGTGTGTGAACGACTAATTACCAGTGGAATCACATGACTAAAAGCACACATGAACAATAATAGCTAGTGAACATGTTACAGCTTATTAGTTGTTAAATAATATTGTAATACTAAGAATCTCATTCTTTTTAAGGAAAAGAGCATGAAAAAGTCGCCGATTCAAACAGCATTTCTCCTTATTAAACGCAGTCCATATTCCATTTCATCCATTCTATATTTAAATACCAATTTGTGATTCTTTCTTTTTACAATACAAAAAAATGTCCAAAATACTTCCACCATTCACATTAGAAACTGCCCAAAAGAAAGTTAAACTTGCACAAGATAATTGGAATTCAAAAGATCCAGAACGCATTGCTCTCGCCTACACTGAAGATTGTGAATGGAGAAATAGAAATGAATTCATTAAGGGAAGAACTGATATTAAAAAATTCCTTAAAAAAAAGTATGCCAAAGAATTAGATTACAAATTGGAAAAATATTTATTTGCATTTATGGATAACAAAATTTCAGTTCATTTTCAATATGAATATCACAATGAAAATGGACAATGGTTCCGAGCTTATGGAAATGAGAATTGGGAATTTGATTGGGAATCGGGATTAATGATGAAGAGAGATGCAAGTATTAATGATCTTGCAATTCAAGAATCCGAAAGGAAATTTAAATAAATCTATTGAAGTATAATTATCCAATCCTAAAAATATTAAATACTGATATTTTCAGCAGTTGGTGAAGAACAACTGTCATCATTTCCACTCAACATTTGAATCTTTCTCTTCATTAAATTATTGTGTTCCATCAGATCTAACAAGTGACGATTCAATTTTTCACCAGGTACAACTGTTGTTCGAGGTGTGATTGGAGAGGTGGTTATAATTGGTTCTTCTGGAGTATCGTGTAATTGTGAAAGTGTACTCTCAATTGATTCAATGGTTGTCTCTTGTGATATTTCTGGTTCAGGTAGAACTGCAGTTCTGAAAGTGAGAAGTGGAGAAGCAACACGAATATCCAATAATTGCATACTCATTCTCAACAATTCAGTTTCGTACGATTTCATCTTGGTTCTCAAATTAGTTGTTTGAATGTCCTTCAATTCTGAAAGCTCTTCTGATAATTCCTTAAATTGATTTCCAAATTGATTCTCCACTATTTGGAATGCATCCTTATCTCCCTTATCTGCCAATAAATTTCTAAAAGTCTCTAGGAGAGACTGTAATTTGAATATTGTCATGTCAATCTCTTTGGTTTTTTGTTGAATATCATTTCTGAACTTGTCCTTCAATGAACTCAATTTGGAGTATAATACATTAACCAAAGATGATTCATTGGTTGGAAATTCTGAGGCATCTACTGAATTTGAATTCGATGGTGAAGTAGCTTCTTCCATCGTTGAGGAGGTAGTTGTTGGAGTTGTTGCTACTGTAGGACTGGATGTGGCCTTTGAGTTTAGAACAGGGAATGAATTTTGACGTTTCAAATCCTTAAATCTTCTCTCCTTCAATGAATTTGGAATAACCAAAAACAAGGTTGTGTTCTTGAGACCTGACTTGGCAGTGACACAATTGTCCAATCTCTGAACCAGTGATTCAATAGTATTAGTATCTGGAGGCAATGTATTATTTTGCTTTTCAATTGCCAAATTTTCCATTACTTGAGCTTCTGCTAGTGTCTGACCTCCCTGTGCATATTGAGCTATCATTGAGGCTCTCCTGATGGCTTGCAGTGTTGAGTCGGTGAACTTTTTAGAACGAGCAGAGATACCCATTCGACAACGAAGTCCTCTAAATAAGAGTTTGATATTATTCTTCTGATAGGTGCAAATTCCTTCGAGTGAGAGAAGAGAATCTGGCCAATCGGCATCCATCATTTTAGTTTGAACTAGGAGTGAGAATTTGAGAGCTTGTCTCGCAGTTTCAAATCCACACACTACTGAATCACTCACAATATTGTGGAATTCATCATGTTTCACAGCAGGTGTAGTGTCCATTCCCATATTTTCCTTGAGACATCTCCTCAAAACATCAAAATAGATTGAAACACTCTTGGTAATGTCCTCGTGTGGAATACTCCACAATTGATTACATCCTTGCAAGTCACAATACACAAAATATTTCAATCTCTCCTCAATGTCAAAGAATTTAGTTTCGTGAGAAGCATTGAGTGAAACTTCTGGAATGGACATTTTACAATATCCCTCCTTTTCAGCTTCTATAATTTCCAAAATAGAGTACAAATCTTCCATATCCTTCTTTACGTGTTCAATTTCTTCCCTAACTGTTGCTTGTTGCATTTTCAATGAATCTTCGAGTTGTTTAATTTTCATGTCCAATTTTTCTTGTTGAATGGAGGTGGCCAATGAATTCTCAGAGAAGGGTTTCGTTGGAGAATAGGGAACCGAATTGGAATTATTCATCACAGAGAGGTTATTATTCGATGAGAACTTTTTAACCATCAGTGGTGAAATGGTAATGGTATTGTTACCTCCACTATTCTTTCGAGGAGGAGATTCTGGAGGCAATTGTGGAAAGACAATTTGAGGAGGCGTATTTTCAGAATCGATTCGAGCCGATCCATTGAAAGATCTTGCAGATTTGATTGAAATTGGTGCAGAGGAAACTGAATCATTGCTTCGTGTCGTAGTTTGTCCATTCACCAACGAGTCAGGAACCAAATAACTCTCATTCTCATCAATTAAAAAGAAGGTGTCATATTTTGGAGCTGTTGGTACAGTTTTAGAGGTTTGCCTCTCTCGTGTTGAAATACTATCGGTAAGCCACATTGAACTGATTTGCATTCTCAATTTGGCTGTCAATACTAGAGGTGAATTTGATGGAGCTTCAATTGACAATTTAACTGGAACGAGAATGGTTCTACTCATTGAACCCACTCCACAATAAATCATATGTGGAGGAGTTACAAAATCTGTCAAATTCAACTTGACAAAACCACTTCTCTTATCACTTGTAATTCTTCCACTGCCACTACTTTTCAATTCTCTAATTTCCAAAACGAGGGGTTTATCTTCCAATAACGATTGCATATTCTTGACATAGAATGGTAAAAATGGATCTTCTTGTGAACCACTTCCAGATCCTGAACCATTATTCGAATTTAACATGTTAATTATTTCAGTTAATGGTTTTTCCTTCTTTGGTTTAAAATCACACACAAAATCATATTCATAATCCTTAAAATCTGCCAAATAAATAATGGAATTCTTTTTAGAGTTTGGTGAATTTTGATTTGTCGAGTTTGGATTTGTCGATGGAGACATGGATCGACTCCAACACGTATTAATATAATCATAATCTTCAAAAATTGCATCATTGGAACATGTTTTTGAAATGACATTTGCTGGTTCAGTTGCTCCACCAATTACGAAACTATTCGATCCACTTCTACTAAAAAGTGATGAAATACTTGATTCTTCCTCATTATTTTGCAATACTTTCCAATGAATGGAATATCTGGATTGTAACAATTTCATTAGGGCATTAGAAACTGCAATCGATTCAGAATCTTCTGAACGTTGAGAAGCACTTGAAATTCCACTATTTGTACTTCTGGAAGTTTCATTTCCATTTTGTGGTTCATTATTACTGTAATTGTGGAACATTTTGTGTCCTAGTGTGTGAATTGAAACATTTCCACTATTATTATTACCAAAAGATGATGAACGTCCCAAATTGGAGTTTCCACCACTTTCGTTTACTTTTTCTAATGATGATGCAAGTGTCATTAAATCAAAATCTTCCAATGCGAATATATGAATGTTAAATAGACATTTTAATTGTGTAGGATCACTATTATTCGAATTTGATTTAATGGCTGCAGTAACTTTGCTGTTGGAACGGGCACGTGGCAGGTTAGAGGTTGATGATGAAGATGATGATGGTTTCATATGTCGTTGAACATCGAGACGTCCTTCGTTGGCGTCGTTTATACTGCCGAATCTAAATAATCTCTTCATTGTTTCAAAGTTTCGTATTGTTTCGAATAGAGTCTGGAGAAAGTGGTTTTGTAATTTTTGTTATAATTGATGATGATGTGATGATAACAAACCTCTCACAGGAAAATTGACTCACAAATCCGCTTGATGATTATTCGAAACTAACTGATTGTTGCCGAAAGATGAGTGAGGGATCTTTTTTTGAGAGGGAAAATCGTCTTATTGCTCTAACGCCGGTCACTTGTCAACTCTGCAAGGTTATCAATCTTGGCTGAAAATTGACGAACCATTCAAATGTACTAAAGAAAAGGAAGTTTCTTACAATAAATACAAAAATTTGATGAGAAGAAGAACATTTCATAAATTTAAATGACGATCATTTTAATGGTTTGGAGAAAATTCTACCATTAATTCAGATCTTTGGTAAGGGATTAATTCAGAGTCAGGTTTTTCTTCAATATTTCAAAAACAATGCAAAATTTATTCATCTCATTGCAACTTACATTTTGACGATGAGTTTAGATATGAACAAGTTCTCAAATTCGAATGAGAAGAAAACAACACAACATTATATCCTATACGAAAGCTCCTCATCACTCGAGATTCACAAAAATTGGATTCATTAATCCCAAATCCACCTTCTTGAAACTCATTTATTCAACAAAATGCTAATTTCCTAATAATAATACTATAGTATTTTTGAAATCTGACTTCAAATTATGAATCCTCACATTGACATTCCCCTTAAGGTGGCAGCATTCTCAAAATCATGTTGAAATGATAAAGAACGAAGTGGTTCAATAAATTATTTTGGATTTGACAGCAAAATACTAATTATTATTATTGTCTTTCAAATGTTTTTGAAGAATGAAGATTTCACCACCAGTATAGATAGAAGTTTTGGATTTTGGTGATGAATAATCATCCAGTCATTATTCGTATAGGATAACACAACAAAAAAAATGAAACTAAACCTCATACTATTCCTGTCCCTGATCATTTTCTCATTTCTCTTCCTTGTGGTCTTTTATTTTCAATATCAACATCAAATACGGATAGAGAGTGATTACACACTCCGATTAGTTGAAAAACAAGTTTCGAATATAAAACCAACGAACAAACTAAATGCACGAGTATTTCCGATAACTTTTATGAGTGCAGATTTGGAGAATTTATTTTTATCTCGAATATTGAAATCTAATTGTCAAGTTTTCTTGGCTTCATACTATAGTTTTAATTCTTTAGGTGGAATTCTTCCAACTTTTATTGGAAAGGAGAAGAAAAGTTACATTTATGGTAAGTAATGAGATTAAATTTTTAAATTCAAATATTTATTCGAAAAATTTCTCCTTTATTTTCAATTTTATTAACAAATTAATAATAATCCATATTTGTACAACTTTCGAATAGGTCACGGTAAAAAATATTACATTTTGGAACAATTTCTGAATAGCAAATCTTCATCCTATATCAAAGATGATGATTTCATCTTCTTTGCTGATGGAATGGATGTAATGTTTTATGATAATTTACAAAGAGCTGTGGAAATTTATATTTCCTATTTGAGATTGGAAGGATTTGATGTGGAGAGAGATAGAGAAAAGGATTGGCCGATATTGTTCAATGCTGAGAAGAATAGACATCCATTTCCAAGAAATTTCTATCAATTTATTAAGGTAAGATTTTGAGAAATTTAATTTTGGAATTTTACAAATTTGGAAATTTAATTTTTTCAGAATTTGGATATTAAAATTTTAATTGAGAAATATGTTCGTCAACAAAATTATCCAAAGAAGCCATATTGTGCTCCATCCACTTTCAACTTTATTAATTCTGGAGTTTATATTGCAAGGAAACGAGATGTCAAAAGTTACTTGAGAACAATATTTGAAAAAATTGTAAAGGATCCAAAATTCCTCGATAATGACGATCAAGGAATAGCCCATTATGTACACATATCCAATTCATATCATCCAGTCTACCCAATCATGACTGATTGTAATCTTGCTCTCTCAATAACTACCTTCAACTCGTGTGAAATCTTCAGATCCAATGATGGAGCCACTTGTCAAGTTGCAGATCCAATTAATGGAGCAAGACCCATTTCAATTCATAGTGCAGGATTGGGATGCAAACAATTTTGCCCCTGTCTCTCCACTAGTGTGAATCAAAGTCCATTATCGAATTCAATCACTTCTACTGATTTACATGATTTGAAAAAGGATTTTGGAGTAATTGTCTATGATAGTGATCATGATTCGATAACCATTCGGCCAGTATTGGAATTTTGTGGAAAGGAGACATTGTTTAATATCGAACAAGATAAGTGCGTCTATAAGAATTATTGATTTGGTTTAAAAAAATTCTCAATACTATTTAAGGGGAGAAAAAAACAATTATGAAAATTCAAAAGGTCAATAAGTTTATTTTGTAAATTTACAATCCAAATAATAAAATACTAGGTATTTTTAAAAACTCAATAACAAACATTCATAATTATTGAATGAATCTATTCAAGGTACGATAAAGCCAATATTCAACCAATGAAGTTGTACATTGAGGTAAAGTCAAGATGGCACTCTTAACATAGGTTGACAAGTAGTGATCCTTCTTTGGCTTACTCTTCAACAAGAGTTGCTTGGAATAAATTTCAAGTGGTAAACAAGCCAAACGACCAACAACCATTCCAAGAGTTTCAACAAGTACTTCCTTAGCTCTATGATCTGAAGAATCATGATTATTGACAGCTTCATCACTAACATTACCCAGACTTGCATCATTTCCCAATATCATTTGACTAATACCCAAACTAATTGAATGAACAAGGAATGAATGAGCTACATGAATTGCAAAACCTTGCCAATAAGTGGTATTATCACCATCTTCAACCTTAATCACTTCACATGAACGACCTCTCTTTGTAACTAATCTACTCTCCTGATCCAACAAGATGTAGTACAATGGGAATGTTGAGGCAGAAATGATGGCATGTTCCAATGGTTTATATGAAGACAAAGGTACCCAAGTTTGTCTATTCATCAAGGATGTGAAAAAGATGTGACCCAATTGATACAAGACCAACTTATTCATCAATGGTCTTTCAAAGTATTGAGACAAACGTTTCTGGAATGTGGAGGATTGAGATGCTTCCTCATCCTCACGATCTGGTGTATCACTTATGGCTATGAGAGTCTTTTGGACACTGAATGGAGCATACAAGGCAATACGAGAGAGTGAGAGGGAGAATACTCCCATACCACCATGTTTGATAACCTTGTAGAGTTTGTTATTGGAGCCGTGTGAGGTGCTCAATGTCTTGCCATGGACAACAACTTCAGGTGGAGAAGTGATGGTTGTACGAGTGGTTGTGGTGGTAATTCTTGTTTGTTCGACCATTCTCTCTTGTTTGTTTACTACTATTAGTTAAATTGTAATCAATGATGAATCTAAAGAATTGTTTGTTATCAATGTGACGATGACCAATGTAATCAGAAAAGTGTAATTATGCTGATGAACTTGTTCCGAGATGCTGATGATCAAGTGATGAATTTTTTAATAGATTGGTTTCAGTTGGAGAAGGATTACTTTTGCAGCTTCTTCTTAAAGCAAACAACCAAAAGAATTAATTATCTTTAAAGAGAATTACTCTAAAAGATTATTTTCAATTCAATCAATATTCGACACAGGGATATAATAACTGTCGTAATCACATTGAACAATAGCTTAATCGGAGATTGTAAGCTTGGACATGAACGTAAAAGAAAATGATTGTTATTAGTAATTGAACAGATAAAGAACTTTCAAATTAAAATAAGTTTTTTTGTTTATATATTTAAATCAGATTGGGCACTTATTGATCCATACCCCATTCAGCAGTTTGACCACCTTCACCTTCGTATTCTTCAGCTTCTTCAGTAGTTTCAGCAGCAACAACAGCTTGAACCTTGGTTTCTTGAGATTCCTTAGCTTCTCTTTCTTCCTTCTTTTCATCGAGATCTCTGTGCAAGAACAAGTCTGGCTTGACATCCCATTCCTTCTTTCTGGAGACAACACCCTTCAATCTCAAAACTTCTCTAGCCAACATCCAGTACATCAAAGCAATGGAGTTCTTGTTCTTGTTATTGACTGGGATAGCAATATCGACGAACTTGAGTGGAGAATCAGTATCAGCGAAAGCAATAACTGGAATGTTAGCCTTGGAAGCTTCCTTGATAGCTTGATAATCGCTTCTTGGGTCAGAAACGATCAAGACTCTTGGTTCCATGAACTTAGCTTGGACTTGATTGGTGAAAGTACCTGGAGTGAATTTACCAGCCAAATAGTTAGCACCAGTGTAAGAACCGAACTTGAGGACAGCTCTATGACCGTATTGCTTGCTTGAGATAGCACAGATATCCTTTGGATTTTCAATGGTAACAAGGACTCTAGCAGCGAGCAACAACTTTTCGTGGGTCTTAGCAACGTTGATGACGTGAGTACCGTCCTTTTGGGATCTACCGTGGACATACTTTTGCATATCAGTTTCCAAATTCTTGGTACCCTTGTGGCATTCACAAGCCAACATTTGTTGGACATCAGTTGGAGTCAAGTCCAAGATGTTACTCTTTGCGTTCTTGGTCAAGGACATTTCTATGAGAGTTAAAACACTTTATTCAATGGTCGAGATAACTTACTGTAAGAGCTTGATTATTTTTTTTTCAACAAGTTTTTTAATTTTTTGGGGTTGAGTATGTTTTACAATGAAAACTCTGCTGATGCATTTTTACCACTCAAAAGCTTCTCTAAGCAACTAAAAATTCTTAAAGCCAAAACAACAACAGAATTTGAAGCCTTCATATCAGAGTAAATGGATCAACAAAATGTAATCATTACATTGGTAGTGATTTATTGAACATCAATAATAATTTCATCATCATGAATAGTAATTTTTAATCTCATCACCCATGTTCCAACAACAATAATCATAAAAACACGGAAAGGAGAACAAAATATGAAATTAATTGATTGATTGGGAATTAATACTTATTCATCATCATTATTCATCATTAGACAATCAATTATTATTATTATTATCGGAATAATTCAGATCGTCTCAACTCATCAATACGTTTTCTCTGGATACAAAACCTCAACAGAAACAAGTAATAGAAATTGAATAACAAAATATTCATTGCACAATGAATCAAAACAATCATCATCTAGAGACAAATTGAGTGAAATCCATGTCATCTCAAAACCATCAGTGGAAGGAAATTTCGCTTCAACCCCAATGCACTACCAACAAATTTTGGAAATTTTCTAATTCAATTCCCCACAATACATTATTCGAAATGAATCATCACCAAGGCAACATATTGAGGCACAATCACATTCTTCTCTTCATTTACTTTTTCAAACAAAATGTTTCAACAGACTCCTCACGATCAACAGAGCAAGAATTGTTACCCATTACTTGTACCAGGTAACGCCAAAAAGAATAGTTTACAACACCAGCAATTAGGTGGTTCAAATGGTTCATCCTCTTCATCAACAACTACAAATATTGGCGCCTCAACTGCCAAATCAATTGGCATGCACACTAATGAAAAGATTTCAAATCAAAGTTTTGGAATGGATCATGTTTCTAACAATGGTAGCAGTAGTAATATTATTGGTGGTGTTTCTTCTACAATGCCACGTGGTAACAGTGGCATGAATACTGCTCAATCCTCATATACATCTACCACCCCATTCAATCAAGAAACACTTCCAAGACCCATTGCAACTTTTGAGAAAACAGCACCAATCAATTTGAGAGAATTTACTAATGTGGGTGGATACCCATTAGGTCCAAGCAATATGAACCCGTCATCTTTAAGAAATGCATCATCAACAGCTTCCACCAATTTATTGAGTAATCTATCCACAACAATACCATCAGCTCCAAGCACTATGGGAAACGCCATCATTTCAATTCCTCCTCAACAAGAGCAACAACAAAATCGCCAACCAGAACACAATTCTGAACATGGTCCAAAATTGCATTTCTGTAAGAAGCAACTCAAAGAACAAACATGTGCAGAGTTGCATTCAGAGCCAGAATTCAGAGTCAATGACAAGACCAAACATCCACCTAACACCTTATTCAATGTATCAATTAAGGATGTCTTGACAATTACTGGCTATTTCCTCAATGATTGCGAAATGTTCCTTCGATTGGATAATGGATCACAACATGGCTCACCTGTGGGAAGTTGTTTTTTCAAACCAACTACCATGGTGGGTGACAGCTCTAATAGATTATTTCGTGCCAAAATTGATATCCCTCCATCCCTCAATACAAAAAAGGGAAATACATCCTCTCGTGTTGGTTTTGTAGAGATTTATGATTCGAATAATAAGATGATTGCTGTGAGTGATAAGGTAAGGTTTTTATTTTCGACTTGTTCTCTTATTAATACTATTTCACACATTTTGATCACTATTTAACAACAGTTTTGGATAAGAAGTAGATCGAGAAATCAAATGATCAAAGATGAATCCACAAAGAAGAGAATTCGAATGAACCAGAAGGGTGAAAGTCAAAAGCAACAAAAGGTTTTCCACGACTATTCACCAACCTCACCACAATCAGAAACCAATTCCAATCCAGAAAATCAAGAGGAAGAGCTGATTGAGAATGTTCCATCATCAAAGAAGGTACTGGCATCAGTCCCTCAACTCCAACATCCAGGTCAGTATGCTAATCCCCTATCGGGCGCCCCATCTACTGCACTTGTACAAGCAGGACTTGGTGGCATAGGATTTAATTATGATCAAAGAAAGCAATCAATTGCACCTCCTATGACTTCCTTCTCCACTGCCACCACTAGTTTATTACAACAGCAACAACAGGTGGCCAATGATTTTTCACTTGGAAATATGACAGATTTTTGGAACACTGCAAGAAACACCACACCAGATTTTCCACAAAATTCTTCCTTCAGTTTTCTTGATAGAGAAATGAGTAATGCAAGCAATAGTAGAGCTCCAACCACCTCCAACTTACTTACACCTTCCTCTTGGGCCTCGAGCAATAGTCAACAAGGAGAGCCATTGAAAACATTGGAAAATCTCGTCAAAAATCAACAACAGAGAATTGAAGAATTGAGTTGTCTCATCGCCAACAATGCAAAACTCATTCACACACTACAAATGCACGTTCTTTCACTTACCAACCCAATAAACAGTGAACCTTAACACAAGAGAACATGCAACCCAACCGTAACAACTGTAAAATAAAACACCTTTTAAAAAGCGGCCCCGCATAACTGTGGAGTAAAATCCACTCACCGTAGGATGTACAAATTGTTAATTCGTTACTGCATTCCCAAAGTCTCTCCTACCAACTCCGTAATTTTTCAAGTTACAACTCCCACTATTTCATCTATGATAAACTCCTTTTGGCTTGATACCCCCAACGCGAATAGAATTAAAACATTGAAATTCTCCAACTAACTCTCACAATTTCAAAAAAAAACACACAAGCTTCCCGCCCAAGGAATCAAAACGAGAATCACATTACACTCTCAATTATTGGCAAAGAAGATACTACCAGTAAGAAGAAAATATCTTTTAAAAGTATCTGCTACAATCGAACAAGTTCAATAATTGCTTTTTGCATTGGGAACAATTAAATCCTCAAATTCTCCTTCCGATCAAAACTCCTAGATTTCTCCCAACAAACACTCATAAACATGATAAGGAAGAACTCTAATTTATCATCATCATCATCTTCATGGCTATGCATTAGCATGTTGATCATGATGCTAACTCTCGTATTCACCTCTCAACATGTCCTCTCACTCATGAACACAACCACAGTTGTCAGTGGTGAATATCCTGCCTCTGTACAGACAGGCACGATGAATATCTATTGGAAGTTCCATAATAAGGTTACAGGCTTGCTTCAAGATGACGATCTTATTGAAATTGCAATTGTTGCCAAGACAAAGGGTTGGTTGGCTATTGGTTTGGATTTTAACAAGACTGGTATGACACAAGCTGATTGTTACATTGGTTTTTATGATCAGACAAATTCAAGACCAGTTCTCTATGATTTTTGGTTACCTGGAAAGTCAATTCCAAAGAATGATTCACTTTTTTTAGGTCAAGATGACATTTTACAATTGACTGGTTCATTAAAAGATGGAACCACTACTTTGAAATTCTTGAGAAAGATTGATACTGGTGATATTCATGCTGATCACCCAATTAGAAATAGAACTATTGGTGTTAGTTATGCTTTCAATATTAACACAATTGATGTCACTCAGAAACACACTACTCATGGCGATTTTTTCATTAATTTCGTCACACAAAAAGGTGCATTGAATTTGGCACCTGCTCCATTGATTCAATTCCACATTATTGCAACTGCATCTGTTGCCATTTTGATGGCTGCTATTGGTTTGTCTTATACTTTCATTTCAATGAAGGAGAAGAATCGTGTAATTAGTTTAGTTTTCCACACCAAGTTTACAGGTTTGATCAAGAACCCAATTCTCGGTTCCATTTTCAATCCAATTTTGGAGTTGACCATTGGTGAAATTACTCTCATCTTGTTCCATCTCATGCTTACTGCTGTGTGGTTCTGTTTTGGATTTTTCAACAGTACTTCAGCAAACGTTGGTAAAGGATTTGCCTATGCCATTATTATCAATTTGACTGCTACCATCTTGCCAATTACTAGATATTCTGCATTTGTCTTTGTTTTTGGTATTTCATTTGAAAGAGCTGTCAAGTATCACAAATGGGTTGCTAGATTAACTCTTCTTATTGCTACTATTCACGGTATTTTGATGACTGTTCACTTGGCAGACAATGGAAGTCTTGGTAACATTCTTACTGCATCAGCAAATGATTACATCTTATTTGGATTAATTGCTTGGATTGCCATGGTCATTATGACTATCTTTGCTTTGGAACCAATTCGTAGAAAGTTCTGGGAATTGTTCAAGGTAATTCACATTATTCTTGCCCCAGTTGTCCTCGTCATGTCTTCAATCCACGCCAAAGGTTGGGAAAGAACTCTCCCAGTTCTTGGTATTGCCATGGGTTTATTAGTTATTGATCATTTGCTCAGAATTATCTTTGGTTATATCATGCCAACTAAGGTTATCAAGATGGAATATGAGGAAAAGACTGGAATTACTACAATGGTATTTGAAAAGCCAACTATTAGTATGTGGTATATGGAAAGTTTGGGAATGGGCAAGTTTGTCTATGTCTACATTCCAGGTGTTAGTTTCTTCCAATCTCATCCATTCACTATCAGTAGTTATTCTAAATTAGATAGTTCTATTGAATTCACATGTCATGTTAAGAATTTAGGAAGGGGTTGGACAAAGAAATTGGCAGATTTTGCCATGAAGAGAAAATACTCTGCTGCCTCAATCTTTGCCAGAGTTGAAGGTCCATACGGTAAATTATCAGTTGATTTGAATACCTATTCTACTGTTGTATTGATTGCTGGTGGTATTGGTGTTACTCCAATTAATGCAATCTACAATGAAATTACAAGTAATAAGGTTAATGCTTCCAAGCAAAATATCTATGTTTTGTGGACCATGAAGGATGAACACATGATACAATTATTCCCTAATTTGACTCAACCATCTTCTCAAGTCAAACAAAGCTTTTATATTACTGGTGAAAATCATAAGCAAGTTAACGAATCAGATACCAGCTATCAATATCATTACAATATGAGACCAAACTTTGGTAAATTCTTCCACATGGTTTCTGAAACTGTTGGATCAGATAATAGTGTTGCTGTAGTTGTTTGTGGACCAACTCAAATGAATGTTGATGTTTATAATGCTGCAAGAAGAGTTGGAAGGGAAGAGAGAGTTAATTTCCATGTTCACAGAGAAACCTTTGAATTGTAAAAAGTCTTTCAACTTGAAATAAATTCCTATTTTATTCGAATACGAATGATTTATTTTTTTACCAATAGGCAGTAGTTACAGAGCTTACCATGACAGGATAACCAATTGGCACGTCCATACATGAATTGCAAATATTTCTCAATGTATAGGTCATGTTCTGAATGGATCCTCTTTCAGCTTCCTCAACACCCAAATATAAAAGTTCGTGTTGTTGAGAGGACCACAGGGCTCTGACACCCTCTCTATTCATCTTGACAATATTAAACTCGATATCTCTCATAGACAACATGAGAATATAATAATCAACACCACCCTTATCCTGAACCTTCTTACGAAGAGAGAATAATTCTGCAGCTTCCTCAGCCATAATACTTTCTCTCCATTTTGGATCTGATTCGTGTGTAATGACCATATCATACTTGATAAGGGTAGAGACAACATCTGGCAGATCTACATCTTCAGCTGCGAACTTGGATTGATACAATGATAGAGACATACCAATAGCTGGCTTGATACAATGATCAAGAATGGACAAATCTCCAAAGACCCATTCATCATTGGTACTTGTAATTCTGTAATCACCAACAAACAATTGGTGAACTTTTTGAATGAAAGTTCTCAATGAATTGGCAGAGTTGCTTCCATCGAATGAGGCAAGAGCTCTTCTGGCTGTCAAACTGGCAAGATAGGCCAATTTTTGAATATTGAGCTTCTTATTTTCATCATAATTACTATTCTTCTCCTTCATTCTCTCATCAATAAAGTAATCAATGAAAGGTGTATAGATTTGGACAAACTTTTTAAACGAAACACCTCCCAAACCAATTTCTGTGTCATAATCTGGATCAAACTTTTCAGAAAACATTGGATCAAAATCTGCCTTTCTATCAGTAATTCTAGTGAAAGCTTCAAGGAATGGGGAAGCATCACCAATCCAAGAATCCAATTGTTGAGCATGAATAACATAGAATAGAACTGCTCTCACATAGAGAACAATCACTTCCTTTCTTTCATCATTGGAAGACATTAAATTTTCAACCTTATTTTCCAACATGTTATAGGTCCTCAATTTGACTCCAGTTTGAATAACTTGCCAAGTGTGCATTCTCAATGTGATCATATCCTTGGCAGAGAGAAGGGAAACCTTTGGAGCTCCTGGGAAGCAAGGCTCCTCACATGCAGAAAATCCAGGCATTCCCTCTTGATCTCTATTGATACGAGAGAGAATGGCACGTTGTTCTTCTTCCTGACAAATTGTTCCCTTAAATTCGAGACCTCTAATTTGATAGGACACTACACCATTACCAACTTCAATAATGTGAACAATGGCTGTCAAGTTATCATTAATAAACATGAAAATATCACCTTGTTCAAATGGTCCTAATTGTCCCTTTCTCATAATTTCAGACATTCTAGTTCTGAGAGCATTGACCAAATGTTCATAAAAGATGGAATTCAAATTGTTGGTAGTATGTTGATCCATGGCACCTCCACCAAGTGTTTGACCAAGAGTTTGATTAGAAACATCTCTTCTCTTGGATCTATAGTCCTTCTCCCAGAATTTGGCTCCTCTACTATAGCCCAGGAACCACAATGCACCACCAATTAAAGGATACATTGGTGAATTGGAAAGAACTGAATAAATTAATTGGACAAAGAAGAATTGTGAGAATGGAATACCTAGAGGTTGCATTACAATGTGGAATCCTGATGCCCAAGAAAGAGGAGTACTGTAAACAATGATAAAACCTAGTTTGAGGAAAATTTCCTTGAACTTTTGCATCACATAGGTAAAAACGAAAAAGTCAACCAATAAACCCTCTGAAATATTTGCAGCATCAACATGTGAAATAAGTACACTGAAGAAGAGAGCTGTAGTCAATCTACTTGGTTCAGCAAATGCACATCTAATGAGTTTGATGCCACAAATTGAAGCAATGGTGACAGAAATACCTGGCTTACATTTGGTATTCAAATGGAGAACAGTTGAAGAAATTCCAGAAATGATAATGACAATGTGGAAGATCAACTCAATCCATTGTATGAAATAGTAAACAATTTCATACCAAAGCCATTTCTTATCACCAATAAATTTGAATGATTTTTGATTGTTGGCCAAAATTGGATGTCTGAAAAATGTGAATGGATGATGTTTTGTTAAATGTGGATAAATATAATATAACATGAATCCAATAAATACGTTGAGAGCTGTCAAAACATAGAGAAGGTATGGATTACCTCTCTGGAATGCGTCCCACAATTGTGGAATTAAAACAATTACAAAAATACCCAAAGCAATTGCAAAATCAATTGCAATTCTGGTTATTGGATTAACTCCAGAAATGTTCAAATCCAACTCTTGAGTCTTTCTCTTTCTAATTTCATCCTTTGATTTGGCACTTCTCAATTTCTTTGGAATGTAATTGTCCCAATAACCTCCAAATATGTCCTCAATAATTGAGGTGTAGAATCTGTGATTGGATGGCATTCTACTCAATAAAAATCCAGCAGAAACCAACACGGCGCTGAAAATGGCAGAATAATAATCGCTCTGCCAAGTTGCATTGAAGGCACTTGTGTATCCAACTCCAATCAGAGTACCAATTGCAATAATGGCTCCAATAATTTGAATGACAACTCCTGTCAATGCGACAGCACCACTTGCTCCAAACAAGTGCATGTTAATTTGTTCACAACAAACAAAAACAAATGTTGCTGTCTGTGGCAATACACCAAATAAGAAAATTACAGGGAAACACATAATTATATACAATGCAATATCTCTTGCAGAAATAAATATAATACCAAAATGCAAATTTACACCATAAATTACAACTCTGATTTTTTAAAAGAAGAATTAAATCATTAAGAAGAATATTCCAATAAATTTGACAATTTCAACTTACATTGGCTCTGGAACTCGTGTTAAAACTCCACAAATCAAGGCAATAGTTCCAAAAAATAATACATAAAAAGCACGAGAATAGACAGTTCCCTTTGAGTAGTGGAATGGAGAATTGGCTTCAGGTTGAGGACTCTTCAACATGGAGAAGTGAGCTTGAGCAAGGGCGAGAATCATGAAAACAATGCTTGCCCAATTTCTGTCCAAGAGTGCCATCAATCTCAACCCCATCCAAGCAACACCAAAAGCCATAAGAGGAGAACCAATCAATTCAAGTTTAGGATAAGAATCTCTATCAAATAAATATTCTAAAGTTCTACGGTCAAAGAATAAATTATAAACTTTTCCAAACATGACAATTTTGTAATTGTCATCCATAACAGCACTGCTATTACCTGCTACTGCTGCAGGAGTAGTCAATTGTTGTTGAGAAACATTCACTGGATTAATGGCAGAAGCAGGTGGTGCATCATTACTCGATGAAGCACGATTTCCACTATTATCAGAAGAGGATGGATTGGACTTTCCTTCCTTCTCTTTCATAATTCTATTATATTCATCGACATTGACTGCCATTTCATACGAATGAACTTCTCCAAACTCATCAACGTATTCAAAGATGGCTGTTCTCATCTCTGGTTGTCCAGAATTTTCATCAGATGGTCCATCATATTGTGGAATGGATGGTGAGCTAGCTGCTGATGTCGATGGTGATGATGCTGGTGAATTGACTCTTGGTGATTCAACAGATTCCTTCTCTTCCACAGTGACAATGACATCATCTGTCGAAGCAACTCCTCCATCATTATTCACAACAGCAGCATCCTTACTAGTTGTCGTTGATGAGGATGATGACGAAGAGGAGGATGAGGAATCTCCATCATTATTCTCTCCATTCATTGCTCCATTCTCCTGTTGCTTCTTTTCCACATCATCTTGAACAATGACTAAATTATTGTCATTGTCATTATGAGCAGCAGCAGAAGAACCATTGTTATTACTATGATCATTATGATATTCAATGGTAGGTTCATCAGCAATGATTGGTTTGCTTTCATCAACGTTACTTGATAAAACACTTGTATTCATATTTGGAGCATTGTCTGCCTTGTTGTTGTCATTGGTTGTTGGAATGTTTCTGCCGACTAATCCTTTGGAGTGAGTATCAAAGTAGTGATGAAAGTAGGAATTGAATGATTTGATGGAGAGGAAGAAGAGAAAGATGATGGAAGCATAGATAATCTCGGCAAATAGATTTCCAAAGCCAAATACCTAATTATGTATATAATTAATATTTGTTGATGATGAAAATGATGATGATACAGGAAGGAAGAATATAGAGTTTGATTATTATCCATACACAATAGAGGGTAATTGTTAAACAATTCGTCGTCAAATGATGAAAATTTTGTAGTACAAGACGAGTGGAGAATAATTTCGAATACAATTTGATGAAAATATTGATAGAAAGCATGAACAATAAATGATCGGAATCAAAGGATCCATTCATGTTGTAAATTATCATTATCAATGATGATTCAGATCACAATTAAAATTCATGAACAAATGAATTTTAATAATTGTTGTTCAATTAGAGTTATTATTAATAGATGCATAATCAATAATGATGATGATATTAGTATAAATACAACAATATGATGATGGTGATGACTCCCAAAATTCATTTCAATCAACAACCTACCAATATGAAAAACAATGGAAATAATATAAAGAATGAATAAATTAGAAAATGGATCAGGTTCACAACAAAGTATGCCGAATATTCATAGTACAATCCTCCTGTCAGAGTGTAGATGAATTGTCTCAGGAAGAATGCAAGTTGTGTCTTGACCATTTTTTATATGTGAATTGGAACTTGTGAAGGAAGTTATGGCACTGAAGAATAACTTTGATGTTTGTCGTGGTTGTCAATTTGCGGATGTTTTAATTGGATAACCTTGTTTGTTTTTTAAATAGTTGGTGGTGTTGTTTATTGATGAAAATTCAGTTCAAACATGAGAATGGATAACATGTCATAATGAGCAAATTAGATGATGAACAACATTGAAATTATATTGTTTGAAAGTGAGTTTTCACTTGGTCACCAAATTTCTCCAGTAACTTTAAATTAATTTGTATTTTATTATTTTGTGAATTTAAAACAATGAAATGTCAGTGAAAATTTTTGGAATTGAGGTCACTTATTAAGCATATCAAAATATTCACTTTATTTTGTAATTTAAATCAATCAGAAACAAATACATTCCTCATATTCAATCAGAATTCAACAAAAAATGACATCTCACCAGTACGACATTATCGACAAGGACAACAACTTAAAAGCGACTCAACAACAATGGAAAATTAATCACAAAATACATCAAAGGTACGATATTTCCCAAAATTAAAGTTGGAAGCAACCATGCCAAAGTCACAACCAAAGAACCTTCATTAAGATAAATAATAAAATTGAAAAGCAACAATCCAATATACAAATCCATCACAACTTGCCTTCCCCATTGTAAACTCATTACTGTTTTAAAAGAGCGCCAAAAAGATTCGACTCTACAGGCATGGAGGGTGAACATGGAAAATCCCAATAGTATCAACAAGGCAATCCATTGAATCATCACGTGGGATTGTGTAGTGCTTTTTTTTGTTAATTTTCAGTTTGATATTTCTGTTGGAAAGATTATAATGAGTGATATATGTCTGAATAACATCAAATTGAAGAGGCCACTGAAAAATTATTGTGTTGACAAGGAGGTTTCGTTCAAAATAAAGGAGTTTGTTTATTACTAAACAAGTATTACTTGAATTGCAGCCGATTGTGAATTGTTTACTATTAGTAAGGTTAATGAGGCTGAAACAAGTTTCCAGGTTGACTGGGAACGTTGGCAAGATCCCAAGCTGTTTGATAACAATCAGTGCTTGGTTTGATTCTGTATCCTCGTTTATCTTTGAGATCAGTAGAAGTGTTCCAAGTAACAACTACCGACATAATGCGAAGGTGCAGTAGATATCATTGCACCAGTCAGTCAAGGATTATTTTCTAAGGCCTTCTGTGATGGCTCCAATGAGTGGAAAATTTCACTAAATTTCATTTTATAAATTTAGCTTAATTAAAATTCACATTAACCCAAATTACACAATTATATCACTAATTGCCTGCAAGTAACTATGTAATATGGCTTACAAGCTGAAATACAATACAGTTGATGATTGTGTAGTTATTGTCCAATGATAGTGTAGAATCCCAGGCCTTGGTTGTTTGAATCCTTGTTCATTCTCCGTAAACTACATTACTACTCAAATATAATAACTATTATTTCTTCTCGTTGTTGTTGGTGTATTAGCATTAGCCAAACACCATATTGTTGTTCATCAATTCTACTTTTCGTGTTTACACCATGTTGATGAAGTAAAATATATATTCACGATGAGAAAATAAGGTTTGTTTTCCAAATTTTAAAAACGTATTTTCTATCAAAGTAACTTTTGTCTATATTCCGTATAACATCTTGTATTAAAATATAATATTAATTTTAAAATTCATAGAAAACCATGATGAGGACAGAGGAAGGATGAAGGGAAAATTAGCACTTGAATGAGAGACTGTACTGTTGCTTCCAAATTTTTATGTATTGCTTTAAAATTTGGCTCCAAATTTTTTATTGTAAAAAGCTAATAGTCTCGTTGACAAAAATTATTTAGAATTTTGTTGAAAAAAAAACTCACAAGATGCCAGCCAATAAGACTTTGACAAAGAAGATCAAGCTCGCCAAGAAGATGAAGCAAAACAGACCAATTCCATATTGGATCCGTTTCAGAACTGGTAACACCATCAGATATAACGCTAAGAGAAGACACTGGAGAAGAACCAAGTTGAACTTGTAAATTTAGTTTTCTGCTTTACCAATAAACTTTATTTAAATTTAAAAAGTAGAGCCTTTTTAATAGTAGAACATCAACAACAACATCAGCTACAACAATTACTAGTATGGTCTATTTACTGTGATAGAGTACTTCATTCTAGTATCTTCCAAACCTTCTTATCTGTGTCGTTTTTGCATCATTATTTTATTTGGTAGGAGCCAACAAGGCTTATTATCTCTTATGATGTTATGAACATTAACTCCCAACAACACAAATTCTTACACTCAACACATCATGCTTAGGTACCCACCTAATTATCATGAAATAACAATGAACACAAGCAAAAAATGTCTCAAGACGAATTAACAACCATATCTTCCTACACTCCATCTCCAAATTCTGAGATGGATGTCTGTGATAATCCACTCTCCACTCGTTATGCTAGCAAGGAAATGACCTTTAACTTTTCTCCAAAGAAGAAATTCTCTACGTGGCGTGAGTTGTGGTATGCTCTTGCTATTGAAGAACAAACTCTCGGATTGGAACAAATCACTCAAGAACAATTGAAGGAAATGAGAGAACATTTGGTGATTCAAGATGAGGAGATTACTCTTGCTGCCAATTATGAAAAAAAGTTTAGACATGATGTAATGTCTCATGTTCATGCCTTTGGAGATGTTTGTCCGAGTGCTAGACCAATTATTCACTTGGGAGCTACTAGTTGTTATGTTGGTGATAATACTGATCTTATTCAAATGAGAGATGGTATGAAGATTATTCAATCGAAATTGTTGCGTGTCATGCAGTTAATGAAGAGTTTTTGTTTAAAGTATAAGGATTTACCATGTTTGGGATTTACTCATTTCCAACCTGCTCAATTGACTACTGTTGGAAAGAGAGCTACTTTGTGGTTGCAAGATTTCTTACTCGATCACGAACAATTAATTCACCAATTGGAAAATTTACCTTTCAGAGGTGTTAAGGGTACAACTGGTACTCAAGGATCTTTCCTCCATTTATTCAATGGAGATCATGAAAAGGTTAAGGAATTGGATAGAAAAGTTACCAAGAGAATGGGTTTCTCCAAATCTATTCCAGTAAGTGGACAAACCTATACAAGAAAGATTGATTTCCAAGTTTTGAGTGTCTTGTCTCAAATCAGTCAATCTGCTCACAAGTTTGCCACTGATATTCGTCTCTTGATGAGTATGAAGGAAATTGATGAACCATTCGAAAAGAATCAAATTGGTTCAAGTGCTATGGCCTATAAGAGAAATCCAATGAGATGTGAAAGAATTTGCTCACTGAGTAGATTTGTCATGTCACTCCTCTCCAACACTGCTCACACTCACGCCAATCAATGGTTTGAAAGAACTCTTGATGATAGTGCCAATAGAAGATTATCCATTGCTCAAGCTTTCCTTGGTGTTGATGGTATTTTGAATATTGTTGCCAATGTTTGTGATGGTTTGGTTGTTTGGCCTTTGGTCATTGAAAAACATACTATGGCTGAACTTCCATTCATGGCCACTGAAAATATCTTGATGGCTGCTGTTAAGGCAGGAGGTGATAGACAAGTTTTGCATGAAGTGATCAGAGTTCACTCATTGGAAGCTGCTAGACGTGTCAAGGAAGAGGGCGCTGAGAATGATTTGTTTACCAGATTGGTCAATGATGAGGCATTCAAATCAGTCATCTCTGTAGATAAGATTAAGGAAATGATGGATGCCAAGTTGTACATTGGACGATCAAATGTGCAAACTGAAGAATTTATTGGGAATGAAATTGATCCAGTTTTGAATGAATATAAGGATTTGATTCCAACCCAAGATTATCAACTCAAAGTTTAATTTTAACAATTTTGTAAATAGGAAGATAAAGTGATTTTTAAATTATTTCTCTATTCTTTAGTTACTTAAATAAGAATATCATATTTTAAAGAAGATTACTAGTTCAAGCTTTTTATCTATACAAATTATACTGAGACAAGACATCTCTCATTTGTTGCTGTTGCTTCTTTGAAATGTGTTTGACAGAGGTCTTGTGCTTGTGTCCTCGTGAACCATTACCATGACCTCCTCTACTTTCCTTATGTTGAGCCTTTTCTTTTCTTTCAAGGGAGACTGTTTGCTTTAGTGCTTCCTCAATGAGATTTCTACAAATTTCTTGATACTCGAAAGAACGTTCTCTTTCCTTGAATGGTTCCAATCTGTACGACAGCCAAGAGTAGACATTCAAACACTTGTACATTACTTCAAGTTCCTTCAATTTGATTAAAGTATTGATTGGCTTCATTGTATTTGGATTTGGTAACAGGAGTGGCACATCCTTTCCTTCAGAGTACAACTTGGCCCACTTGAATGCCATATCCTTACACAGAGATTCATCTGGATCTATTGGTGACTTGACAAATATCATTCTCTCTGCAGTTGTCAAATTTTCAATTGGGTGAATGATATTGGCAATATCTTTCTTTTCCTCAATTTCACACATAAAGTATTTACCCTTATTGACCTGAGTAATTTCATAGAACTTGGCAAGAATGGTACTCAATCTAACTCGGTGATTTTCATTATCAAATTGTCGGGAGAAGTGATCAATTTGTTCATCAGTTGGGAATAGGCCAGCTCTCAAAGCCTCTTCCTCCAAAGTTGGATCGTATGAAAATGCTTGATGAATAACCTTACAATCTCCATTACGGAAAGAAGTAACTTCACCCTCCTCGAATGCACTGTTAAATCTACCAGCTCTACCTCCAATTTGTTTGATTTCGTGTGGTGTGAGGGTTCTCACTTCCTTACCATCAAACTTTTCAGTGGCACTAAAGATAACACGTCTAATATTCAAATTCAAACCCATTCCAATAGCATCGGTAGCAACGAGAACATCATATGGAGATCTTTCATGATTAAACAAGGCAGCTTGAATAATTCTGGTTTGAGGTGGTAATCCTCCATAGACAACACAAACTCTCAAATTGGTTGATTTTTCAATTTCATTCTTCATTCTAAAAACTTCCTTTCTCGAGAAACAAACAATACAATCACCCTTTTCCAAATCATTGAATGATTTAAGTGTTGCTTGTTTGGTAATGTTCAACTTGGTCAATCTGTTATATTCCTTAACTTCCAATTCATCACCAGTATCTTGACACAATTTTTCAATTAATTTCAAAACTCTACCTTCACCACAGAGGTGAACTTCATTGGCTCTAACACCCAAGAGAGCCTTCGTCCATGACCAACCTCTATCTGGATCAGTAATGAGCTGAATTTCATCAATGACAGCAACATCAATCTCCGAACTAATGTCTGCCATTTCTGTGGTTGAGCAAGTGTGAGTAGCATTTTCAACTTCAATCTTAAAGTCACCTGTTATGAGTTGGCAGGTTGACAGAGGATTATCTCCTGAAGTCAATTTGACATAGGCCTCTGTAGCGAGCAATCTCAATGGTGCACAATAAATACCAGTCTTGGCATTTCTCAATGCTTGGAATGCACTATATGTCTTACCACTGTTTGTTGGACCAATGTGGAATATGATTTTTCTCTTCTTGAGACGAGTCAAAGGGTACAATTGATGAGGTTCAGTCAAATCAGCAATTTTAAGAATTCGCTCCTCCTCAATCTGATCTTCTAAATCTTTGAGATACAAGCTCCACATTAAATCTTCTGCTTTCCCATCTCTTTGAGCCATCTTGAAGGCCTTTTTAATCTTGGTTCTCATATCATTATTCGTCTCGAAAGTATGTAAAAAGTTATATCTGAAAGATGAAATTGTAGATTCCCAATCTTCTTCATCCTCAATACCTAGTGTCTTTGCAGATTCAATTCTCTCAGAATTTCGTGACATGTTTGCAATCACTTGATCTAAAAACTCCAAATTAATGAGTCCTCTCTCAACAGTTTCCAGAGAATAATGTGATGGTTCTTTAAAATCGAGTAAATCAGTAATTTCCTCATTTCTTTCTTTCACTTTTTTAGTTGCCTTGTTTGGATTAAAACTAATTGAAAATTTGTTATTCATCATTTCATTCGAAATGCAATTATTATTCACGAGAAGTAACTTTTTACTACTCCTCATTCCTACAAGACTCTTTCCTCCATTAATATTATTATTAGTACTTTTAGAATTTTCAAATAATTGTCCCTTTTGCATCATCTTTGAACAAGTCATCTTTCCATATGAATTACTATTATTATTATTGCCATGCACACCACAACCAACCAAAGCATTAGCAGCACTAACCCGAATCTTTCCGTTGCTTATGCTGTTGTTGTTCATTGTCGACAATAGCGGTTTGATTAAAAGCCATTGTTTGAACATTTTTTTGATTTTGATTTGAAGAAATCGAAAAGATTGGTGAAAATTGTTTCAATCGTGAATTGAATGAAATATTTACATCAAGTCTTGATGATAGAAATTGGATAAGGAATTGATAAGGGTAATCATTAGTGTGTGTGATGGATTGAAAGAAACCTTCCTTGGAAAGCAAAAATAGATTCTCAAAGAATTAGTATTCGAGAAAATAATTACACTTCATTCTACAACAATAACAGCAACATTATCTTCCAGTTGTACAACTTTAAAGCAGATCATTGCAAAGGCCTTCATTGTTGTCAAACAATAACTTCATCAATTGGAGTAATCCACGTTGTGCTGGAAAAAAATAAGCTTTTCTAAAAATTGTGGAAAGAGAGAAAAAGCCTTCGCTGTTGTAAGATCACCTGCCACTGCTACATAGCTTCATCATTTGTTTGCAAAGTAGAAGGCTCTCTTGTCAAGAATAACATAGTAGTTGTGTTTCTAGATTGGATAATTTTTTGATAAAACAAAAGGAGGAACACATTCTCAAGGGGTTGTTGTTGAATACAATTGGAACACTATTCTTTACGAGACAATTCTACTATAATTTTTGTAATTAGGAAGACTAGAATACTTTGTTTTACTCACTTGCTTTTTGTATTATAGTAGCATTTGGACAGGAATTAAATTTTGGAGTGAACATCCTTCTTCTTCTTCAGTTAACTACATCATCACTGCTGAAGAACCATCTTCTTGAATGGAAATGAATGGAAAGAATTCTTCTTCTTCCTCTTCTAATGGGTCTTCTCTTTCATCTAAAACCCACTGTAAACATTTTCAGAAATTACTTGTTGAACAACCTGCAAATCCAACCTCAGCCTATGATGAGTATGGTGAATTGAGTATGGATAATAGCCTGGCAACGTATTTAAATTCTTCCCGTACTAGTTCGACTTTATCACAACTTTCGAGATGCAACTGTTGCACCAATCACTTCTCATTGAAGGATGAGAATGTCATGTGCACTGCTTGTTTTCACATATTCACACTTCACACCTTCAGTGAAGGCAAACAAGAAAGAGAGAGCACTTCTTGCCCTCAATGTAAAAATGATATCACCTTCCACCTCACTTATAAGGAGTTCTTTTGTTTGGAGTGTTTTGATTTTGTAACTCTGGAACATGACTCTTTGAAATACGTTCTTCTTCCCTCACTCTTTTCCTCATCCATCATGAACAATTCATCGGATAAGCAGAGTGAAAAGAAGAGAAAAATTTCCCACAATACTAGTAGGGAAACTACCGAGAAAACAAATAAGGATTTTAATTTGGAATCATCCATCAAGACAATGCTCAAGAGTTCTGTAAATACACGAGAAAACTCATTATTGGGCCTTAGAGGAATGGTAAATTTAGGAAACACTTGTTTCATGAACTGTATATTACAAACACTTTCACATATTATTCCATTGAGAAATTACTTCCTCTCTGGAACAACAGTTTTGAAAATAGAATCAGAAATTGAGAATAATCCCGAATACAGCTCAGAATATGATCTGAAAACCTACCTGTCCATAAGTAAGGCTGTCAGGAATATGTACACTGAAATGTATAACCCATCCAATAGCACGACAGCTATCAAGAGCAAAAAGAGATCGAGTAATGGTAAGAGAAAATCAGATGGAGATGAAGTAATCGAGGAAACTGTCTTTCCATTCGTTCCAGATCAATTTCTCTATCTCATTTGGAATGCTGCAGGAAATTTGGCTGGCTATCAACAACAGGATGCTCACGAATTTTATATCACTCTCCTCTCCTTCCTCATGCCTGTAAAATTACCAAATAATCAGAGTAATACCATTCAGGAATTATTTACTGGTCAAGTTCAATCAGATATTATTTGTAAACATTGTGGACATGTTTCATCAACTATGGAACCAATACTCGATGTTTCTCTTGCTCTTAAGGGAAAGAGTGGAAAGGAATGGATTGATTTAGAATCATTGGAGGAATGTTTGGAAAAGTATACGAATGACGAAAGTTTGGAAATTAATGATTATTCATGTTCCAGTTGCAAAACCAAAGCCACCATTACCAAACAGCTCAAATTTTCAAAATTGCCAAAACTTGTATGTTTCCATCTGAAACGTTTTGAACACAATGAAGGAGTTGGAAGAAAATCAGCATCCAGTTCCAAAATTGATGAACACATTTCATTCCCATTCACTTTAAATATGACACCTTACATGTCAAGATCATCACAAACGAAGGACAATAACTCACCAACAACGGAGGAGTACTCACTCTTTTCTGTGGTTTGTCACACTGGAGATATGAGTGGAGGTCACTATACTTGTTTCGTTAAGCATGATGTTCAATGGTATTTGTGTAATGACTCGTCCGTTTACTATGCCATGGAGGAAGATGTTGCCGATAGTGAAGCTTACTGTTTGTTTTACATGAAGAAATAATTAATATGATATTCTTCAATATCATATCATATTACGAGATGTGTTGATAAATAATTCCTAGAGAAATGTTGGCAAGCCAATTTTGCAAGTCGTGGCTTGTGCAATAAATTCTTTAAAAGTGTATGTTTTTCACATGATGTTAAAATTAATTATTGAATATGATGCTGAAACAAAATAGAAATGCAAGATGTTGTTTTCAAATTGAATCCTGTGCGATAGTTTTTATTGTCAGGTGAGAATTGATGAAGAAGGTTGATAATTTTTTTCCCTCTACCTTCCCTTCAAAAATATTCATTGTAAACAACGTGCAAACTAGTTAACCGGCAAAAAATAAAAAGTTTTGTTGAAAAAAAATATCGAAATGTCTACTCAAACAAAGCAAACCACCCAACAACAAGGAAAGGTAAGCATATCTAGAACAACAAATACTTAACATTCTTCCTCTCTATTATTATTCACCCAATTCATAAATACTTGTGGAAATAACATTATTACAGAAGAAGACTTCTGAAAACATCAATGCTCGTCTTCAATTGGTCATGAAGAGCGGTAAATACACTTTGGGTTATGCTGAAACCATGAAGAACTTGAGACAAGCTAAGGCTAAACTCATCATTGTTTCTAACAACATTCCTCCAATCAGAAAGTCAGAAATCGAATATTACTCCATGTTGTCCCACGCTGATATTTACTTCTATCCTGGTAACAATATTGAACTCGGTACTGCTTGTGGTAGATATCACTCTGTTGGTGTCATGTCTGTTTTGGAAGCCGGTGACTCTGATATCGTTAGAGCTGTCAAGATGATGCAAAATCAATAAATTTAAAAATTAAAATTATTAATTAATTCATTAACTTCAATGTTTTTCACTACCATAAAAAACGTTGGTATCTTATCCAACTACATTTTTCTCTCCTAGACTCAGATATTCATCTGATTGAAGTGGTAGAAAGAGTAAAAAAACAATTTTTAAAAAATGTCTTCAAATAATAATCAAAGATTGCCACCAATTCATGAATTGGCTCCATTGATGAGAAATCCGAATAACCCTGTTGTATTCTTTGATGTTAGCATTGGTGGTCATGCAGTTGGTAGAATTAAAATTGAATTATTTGCTGATGTTACACCAAAGACTGCTGAAAACTTCCGACAATTCTGCACAGGGGAACATTTAAAGAATGGAGTGCCTGTTGGATACAAGGGTTGTGCTTTTCATAGAGTTATTAAAGATTTTATGATTCAGGGAGGTGATTTTGTTTCTGGAGATGGAACTGGATCTTACTCAACATTTGGAACTGATCAATTCAATGATGAGAATTTTACTTTAAAACATGATAGACCTGGAATTCTTTCAATGGCCAACAGTGGTCCAAATTCAAATGGTTGTCAATTCTTTTTAACAACAACTAAAACACCATGGTTGGATGGAAAACACGTTGTTTTTGGAGCTGTATTGAAAGGATTTGAAGTTGTGAAAAAAGTTGAAGCTGTAGCAGTTTTTGGTTCATCAAACAAACCAAAAATGTCATGTCTCATTACTGAATGTGGAGAGTTGTAAGATGTGAAATGAGGATTAGTGACAAGTATGATAGTTAACATGATATTTCAATTATAATAATTTAAGACTTGGATTTATTCTATCATACATTTAACACTCGCTTAATTGAGTTATTTCATATTCGATTATTGAATAATTGAGACATTTGTAAAGAAAACAAACTCTATGTACAACAGTTTTAACAGAATATATTCAAGATTTGTAAAGTAAAGTTATTTAATTTTTCAAAATGAAATCTCTGAGACGATTTTGGCTAGAGGCAAAGGATAAACAAGAGACAAGGGTTTCACAATTTTGTCTACGATCCCAAATGAATGGGCACAAGTCACGAATGATAGTGTCCTTATTATTATCGTGTGCAAATGATCTTACAAGTAAACATGTCGAAGAGCAATCCATTGTTGCAATATTATTGGTCTTCTTCAATTGTTGAACGGCTTTTACCTTATCAGATTCAAAATTGAATAATGAAATAATTCTGATAAGATCACTATTACCCATTGGAGAAATTTGAGATGTGGAGTATGTTACAAGAATCTTCATCTTGTCACTATCAAAACTCTTTCCTTGACAAGCAGTAATTATTGTATTGGCAAGTGAGCTCGATGTAACTGGCGTTGTTTGCATATAAACTTGAGGTTGACCATATGGTTGTGGTTGAGAGAATGGTTGTGGTTGTCCAAATGGCTGTGGTCGACCGAATGGTTGTGGAGGAGTAAATGGTTGAGGTTGGCTAAAAGGTTGTTGAGGTGGATAATTTGGATTCATTGGTGGATTATAGGTTGGGGGAATAATAGTGCTTGGAGTTGTAAATGAAACACTAATACCAGAATTTCCAATAGAAACACCATATCCAGTATTCACAGTAGTTGGTTGCATGGATTGCATGGTGCATCTGAAAACATCACCATTTGAAAGTGGAATATTGTTCATATCATATGTTTCAGCTCTCAAAGGATGTTGAGTTCCTTGGAATTGAATATACATGGTATGCTTATTCGAGGAGATATCTTTGATAACATAGAATTCTGCACTTCTTCCATCTTGTTGATTTCTCATCGTGAAATATCCAGCATGTGGACAAGAAGTGATGGTCCAGGATTTGCCAGAATTTTCAGTATAAGTAGTATTGACATTTTGTTGATTCATTACGGAAGAGGCCACCATTCCATGATTCAATCCATTAACATTATAGACACTTGGTTGGGAAAAGTTGGCACTACTTGAAGCTCTATAAAAGTTATCACCCATTCCGTACAATGTATTTCCATCTGGGCTAGAAGTGAGTCTCCAATGCACATTTCCATCAAATGTAATGTGAATTGCCCAATCACTTACACTTGTTGGTGATACCTTAGTTGAGACCAGTGTACCTGTGGCCATTCTATTGGTTCCCTGTTGAATCCATTGAAAGGAATTTCCATTTTGTGTTGACTGCCAAATTCTACCACTTCCCTCTCTCCAGGAACCTCCAATACTTGGTGTGACGTTACCCATTCTCTTAATGATTTATGGTGGTGATTATTAATACTTGTTTGTGATTTTTCTTTGTTTTCCTTGTTACTAGTTGGTAAAGTGGAATGCGAAGAAATGATCAATTTACAGTGTTACAACTCATTGAGTGGAATTTAAGGAAGAACACATGCTTGGAGTTGAATGATTCATCAATAGCTAGAGCATGATGGATCGGAAGAGGTAATACTACTTGTGGTATCATTCCTTGAAGCATCTTTTGCAATTGTCTAACATATGGATACGGAAATGCTGTAACCCTTAATGAAACACTTGGTGCAATTGGAGAAACAACTAAGGAATTTAGTAGTTCTTTAATCCTCATTGGATTCTAATAACTCCTTACTCAAGGTCATCTCAGTTGGTCTTTGTCAAATGAAAAGAAATGTTGCGTGTAACTGCTTTCAAATTGTTCAACATTCAAACTATCACATTTCAGAAGCATATTACAACAAAAAAAATTTAAACGTTTATTAATCGTATGAACCCGACGGGTTCGTCTTGATGATATTACGAATATTAAATAATAAATTCTTTCTTGTTGGGATTGCTTTGTTCATTTCTTGTAACTCTGTGGACACAAATACTTGGCTTGAACACCCTATGCTGGAACCCCGGGTAGTATAGGGTACGGTGACTTAACCCGACGTAAGTATTGCGGCAACACACTGTGGTCTCAGGGTCAACAGTGTAGTTACTGGGTGGTACGACATTTTTTTTGAGACGTTACAACAAAAAAAATGGATGATTACGATGCAATTAATAATCTAGATGTAGGGACACCCCATGATAGGACGGACATTGATCTGGTTCCACTTGCAATTACTGACAATTTGGATGAATTGACTATAAAGGAATTTGATGAATTACAATCAGCCTTGATTATTCGAGCAGATACATCAGAACCTGCCCACTTTATGCAATGTATTGAAGAGAGATTGTGTTATTATGTTAAAAATCCAAAATTATTCAAGACTTCGGAGGAGTCCACTGAATCACATTGGACGAGATTCATGCTCGATCAGAAATGTATATTCAAGAAGGTGGATAGGATTAATGAATCCAGTTTTTGTAGCTTGCAACCTCAAGTGATGAGGAGCTTTCTGAGAGGATATAATATTGTTTTCTTCACGTTATATTCTGGAACTTATACGGGATTTGATTCAGTTGTTGTAGGTGTGATTAATGATTTAATCAACAGTGGAGAGTTGTCTGTAGTGTTTTTGAGAGGAGCAGGACGATCAGTTCCAATGAGACTTGGTTTTGTGAGAAGAAAGGACGCAAATGATGGTTATGTGGAGTATACAGATGGAACTTATGTACAACTCTTGCTTCAAAATATTAAGCAATTGGATAATCAGAGCTTGACTATATTTGTGAATAAGTGTATGAACAAATTAGAAAATAGAGTTCAAACAATTGGTGAAGTGGAAGAGACTATTGAGGATTGTTTGAAATTGGATGATTTATACATTTGTGGAGTTTGTGACACCACCTTGAGTAATGTAAATGATTGGCATTTACTTGCTAGGAGTGTAAGTGAAAGGGAGAAATATCCATGGGTTATTCACAAAACTAAGAAGGTAATGTTCACTCCATGGTATGGATATAGTCATGGAAATGAAAACCAATGCCTACTGACCTTGTATGCATTGAGATATCTTTTGTATGAACATATGAAGCACTTCCACAATATCAATAGTTTCAAATCTAATTTATTGATCAAAATAATTAACAATCAACTCTCTGATATCTCAATAGATTTTGAATAAATTCTATTTATCAAGAACATTTTGAACGCAACTTTCAATGTTTTGACTCTATGTATCATCTGTTTCTTGGGTACCCAAGAAATGTTGTTCAAAAAGTTATTTTTGTAATATGTAACACACAAATAACTTTAATTCCTTTTTCAAAATTCTTTTAATAGCACAAAAATCTCATGCCAATCAATGAATTCAACACAAAAAGAATAACACAACATGAATAACAATAATTTTAACAATAATAGTAACAACATGATGAATAATAATAGAAGAGTAGGAGATCAAGATTTAAATCCATTGCCTTGTTTTCAACCTTTACATGGAAATGCTCCTTCCTCAATGAGTGGTGGATTTGGTGGCAATCAAGTTGGACCAAATAATCCAATTTTCAATGATCGTTCGAATTTTCCTTCTGCTTCTTCAATAATGGGAGGAGATATGAAACCTCCTCAGATGTTACCAGGTTCTCGATTTGATCCAGTTTATCCTACCATTGAACCATTTGGAGGTTCTGGAAGTGGAAATAGAGGAGGTAATTCTTCATCATCTTCATTTGGAAATGTTAATCCAGATCATCACAAACCTCCACAATTTGAAGATGAAGATTTGTAATTATTTCTAAAGATTGAAACAAGAGATTCAACAATATAGCCCGAGTTAATATGTAAAATGAATAAATTTCTGCATCCAATTATTTAAATATTCTTTATATTCATTGTATTAAGGAAATGAATGGCTACGGCCATATCACGATGAATGCACCTCATCCCGTCCGATTTGAGAAGTTAAGCATCGTCGAGCCACATCAGTACTGAGGTTGGAGACAACTTGGGAACCTGTGGTGCTGTAGTCTTTTTAATTTCAATTTAATTTCAAGCTTATTGTTTTTACAGCTTTAAATATTGAAATGTAGAGAACATTGAAATGGAAATGTTCAAATATGTGAAGAAAATTAAATACAAATCATTTGACATTTAAAGAACTTTATTGAAAAACTTGTAAATTCAATCTTATCCAAATTGTTTGGGTTGTTGTTTACTATTAAGGAGACTCTTTTAACTGCTGTGGATTCACATTACTGCAAATACTTGGTTACAATCAGGGATTCCCTCCCTCTACATTAATTATCAGCCCTCTCGCCACTCTTTCTAGAACGATTTGATTGGACAAGAGGGCTCAATGAATCTATGAAAATACTCGACTGAAGATTCATTGCAGTAGGTTTCTTTTTTAATTGAACAAGAGACAATTTTCACATTCAAGCCAGCTCTCTTTCTATTCATATTTTAGGAAATGCCACTTTCAAACTTTTGAAGCAAACATTGATGAATGAAATTTTCATTTGATCAACAAGTTCATAGAAGGATCAATATCAGTTATATCTGTCTTCTACGGCCATATCACCTCATCTCAATTAGGAACCTGTCTTTTTGTCTTATTGATTTTTCAAGGGTAAGTTGGCCTAGTTGTCCACTTCCATTTCACAGATTATTATAGCATTTGTGCAAGGAATGAGGAAATTCTCCACTTAATTAGTTGTTTCTTACAACTTCGGGAGGAAGTTCTTAAAAATTGTGAGCTGATCTTGAAGCCATGATGGAAATTGCTCCACCTCAATAATTTAATCAAGTCAACATTCAATTATTTTCTTGAATTGAAATTTATATTTTTCACACATAAAAGTACCACAATTTTTTAACCTCACTTTTCACACATTCAAAACCAATATCACAAACCTCACAAATCAAACTAGATAAAACCATTGACTGTACTTCTACAGGATCTTTTCTGTAGGAATACATAAACTCGACTTTTTTGAGTCAATCTGACCTTTGAGGTTAACCAAGATGAAGACTCTGTAGTCATATATCTTGAGCATGATATCGAACTGGAAACATGCTTCGTTGTAGGTTTCCTCGTTCATAGATGATTGCTGCATTCCTTACCAGCCATGGTTTGTGAATGGGGGATTTGTGAACATGCAGATTGGTACCTTAATTTTTTTAATAATTAATAGAAACTTAAACAATTTCAATGAACCTATGTTTCTTTTGTTGATTTTCACTCATCATGTGAACATGCAGATCTATTAGATCTATTTGGAACTTTCTTTGCATTTTAGGTACATAAATGAAAGAGTTCTTCACTACCTTGGCCAACAGATTGAAATTTATAAGGAAATTCAAAAAGATCAGTTATCAAATTTTGTCACCCCTTTAATTGAAACTTCCATTTCAGAGTTGGATCTATTTTTAAAGAAAGAATTATACCATAATGAAATGAATGTTTTCAATTCTAACATCACGATCAGCTCATTTCTCTGAAGTGTTGGTGGCGAAACTCCATCCATGCCTTTTTTACCTCCTGTTAAAATTTCATTAAGAATTTGAATGGAACTTTGGTATTAGTTTTATCTGGTTCAAAACCATCAATTTTCGAATGGTGTTTTAGTACTCACTCACAAATTAAACTATAACAAATTAAGAGATAGCTCATTATCTTAATTTTTATAACAACAATGGCTACGGCCATATCACGATGAATGTACCTCATCCCGTCCGATTTGAGAAGTTAAGCATCGTCGAGCCACATCAGTACTGAGGTTGGAGACAACTTGGGAACCTGTGGTGCTGTAGTCTTTTTATATTTTCCAAAACGAATGTCAAATTTCCTTTTTAGAGTCTATTGAAAATGCATTTAATTTGTCAACTACATCATTTGTCATAGTGTTTGTCAATTCTAACAACAAAAAATACCACACGCATCCATTTTCAATAATAAATTAAATAATACCACAGGATCACTACAGTCAACACATCATTATCATCATCATGGTCAAACACTCCGTCAAGAAACTCATTCCACTGAGTAGAGAAGAATATTGGAAAATAATATTTACTGATGATTTTGATAAATTCACAGCTCCTCTGCTCAAATTCAACAAAGTTGAAACTGAAACACTTCCAAGTGAAGATGTTAATATTGTCAAGAGAACTGCCAAAGTCTTTCCAGATTATGACATTCCCCATGCATTGTTGCACTTGTTAGGTCAGGAAGAATTTCACTATGTCGATCATCAGGAAAAGAATTTATTGAACTATACCATGAATAGTAATACTATGCCTCCACTGAGTCATCACGATATTCTAAAGATCAGTACTCATCAACATATTGAACCAATTGACGAACATAGTTGTTATCATGTTTTGGAAACAGAAATTCACTGTTCTGTGTTGTTACTTGGTCACTTGGTTGAGAAGGCAATTATTCATGGTGTTGAGAATGGTTATGATTTATTACCAAAAGCCGTGGAAGCTTACATTGCTCACTTGAATTCGGAAGTAAAATAATTTGAATTTGAACCACTCTATTTTTAAATTATGCAAATAATATGAAAATAGTTATGAAAATGAATGTGCATTTATGAAATTGAAGAAGAGGTTCATTTTCGTAAGTGAATCAGAGGTTCAAATTCAAACAAGTCTGAAAATGAAGCTGTGGAGGTTCAAGTTGAAAGCAAGCAAATTTAGCTCTATTTAAACACCTCTCAAAAGTATTCTCACTCCATCAAACAAACAAAAAAAAACAACAAATTAACTAACAGCTCATTCAATAGCTCAATATTCAAATACAGATTATTTAAATAATTACAATATGGTCAAGTTCAGTAAAGAAATACTCGAAAGGCTCTTACTCGACAGTAACAAGATTCGTAACATTAGTATTATTGCTCACGTTGATCATGGTAAATCAACACTCACTGATCAATTGGCTTTAGCAGCTGGTTTAGTGGATGAAGATGCTGCAGGTGAGAAGAGAGTTTGCGACGTAGATAAGAATGAAATTGAAAAGGGTATTACCATTAAATCAACAAGTTTGAGTATGGTTTTGGAAAATCCAGACAAGGAGAATGATCATCATTTGGTTAATTTGATCGATTGTCCAGGTCACATTGATTTCTCATCTGAAGTTAGTACAGCTTTGAGAATTACTGATGGTGCAGTGTTGATTGTAGATGCTGCTGAAGGTTGTAGAGGTCAAACTGAAACAGTAATTAGACAATCTCTTCAAGAAAGAATTCGTCCAGTTCTCTTCATTAACAAGGTTGACCGTTTAATTGAAGAAATGCAATTTACTGAAGAAGAAAGTTATCAAAACTTTTTAAGAATTATCGAGTCTGTGAATGCTCTATTATCAACTTATTCTGATGAGTCAGTTTCTGTTGATCCAGTTGATTGTAACATTGCTTTTGGATCAGGTAAGATGGGTTGGGCTTTCACTTTGGAGCAATTCGCTCAATTATATAGCAAGAAGTTTAAACTTCCTGTAGAGAAGGTTATTAACAAATTATGGGGTGAAAATTATTATGATCACTCAACTAAGAAGTTTACCACTGAACCTTATTCATCGACAAGTGGTCAACAATTGAAGCACACTTTCTGTGAATTCATTTTAGAACCTATTTTCAAGATTTTCAAGTTGGTTAGAGAACATGAAATTTCGAGTGAAGGTATTTTGTCAACAGATTTGGAAAATATCATTAGTGCATTGTCTATACCTCTGACGAAAGAAGAAAAGAGAAAAGAGCCGAAACTTTTAGCTAAATCAATCATGAGAAAGTTCCTCCCAGCTCACAAACCTCTAGTTCAAATGATTATCAACCATTTACCTTCTCCTAAGGAAGCTCAAAAGGTCAGATATGATAGCCTCTACACTGGTGAAGATTTGACAGATCCATACGCTACTGGTATTAAGGAATGTGATCCAAATGCACCACTGGTTGTCTATGTCAGTAAGATGGTACCTATGCACTCTAATACTAGCTCTAGTATGAGTAATAATGTTGGTCGTTTTATTGCTCTAGCTCGTATATTCTCTGGTAGTTTGACTCAATCAACTAAGGTGAGAATTTTGGGTCCTAACTATGATCCAATTGCTAAGAAAGATGTTTTCCATACAAGTATTCAAAGATTGTTAGTCATGATTGGTAAAAATACTGAAAGCATCACTCAAGCTTCTTGTGGTGCCATCGTAGGTATTGTTGGTCTTGACAAGTACATTATCAAATCATGTACATTGACAGAAGAAGGACAAGTTGCATGCATGCCAATTAAGAATATGAAATACTCTGTGAGTCCTGTAGTTCAAATGGGAGTTGAGCCAGTCAATCCAGCAGATTTATCTCGATTTGTTGAAGGTTTGAAACGTCTCGTTCAAAGTGATCCTCTATTGGAATGTAAGCAAAATGATAGTGGTCAACATATTCTTGGAACAGCAGGTGAATTGCATTTGGAAATTTGTTTAAAGAATTTAGAAGAAGAATATGCAAGAGGAATTCAAATTAAAAAGTCTCCTCCTGTTGTCACTTTCCACGAAACAGTTTCAAATAAGAATGGTGACATGGTCATGGCAAGAAGTGCTAACGGCCACAATCGTTTATATATGCAAGCTGAACCAATCAGTGAGGAATTAATTGAAATGATTAAGGAAGGTCAATTGCCAATGGATGATCAAAATAAGAGAGCAAAGATTTTAGAAATTGACTTTGAATGGGATCCTAGCATAACAAAGAGAATTTGGAGTTTTGGACCTGAAGCTGATAAGGGTAGTAACATTTTGGTAAATGCAACCAAGTCAGTTGACTATATTAATGAAATTCAACAATATGTGGTCACTAGCTTCCAACAAAGCAGTTCTTCAGGAGGTTTATGTGACGAAGCAATGAGAGGTGTTTTATTCAAATTTAATGATTGTAATCTTCATGCAGATTCTATCCATCGTGGAGCTGGTCAAATTCTCCAAGCAACATCTCGTGTCATGACTGCTAGTCAATTGAGAGCTGATCCAAAGTTAGTTGAACCAATGTATCTTGTTGAAGTTCAATGTCCTCAATCAGTGATGGGTTCTGTCTATAGTGTCATTTCTAATAGAAGAGGTGTTATCAAATCTACTGAAATGGTAATTGGTACTCCTCTCGTTAGTATAACTGGTAATTTACCTGTGCTGGAAAGTTTCGGTTTAACAGAAGAGTTGAGAGGTGTTACTCAAGGACAAGCTTTCCCTCAATGTAGTTTCAGTCACTGGAAAGTTATGGAAGACAATGTTTATGATCCTCAATCTAAAGTTCACAAACTCATCAAATCTATCAGAAAGAGAAAGGGTCTTAAGGAAGATATACCACTCTACACAGATTACTGTGATACAATGCCTAAACAATAAGAGTTTTAACATTTAGTAATAAATTACCTTTTTCTCCAATCTTGCCATAGCTTATTTTCTTAGTGATATTAATTGTTTCATTTCACTTATGAATTTTGCTCCTTCACCACCAATTCGATTGCCAGCAATATCAAGTGATGTCAATTGTTTCATTTCACTAATGAATTTAGCTCCTGCATTACCAATTTCATTGCGAGTAATATTAAGTGATGTTAACTGCTTCATTTCATTGATGTATTTTGCTCCTTCATCACCAATTACATTGTAAGAAATATTAAGTGATGTTAATTGTTTCATATCACCTATGAATTTAGCTCCTGCATCACCAATTACATTGTTAGCAATATTAAGTGATGTTAATTGTTTCATTTCACTTATCAATTTTACTTCTTCATCACCAATTTGATTTCCACCAATATCAAGTGATATTAATTGTTTCATTTCACTAATGTATTTTGCTCCTTCACCACCAATTCTATTATTATATATATAAAGTGATGTTAATTGTTTCATTCCACTGATGAATTTTGCTCCTTCACCACCAATTACATTGCCATTAATATTAAGTGATGTTAATTGTTTCATTTCACTTATCAATTTTGCTCCTTCACCATCAATTCGATTGTAACTAATATCGAGTGATATTAATTGTTTCATTTCACTGATAAATTTGAGTTTTTCTATGCCTCCAAGCAAATATCCCAAAAATTTAAGATTAACAATACTATTCATAAATTGACTTTTCATGAATAATTCAACTCGTTTCTCTGTAAATTTTTTTTTAAATTGAATAACAAGTTTTGAACGTTCCTTGATCACATTAAAGAATTGTTTTGAAATTAAAGTACAATTATTTAAAATAAACCACGAATCATCAATCATGCAAATTATTTCAAAACAAATATCATCTGAAAATGTTTCTTGTTCGAGTTTCACATGCTTTTTTACTTTCTCTTCCATAATATTATTATTATTATTGTTAGTGAATATTTCATCCGAACTAATTAATTGATGATTTTCAAAATCTTGTCTGTTTCGTTTGCTCATTTTTTTTTAAATTCATGTTAAGGCTTTGATTCATGGCTAATTTGGATTCAATCTCAGAAACAAAATTGAAATAGCACCGTTCTGAAAGTAGCTTCTCCCATTCATTGATAGAAGAGTTCTTATTGGTACTCAAAATACTTTCCTGAAACATTTGTGGATAACGTATATTCTTTGTGAATGTAAAGGGGATGTAGCTCACATGGTAGAGCGCTTCTTTAGCATGGAAGAGGTACGGGGATCGATACCCCGCATCTCCACTCTATCTTTTTTACGGCATTCAAAATAATTCAATATGGCATATGTGATTTGCTAAACGAAAAGTTAAAAACATGCACACCAGCTTACGATTTCATTGGTGTTGTGTTTGGTTCAACGACAATAAATGTTGCTTTTAATAATTAACCACAAGTGTCATTTTTAAAATGATCAAAATTCAAAAGTGATAAATAGATGGTGATCAAGCTAGATCTATTTCTTCAACAACCTGTTTCGCATTGAACAAAACAAGATTCGTCAAAAGAACTCTTGAATTCACTGTTCATACAGTCAAAGACTGTAGCGGGATTGTCGCCATATTCCTGGCAGGCTTCCCGTCCAAATTATTAATTGAATCTTATTAGAACATTCTTCCTCATTTACTTGACAAACAAAAAAAACTTTAGTTTGTTCTTGATATTTATTTAGCTCTTGAGGGATTGAGTGCAATTAACTCAAGGAATTGGCTTTCTAAACTAGGCCAATTCAACATCAGTGGCACCAGCCATAATTAAATCTTTTGCCAATGAAGCAGATGCTTTCTTCTTCATCATGATTACAATAGTTGTAATCAATACAGCAACACCACCTCCAATAACTGCAACAGAAACAATTGGAACAACAACTGCTGCAACAATCACTCCTGTATTCTCACTGTGTACTGAGTCAATAGCAAGGAAAGGAAGCGAAGTCAATCTTGCTGAAATCTGAGGAATGTTTTTTAGTTGAAGAGAAAGAGCTGTTTCAGTTTCAACTCTGAAGGAAATGAGCGTCGAGTTGAGGGAAAGAGCTGCCTTAGCTGTTAAGGAACCTGTTTTGGAAAGAGAGGCTGGTAGATTAAATGGAATGGAAGATGTCAGCTGTTGGTGGACAGTTGAAGAGGAATCAAATTGACCATCTAATAGGAATTCAATAAAAATGTTAATGGATTGGTTGACATAATAATCAAGAAATGAAGAATCTTGAATGGAAAGAGAAATAATGGTTGAAATATCTCCAACAATATCACTAGTATTGTTGAATGATAACTTCATTGCTTGGGAAAGGAATTTAAATTGACACTTATTGCCAATGAAATCCTTCTTACAATGACAGGTGTCATAATTAACACAATCACCTTGAGAGGAGCAAACTTTTGAATCAACAGATGTTTCACCATAACAATAGGTAATGTTACATTGTGGTCCGAACCATTTGCTTTCATTCACACATTTACAGTAATCAAATGAACGACAAGTTCCATTTCCAAGATTGCAAACTTGTGAGCTTTCTTGTTCTATGCCAAAACATGAAGTAAATTGACAATTTGATCCACTGTATCCATATTCACATTCACATTGATCTACATTAAGGCATGTTCCTCTTCCACTACATACAGAGCTTGAACTTTCCAATATTCCATTGCATTCCACTAGTTCACAATTGTTTCCTCCAAATCCATTCTCACAAATGCAAGTATTCAAGAATTTGCAAACACCATGAGAATTACAAACTCTTGTTGAATTGAATTCGACACCATTACATTTAAAGTATTGACATTCTTCACCAAAATAATTGAAATCACATTTACAATAATCAGTTGACAAACATTTTCCATTTCCAGAACAAGATCTATTATCCAACTTTTCAATGCCAAAGCAGATTGGATTTTTAAGCTTGCATTCATTTGGTGCATCGCAATACTGTTCAGTATCATTGCAGACACTGCTGTCATTTGCCAATTTACCAAAACAAATTGGAAATTGACACGTTGTCGAAGGTCCATATCCATCTGAACAATTACAATTGTTATAGGAAATGCATTTTCCATTTCCAAAGCAAACATTGCTGTCATCAGAAGGTACAGAATTACAAGTAGTTTTTTCACAATTAGTTCCATAATAATTCGAATCACATTTACAATAGTTTGGATTCGTACATTGACCATTCGAAGAACAAGCTCTGGAATTGTTGGAAGGAACTCCGTGACAGATAGGTATCTCACAATTCAATCCAGTCCATCCACTGTTGCAGCTGCAAGTATCTGGAGCTAGGCAAGTACCGTTTCCTTGATTACAGATTTGATTAGTTTGATTCGAATAGATACCAAAACAGTTAATCAATTCACATTCAGATCCATCATACCCACTCATGCATTGACACTGATTCGGTGCTGTACAATTTCCATGAGAATTACAAACCAATGGATCTGTACCAAGTTTCGTATTACAAAAAGGAATTTCACATTGAGATCCTCCATATTTGGAATTACATTGACACTGATCAACTGAAATGCAATTTCCTTGTCCTGAACATACACTCAATGATTGATTTGCTAAAATTCCAAAACAAATTGGAATTTCACAAAAACTGCCAGAGTACATTGAGGAATTAAAACATTGACAAGTGTCATATTCAAGACAATTGCCATTTCCAGAACAAACAGATGGATCATTAGAGAGTGTACCATTACATTTTGATATATTGCAAAATGTTCCTTCGTAATTTTCATTGCATTCACAAATATTGTAATCAACGCATGTTCCATGATTCGAACAAGTATTTGAATTATTCGAAAACTTTCCATCACAAGTAGTGACATTACACTCAATTCCATAATAATTGGAATTACATGAACAATTATTCACATCTATACATTCACCATTCATACTACAATATAAAGTTGAATTCTTTCCAAAACATTTTGGCAGTTCACATGCCATACCATAATAATTATTGTTACATTGACAGGTGTCCACATCAATACATAATCCATGTGATGGGCCTCCACATGCTTCATTCCCAGACTTTGTGAAACACAATGGATTGCATAATCTTCCATCAGAGCTCAATACTAAACCATCCTCACAGTATGGATATAATTTCCTAACAGTTCCAGAAGCAATCATTTCAGTAATGTAAACTTCATTCTTTCCACTCACAAAAATTCCATTTGTATTGCTTATTAAACAAGTAAGCGCATCTGAATCGTCTGGACAACTGGAGCCAATTAGTCCAACACCAGCAATTTGCCTTAACGTTCCATTATAAACCTTAACTCTACCTGATGATTCAGCAATATAGAATTCATTCTTACTTGTTCTAAATATACCCTTTGGAGAGGAAAGATTCTTGAGAAAGTAAGTTCCAGAACTAGCAGAGCCATAAGCTCCTGGTTTACCAATGCAATCAAACGAACTGAAATAAATATCTGATGGGAAAGAAAGTGCCACTCCAACGGGTTTATCGAAAACATCTAATACATAATAATTTTGTGAGGCCAAGTTGAAAATTCCAATATCACCATTTCCAAATATTCCATAAATGGCAAAAACTAATTGATTTAATCTCTTGTCTAAAATTAAAAATCTTACATTACCAACACCAGTTTTTAGTGTTGTAATGGTATTGGAAATTTCATCAACAACCCGTATATTGCCATTATCTTCGCCAATGTAAATTTTTCGGCTAGTTTCGTCCACCCAAATATAAGGTCTTGCTATTTAAAGTTATAACAGAGGAATTATATTTTGATAACCTACTTAATTGTGCTTGTGTAGGAACCATCACTGCACTACTAGTATCAGAGCCTCCACCAGCCACAATTACTTTCGTTCCATTAGTATAAATTCTAATAGAGAATCATGATCATATTGAACATAAACAGGACGAAACAACAACACACTTACTTGCTCACGACACTCTCTTCAGCTACATAAATATCTCCATTCTCAAACACGCTGACTGAAGTTGGTTTTACCAATGAATCAACCACTGTTCTAATCTTGAATTTCACATCTGCAGATTTTGTCAAGTGGGGAAACACGAAAAGCAAGCTAAAAATTAACACAATTGAGTTGATGACTACCCATTTGTTGTTGTTGAGCATTTTGTTTTTGCGGTAAGATTAATTTGTTGTGAAAAAAGAAACTGTCAAGTCCATCAAAATATTCATAAAAGATGTGTTTCCTTTTTCAAACAATTATGAATAAATTAAGCAAAAAATGGACCAATATACAGGCTAAGATGTAATTTCACTCTTTGTTCCTAGTTATTTGTAAAATGAATAAATTTTGCCTTCCAATTATTAAAATATTCTTTATATTCATTGTATTAAGGAAATGAATGGCTACGGCCATATCACGATGAATGCACCTCATCCCGTCCGATTTGAGAAGTTAAGCATCGTCGAGCCACATCAGTACTGAGGTTGGAGACAACTTGGGAACCTGTGGTGCTGTAGTCTTTTTATCAAATTATACATAATACATTCGAAATCATTTTATTGGAAAGGTATTCTGGTATTGCACTTTAAAGTTTACAAAATGTTCGAACAAAAAATCAACAAAAAAAATGGCACAACATCAATACCACTACATTCTCAATACACAAGAAGAATTTAATTATTCAAATTATGTTCCGAATAATGTTCGTCCAGAGACAAAACTTCAGGAAATTAAGAAAATTTTCAAGGAATGTTTCGGAAATGTAGAGTTAATTGTTGAATGTTTGAAGGGATTTGATGAGAAAACTTATGCCAACTTGTGTTATACCGAGTGGAAAGAGTCGAATTTCTTATCGAGAATATCTAAATGGTTATTCCTGGGATTCGGAAAAGAAGAAGAACAATCAGAATTGTTAAATAATAGTAGTAGTAGTGGTCGTAGTAGTGCAGTAAAATATGATACAAGAATTGTTGGGGAGTATTTTAAAATTTTGGATATGGCAATTATGCGTGATCTTACCTATAGTAATGTGATCAATTCTTATTCCTTATTCCCTTCAAAGAATGAACGAGTGTGGAATGAAATTGTTAATTATTGTCTTTATTTGATAGATTTGGCTGATTCTGCAGATAGAGGTTTGACAATTTCGTATGCTCTGAGGAGATTTATTCAGAGAGACAATAGAATTAAAGATCTTGTTGCAGAAAAGAGAGAAAACTTGATTCAAATGATGATTAGATTGACTAGATTTCCAACCAATCAAACATTATTGACGAGTAATCATTCTCTGATGGTTTATTGGACTCTCAAGTTGCTCGAATTGAGTGGTGTAGAGAAATGGAATGGAATAATTGAATACGAAACAACTTTGGAGAAAATTCAGGGATTTTACTTGAAAGCATTAGTTAGCACTCTTCCTGAAAACTTGCTTGATAGGCATTGCGCTAAATATCATATTGAACCTTATGAAATTGTAACAGAGGTGTTTAATCTTTCCAATTCTTGCTATTTGAAGAACGGTGACTCTGTTTCTTGTCTATTTGATGATCAATTGATTTGTATGAGAGAATTTACAATAGTTTCTATGGCAAATACTATCATGAATAGATCAGGGATTGAAATCGATGAGTTAATGCTTAATTCCTTAGCTAGAGCTCTCAAGTTGCAAAATGACAATAATGCGTGTAAGCTTTTCAGCGCGACGATTTCTTCCTTCTTTGAGCAAAATCCCAAACAACCGATTTCTGAGCTCAATTACTCCATAATTAATCTATACTGTTCCATAAGAATGCAATCTACCTTCAAATTATATTGTGAAATATTCAATAGTAATGAACAAAGAGTATTCATTTCCAATACTATTATGGATCCTTTTCTCGACCATTTTATGGAAATAAGGAAAGGAAAAGACTATACTGATTTGAAGAATATTATAGACTGTTTTGATGCATTTGGGGAGAGTAGTTCGTTTCTTGATGAGAGAATGGTGACCCTGTTTGTGGATTTTGGTCAAACATATAGTGTATTGGGGGCTTTTGCATCTATTATTCAAAATAGAGGAGCTGAGCTGATGAACATCATGGATGGAGCAATGTGCAATCGTTTAGAAAAACGGTTAGAAATACGTATTTCAAGGTATTGTGACGGTGGTTGGTTTGCTGTTTTATGCTCAGCACTGGAAAGTGGATTATTTTGGAATATTATTGAAAAATCGAGGCAATTAACTGAGCCAAACTTTACAATAACTGAGAAATTCAAACAAGGCTACACTTTAGAACTTGTGAAAAAAGTGAGACAAGAACATGAAGGTGGCACTGCTGATCCTCCTTTCTACATTCTCTACTGTTTGTGGTTCCTCTTAATGGAGAACATTGAAAAATCTAACAAGGTTAGTAGAGGAAAGAAAAATGAAATGTACAGAGCTCTCGTTAAACTATCTTTGATTCCAAGAGATTATGACTGTGGCAGTCCTTTTGATTCTGTGTTTGCCTTCTTCCTACTTGCAGAACTTGAGGAAAATGTGGAAGAAAACATGAGTATTATTTTGGAAAATATGGATGCAATCATTAATAGTATGTATGAACAATCAAACAGAAGCACAAGCTTTTTAAGCTTTGCAATAAGTAGATTATTGGAAAACATTGAAAGATTCCTCTATCACTACAGTGGAAGAGATGAATTGCAAAATGCAATTCGATTCGAATTAAAACAGGCCTTAATTCACTTGCCAACAGATGAGCATCCAAAACTTTTAGAAGCCATTCACAAGCTTATCGATAATTAAATAATGTAAGTAAAATATTTTGATTTGTCAAAAGGATGGTCAAGGTTGATTTACTTTTAATTTATTATACAATATGTACAATTTCTAATATATGAATGATATTTAAACCATACTTTGTTTGGCAGCAAGTGATCTATAAATGCCATTTGGATTTCTAATCAATTCTTCATGAGAACCACGTTCTCTAATGACACCATGATCCATGACACAAATTTCATCTGAATTCTTAATGGTTGCCAATCTGTGAGCTACACAAATGGTTGTTCTTCCCTTCATTAAACGATCGAGGGCTTCTTGAACTAGGCCTTCAGATTCAGCATCGAGAGCAGAAGTAGCTTCGTCCAAAAGGAGAATTTGTGGATTTTGTAAAATAGCTCTGGCAATAGCAATTCTTTGCTTTTGACCACCAGATAAGGAAACACCCTTTTCTCCCAATCTTGTATTGTATCCATTAGGAAGTTCCATAATAAAGTTGTGTGCATTGGCAGCTTTGGCAGCTTCTTCAATTTGACTTTGCTTGGCATCTTTCTTACTTCCAGTCAATCCACCAATTGAGTAGGCAATATTTTCCTTAATAGTTCCTTGGAATAGAGTTGGTTCCTGAGTGACGATACCAATAACTTGATGGAGCCATTCAGTGTCCAATTCTTTAATATCCACACCATCCAAGAGAACTCTACCTTTTTGAGGAGCATAGAATCTTTCCATAAGACCAATAATTGTTGATTTACCAGATCCTGAACCACCAACCAAAGCAACGGAGCTACCTGCCTTAATCTTCAAATTAAAGTCTTTCAAAATGGTCAAGTGTGGACGAGATGGATAAGCAAATTCAATTCCTTCAACTGTAATTTCACCTCTGAGATCGTCAACCTTTTTACCATTGAGTGGTTCAGTAATTTCTGGTTCTCTCAAAATGACCTTCAAGAGAGCTTGTTGACTGGCGTTTGCCTTGGCAAAGTATGGAAGATTGTCAGCAGCTTGATTCAAACCTAAAATACTAAGCAACTGTTTTTACAATAATTGTAAATGAAACAAATTGTTAATTAACTTACCATAATACCAAAGACTTTGACCATTTCACCAAGAGTTGCATCACCATCAATGACAATAGAACCTCTACAATATGTGAAAATATATTGCGCCATTCGAATAATTAATTACTGAACTAGTGAAACGCAAACTAACTTACCCATACCAAAAAGTCAAAGCAAAGAAACCATTGATAACCATATAAGAATTACCCATAGCAATACCTTGAGAAACTCCCTTTCCAATAATTGAGAATGGAGCTCCAGCAAGTGCCTTACCAAAACGTGCCTTCTCACGTCTATCTCCGGCCATTGAACGAATTGTCTTGATTGAGCTAGAAACTTCACCAGCAACACCAGCAGCTCTCATCACTGCATTATTAATTCTATTTGTGAAAACTTCAATACACTTGGTACAAATGACAATGACAATCACAACGAGTGGACTGCAACTAATCAAAATCAATGTCATTTTCCAATTGGTTGTCAGAGCCATGATAACTCCTGCAATGGCAGTTGCAACGTGAGTGCAAACTAAACTGAGTTTCATAGTGTAGGCATCTTGAATCTTGGCTACATCTTCAAAGATTGGAGCAGTTAATGCACCAGATGACTTGATGTCGAAAAATCCCATTTCTTGTGAGATTAGTGCATTGAAATAGGTTCTTCTTAAACGAATGGCTAAACGGTCACCTGCAATATTCATGAACATTTGTGAGAGAAAGCTGGATAAACCACCACCGACACCAATACAGGCAAAACCAATTGTGTAATTGACAATATTGTCTCTCCTAATTGAATTCGAATAGAAAAAAAACAGTTTCGTATACGAAAAGAAACTAAAACTTACAATTCCTGAGCAGAAATATCCAACTTGGCATAATCAATAGCATCATCAACAAAGGTACCAAAAATCAAATAAAACACCAAAGGCATGACACCATAAACAGCTGAAGAAAGCATTCCACACAAAATTAAAATCCATTCCCAACTGAAAGTTTTCAAAATCTTAAAGTTGTGTTTTCCCTTCAATTGTGGTTCTCTTGCATCCTTGTAAGTTTGTTTCTCTTGTTCTGAAAGGGATTTTCTACGATTTTTTAACATGTCAGCAATTGACTGATCGTAATCTCTATTTAAAGAAGATGCATATGGAAGAGCAGTTGGTGGAGGGAGAACCTTGTTAGGAAGATGTTCAGTTGATTGTGGTTGTTGAGCTGCATCAAATTCCTTTTGTTTGAGCATTCTGGCGAAGAGTTCTTGATCTTCGTTGGTTGTGGCAATTGGCACAAATTGCTTGGTTGGGTTTTGCGGATTCATCTTTCCGTTATTTGTTAAATGTTATGTTGCTATTATCTATTGCTATTTGAGAAGTGCAGTGTTGAATTGTTACTATTGGTGTGGAGGATGAATATTGTGGAACGACAAGTTAGGGATTTTGTTTTAGTTTGAATTAGTTTGACTTTCGTCTCTGTGAGTGTGATAGAGAACATTCATCCATGTATCTTCTAGTAGGTGGGTTGGAATGTTTCCTCATGTGAAACCACAAAACATGAACCAACTGGAAACTTTTTCTTGGTGATGTTTGATGGCGATTACTTTCAAGAACGCCAAATTGCTTCCATCTGGATATTAAAATCGTTGCTGTCAGATCTTGTACTGATCCTGTCCATGTCAACTACCTGTAATGCATGCCAGTAATAGAATGTTAAATGATTTATCATGATAAACCCTAAAAAATTGATTGTATTGAAATTTTGAAAAGAATGTGTGGAAGAAAGTTTGCTAATGGAAAGCAATTACAATAATTGTGATTTTTCAATGGTAATGTTGGAATGGATGGTGAACGTGGAAAAGAATTTGGGATGTAAATCATGGATAGAGTGTGTGAGGATGGATGCTTGGTTGTATATCCATAGTCTGTCTCAAGATTCTAACACAGTCCCAACTGTCCAGATTAGCATAATAGGGATCTTCGGATGTGACATTGATAAGGTTGACATCTTCTCATGTGTGATAATCGAGGAAATTTCCTCTAAAGCACTTGTACACTTTTGACCTTAATATATTATCAAATAATCAAAATGATGATGAAGATTCATTTGATACTGATGAAATTACTTACATGATCCGAAGGAATTAGAACCAACTCCCCAATCTTTTCAAGTAACTATTTGATATCATGTTCTTCCTGATCAATACGGTCGGACGACACTTTTCCAATTCGCTTTCAATCATTTACTCAAAGGTCTTTGAAGAGATAACAAGAGCTTGACCATAGTGAGGCAGACATTGTTCGATTTTTTTTTGAGAACTTTTGATCATTTCACAAATAGAGAAAGAGATTGAGGAAATTGAATTTATTGTTGGAATGAACATTTCTTAACTATTAATTGTTTTTGGAGACATTGATGGATTGTGATTGTGGAAAATGAGGATTTTCCACTCAATTGATATCTTTTCCTATCTAATTCAATTAAGGATTTAAGAGTTTCTCTGTTTTTTGGTTTTTTAACAATTGCAGACTTAT